TGCAGTTTGAAGAGTCGGCGGGCAAAGCGGTCCATGGATAACCGCGGACACAGTGGCTCAGGGGCGGAGTGGAAGATCGTGGGTCGGAAGTCAGCGAGAGTTGTGGGTCCAGGACTTCTTCGCTGGATGCAGTATCGATATAATTAAGTTATAATGCCCGACGCCACACGCGTGGAAGAGGAATTCGAAGCCATCAGGGTTGAATAAAATATTGCGACAGCTCGTTAACTTTGCACATCGCCAGCGTAAGTGCAATGTTTGCCAAGAATTTAGTTGAGAAGCCACACTGATGTAGACTGAGAGTTCGACTCCGTCGGAGATTAGGGCAAGGAGTACGAAGAAGTCCAAGAGAAGGCGGGGATTTAGCCAACTATGCGGGAACAAAGTGGAAACAAAAAGCCAGGGGAGCATAAATATTGAGACCCGTAGGTCTACCACTCCGGGAAAGCGTGTCATCCTTGTGCAGGGGCCATGCTAATCTTCTCTGTATCGTTCCAATTTTTTCGTATGTCACCCCGAAGGGGACATTAACGTGGGCTCGAACTTTCGCTCCGGCATCTGAGCCGCGCTTTTTGCTCGGCCCGCGGGGTGCCTCCTTCCACGTGCGTCCGATCGAGGTCCCTGCGAGGCCTCTGAGGCTACTCTGAGCTCACTGATCTCCTCCGCACACTTGAGGCCCTCATCAATGCTATCTTTCCCCACACCCACACCTACGCGTCTCGCGACGCTGCAGCAAGCATGGCGTCCGAGTCACGCAACGCTCTCGACATGAAAGAAGCACGCTGGTACGTCTTGTGTGCATCCCTCACGCATCCTGTCTGAGCACGCTGCCTCCAGTGTTTGAGCCTGTGCTGAACTCCCAAGGCTCGGAAGAGCTGAAGGCGCAGTACAAGGAGGTGGTCGCGAGAGGGGGATCCATGGGTGCGCTGTGTCTTCTCTCCATCTCTCCGTACGTGGCTCATAATTTTCCGTGTAGTACATACCTCCAAATGGAACTAGGACACGGAACCAACGTCGCCTCTCGAGACTACGGCAACCTATCTTCCCGATACTCGCGGATTTGATATCCATTCCCCGACGTTCACGAGCACCAAGTGGTGGATCTGCGCACTTGGGAGAACAGCAATACATGGCGTTATTCAAGCACGTCTTATTTTGCTGTCCGGAGTCGACGCGGGACCCCATTTGTCTCTTGTCCAACTGCGGTCGTTGGACGATCACGCGGTGCTCCCTGGGATCACCGTTGGGGATATTAGTACGTTTCCTTCTTCTCAACTTGGTGCATTCGCCCTCAACAGGCACGTTGTCAGGAATGAAGGGATTAGGAGTTTACGACGCCGTCGACAACGGTTGTGCGCGGCTCGACCATGTCAGGATTCCCCGCAAGCAGATGCTCTCTGTGTTCGCGTCCATGACGATCGAAGCCGAATACGTCAAGCCTAGCCATGCAAAGCTCAGTTATGGTGGAGTGAGTGCGTGATCAAGTATCGCAATCTACATCTAAACGTTGTGCAGATGCTTTACACCCACTCTGCGTATGTTGCTACATCGGTAGAGGCATGACTAAAACGCCGCAGGATGGTCGCGTCAGCAGGCTGGACAATTGCGAAGGGTATCGCAATCGCGCTGCGATACGCAACCGTACGACGACAGAGATCGGGGGCCGCTGATGGGTTGGAACGGCAAATCATCACCTACCCGTCAGTCTGCATTCGCCTCCTACCTGCTCTGGCGCATGCATGCGTGTCCATTCGGCTGGGAAAGAGCCTCGTGAGTATCTCTTCGTCTCTATCCTGCGTCATTGTCTGAGTAGTTTCTAGAGGAACACATTTACACAGCTGCTCGCGCAACTTTTATCAGGAAACACGTCGTTGCTGGGGAGATGCACGCGACGCTGGGTGGTCTCAAGGTGCTTGTGTCCACGGCGGCGGTCGATGGGCAGACATAGCTTCAGTGACTTCGCTGGGGTAGGCCATTTGTATGCGGACTACGTTCCTGCTGCCACGTACGTTCACGCCCCTGAATCCGTGTCCCAGTTTCTGAGTTCGACTACAGGTACGAAGGCGACAACTTCGTCCTCGATCAGCAGGTCGTCCTCGCTGCGCTCAAAGCTTTCGACGCTGCCCCACTGCTGTCGCCTTCCTGGAGCACCGCCCGGCGCTCATGGTTCAAGAACGAGCAGCACGGGCCGCCAGATCTCGACTGAAGCATGGACGCTCCTGTGGCGCGCACCGTCTCCGATGCGTTCGTCGCTGCGCGCGTCGGCGAGCTCATTCAAGCTCTGGATGGACCGAACGCGAGTGTGCTGCGGAAGCTCCTCTAGATGCACCTGCTCACGACGGTGGAGGCGGGATTGGTGGACATACTGTCGTTTGGCCTTCCCGGGGCAAGGAAGCCTGGGACGGACGTGACACGCGGATTGCGCGTCGGGATCAAGAGGACCTGCGAGGAGCTGCTTCCGGAGGCGATCGGACTGTCGGATGGGTTTGGATTCACGGACTGGGAGCTGGATAGGTGCGCCCCCGTCCTTTCGCTTTCCTGATTGACGTGGCTCTGATTTTAACTATGCCAGCGCGCTCGGTGCCTTTTATGGAAACGCCTACGAGAACTTGTGGAAGAGAGCGCAGGCAAAGCCACTGAACCGTGGAGATGCCGCCGGTGCTTATGAGGTTGGTGCATTTTTCGTTTCGCGTCCTGCGAGTCTTGTTAACGCCGGAACTTTCAGAAGCACATTAAGTCTCTGTTTCAGCGGGCTCAGCGTCTTTCAGGATATTGTTCGAAGCTATAATGATCATGTTTGGCCGTACATTCATACTTGGACATGTCTTCCTGCAACACCTCGCCACGATCGCCACTGCGTCTGAGCTACCGATGGGCGCTCGGATGGGGTTGGCGCAGTCCCGACGATGATTTGGAGAATGGTCTCGGAGTAGTAAGTAGTGTACAACGGCTAGCATTAGATGAGTGCCGTGGGGAAAGAGATCCCACGCAAAATGTGTGACACGTATACATGGACTTGGGTGGATCATCGGAATTTGCTGTAGTTGTGGGGGTACTCGTGCATTACACATGCCGGTCGCGAGTACTTGTAGCTGGGCGGTTGATGCGGTGGTTGGATTGTGCCAGCTCCGGCCTCTCCACGATAGTCGAAAACAAATCCCCTCTCCGGAAGCTGGTACTCGGACTCTCTAGATGCGTACGTAGATACCGGCACGACGGCCATGAGGGGAGGAAAAGTTGACCATAGGTGGAGATGGCTAAAAGATCCAATAGGAGAGAAACGAGTCATTGTCCAACTCAGCATCGTATAGGTTCCTGAACACGTCCTCGTCTCGACGCTCCGATATCACCTGTATGACCGCCGTCCACGTCGTAGAACTCTGACACTCCTCCGGATTTTGTACCCAAAAGTATGACTCCGAGAGCTGCAGGTTCGGGAACACCCTCTCCAGGAGCGTCGCGATCGCGGGAGCCTCCGGGCGCACCGCCAGGTCCTCGCCCGCGCCCCGGAGACGGGGCGAGCGCATGCGCACCGCCGGCGGGGGCAGGTCCGTGCACAGCGCCGCCCCGTGGAAGTTGGCGAGGGCGTCGAAGAGCAGGACCGTCTCGAGGTGCGGGCAGTGCCGCGCGAGGTGCAGGAGCGACGCGAAGGACGCGTCCCCAGCGGCGACGGGCGCTTTGAAGTATGGCGGGGCGATGTGGAGTCGGCGCAGAGCGGGCCACGCGCGGGCGAGCGCGGCAAAGTCGTCGTCGGTGGGGGAGAAGCTCGTCTCGGGATAGAGGAGCTTGAACTCTTCGAGGAGCGGGAGGAAGAAGAGGGGCTGCAGGATGTCCGCGAGCGGACGGCGGCCAGGGCCGAGCGGCGGCCATTCGGAGGGGAGCGCCAGATGCAGGGTCCGGAGGGTGGAGCTGGAGGCTTTCAGTGCTCGTAGATTGGCGTGGAAGTCTGGGAGTGTGTCCCCGGGCGCTTCGGGATCGGGAGTTGGGAGCCTGACATCGGAGAGGATGGGGGCGTGGAGGTGGCTTATCAACGAGGCTACTGCTGGCCACTGCCCCCCACAGACGAGCTTCTGCAGGCGAGGAAGATGCGCTACAGAAACCGCTTCTGGCTTCTCCGTCTGATCACGAACGGAAACCGATAGCAGAAGGAGGTCGTGGAGAGAGGGGCTAGCATCGGCCATGTGTCGGAGGAGAATTCCCCAAGGGATGTCAAGTGCCCAAAGGTCGAGCGAGTGCAGTGCCCTAAACTCGAATATTGACTGCAATACTTCGCTAGGTACCTGGCTGGGTGGCGGTATGAATAATGGTGGTATTAATAACTTGAAGTGAGGAATATCGGGGACGTGATGCCGAAAGCAGTCGATAATTTCTGCGACTTCCCCATAGAATTTGTGGTCACGGGCGACAAGTTCCAGCCGGCGAAGGTGACGAGGGAAAAGCAAGGACGGGGACAGCTTCATCACAGGCATGTACAGTTCTTGAAGTGCAGGGAAGGGCTCGCTTGTGGAACTTCTGGCGAACAGAACGGCAAGAAGAGTCAAATCTTCGGGTGGCAACATATCGGGCTCGGGAAAGCATAGTCGTCGAACGCGAGTCGCGCAGTGATAAAACCGTCGGCGCAAACATTCGTCATCGTACAATCTCGAAGAGAGAACCTACGGACGAGGCGTGAGTGGTTGAACGATAGGATGTCGAATCACTTACTTTGCGCGCCAGGTGTTTCATCCCAGTCGAATTGTGTTTTTGAGAGATGCGTTTCGAGAGTGACCATCTGTTCCGTGGAGCTTGAGTGTTCAAGAAAATGAGCCATAATGGGTCTAAATTCGGCCTCAGCTCTCTCCAGAGCATTTGCGAGGCTGGCTCTGCGAATGAGCGGGAGACGAGAGCCAGTTTGGCATACGTCCCTTGGTGCCCCACGGGCGTATAGAGATGCTCCATGATGCAGGCCACTATTTCGTGTATCTGCAGAGCACGCCCCGTCGCATCGGACGGGGTTTCATCACGGGACGGGGTTGCATCTCGGACGACATGTCCGGTCAACTAGTAATGCGAGGGCTCAATTGTTGTAAGTGAGCTCATTCTGTGCTGCTTAGTGATGGAACTACGTACATGGTCGACTCGCCGATCCATTTTCTGGGTCTTCCAACCAAGCAGGTGACGAATTCTGGGCACCATGGCCGCTGTCGTTACGGGCGGCGGGGAATATGAGAGGCGAAGCAGGAACACGCCGGCACCGGGACCTCGTTGAACAAATGTTTTGAAGTCCGCTCGCTCACAAAGGATTACGTAACGGCTCATACTGACTCCGCTTCTAACCGCTTCGAATTGATTCAGAAGTACTTACGCGTACTAGCCCAACGGGCTGTTGAGAACGAGGCGACTAATGACATCCGGAATCATGGGACCACTGCCCGGAAAGGCTTTTTTCCCACATGGTTGTGGTCGACATCAGAAGGGCGTTGGGTGAGCACTGAGAATTGAGCCATGATTTGCGGCTCCTGCCACGGGCGCCAAAATACGAGCACGTGGTACACATAGAGCCAGCTGCGGAGTTCGACTGCGCACTCTGCTCGAAGCACATTTCTACCTCTTCCTCATATGCACGCTGGATCCTCCACACGAGAGCCAGTTGTATACTTGTAGCAATCTTGTCGTGAGGTAAGTGTTTCTTTGGTGAGCTGCACGATGATGCTGGATTGACTTGACTCTGGACTAATTTGTTGGACTGGCTCAGCACTGAGCAGAGGGATGCGTGGATGTGGAACCGGCCCCCGTACTGGACGAGAGAGTCTCGTCGCGTAAGCGAAGTGGTCGTCAATATACAACCTACCCTTACCGGGCCATGACCTCTGAATATAAATGCTTGCTCGCTAATCCGCCTCGTGAAGACCTTGCCTTCCCTCACAGGTCACGAGTCCCGAGTCAAGATGACAAATGAGCACTCGCTTGTAGCGCCACATCGTTGTCACCTTTACTGGGAAGGATACCGAATGGTCGAAATCCGTATGTGATCCCATGGTTTCTTGCTTGCGAGCCGTGGTTCAACTTAAAACATAGGTTGGTGCAGTGAGTACTATCGGCCGTACGCTTCAATGGGGGATTGGCATTCACGATGGGCGGCATTTTGGGACTTCCTGCGCCGATTGCCTGCGTGACGTGATTATTCAGTCCTCGCTGAATAATTTTCGAGGGTTCCCATGCGACAAACCAATCACACGCCCACTCTCCAAGTCGCCTGCTGATAGACTGCCGCCTTCGCTAGTCCCTGTTCACCATTCCCCCACGACTCTTCCTCGCATGTCTGGCCAACACGAAAAAATTGCCGTCGCCGTCGCCGTTGTACCGATGGTGGGGATCCAGGACATCGAGCATGCAACAGTGATCGACGATCCTCGCGCGTGGTCGAAAACACGGAAGGTGAGTACTTGAGTCGTCACCATATGACTCAGGCTGCCTGTCGGGAACGAACACTTTCCCCTGACCTCTCTCTGCTGTTGCTAGCTCGTCGTTCTTGCGACCGTCTCCGCCGCGACCATGATCAATGGTCTCGGTACCAGTATCTACAATCGTGAGCAAGTCCGCCTGTGATAAGGAACTCGACGCTCACTTCGCCCAGCCTCCATTTCCCAGATAGAGGACCAGCTTCATGCGTCCAGTGGCGAGATCTCACTCAGCCTTTCGCTCTTCATCGTTCTCCTTGGCGGCGTCCCGCTGCTATGGAGTACCCTCAGTGAGTTCTGGGGCCGTAAGGTAGGTGACACCGTGCCTGTCGCTACTGTTCGCATACCGCACACGTTCACCCCCGCATCTAGAAAATCTATCTTCTTTCGACCCTGCTTGCCTTGGTTGGCTGTATCGTCGCCGCCAACGCCAAAACCATCGGTGTCCTCATCGGCATGCGATGCATCCAAGCCGTCGGGTACGTCACTCTCCTGGCACCCTCTCCCGCTAGCCCCATCTCATCTCGAGCAGCTCGGCCGCAGTCACCTCGCTCGGCGCCGCGACGCTCGCCGACATCTACGAGCCCGTCCAGCGCGGGACGATGATGGGCATCTACTACAGCGCACCGCTCCTCGGCCCGGCCCTCGGCCCCATTCTCGGCGGCGCGCTCACCGCGGCCTTCTCCTGGCGCGCGACGTTCTGGTTCCTCGCGGCCTTCACTGGGGTATGCTTCCTCTCCTTCATCCCCCTCAGGGACACCTTCCGCTGCGAGCGCAGCCTTACCTGCCAGGCCGCGCTCCGCCGCCGTCGGGCCCTCTCCCCCACCGTGGTCGCCTCGAGTCTCTCCCATGTCTCCGCGGTCTCCCCCGTTACCCCTGCCCCACCCCCGTCTGCGATTGGGAGTGGGGCACCGAGCGCGAAGGGCGAGGTAACGGACATCGTTGCGGTGCCCGCGCGGGATAGGGACGTCGAGAATCATCAGAACGTGACATGCACCACCTCTTACCCACCCACGCCCCCAATGGACGATGTGAAGCTCTCCCTGGCGGACGTCAATCCCGCCAAGCCGATACTGCTGGTGCTGAGACGCATGAACAATCTCACCACCCATGTCGCTTCTGGTGTGTAGTGCAGATCCGGCCTCTGGCTCCAGGGGATCATTGATGGGACGCCCACAGGGCTCATTTATGGACTGGGATATAGCCTCTCCTATACATGCTCGCGAACGCTGGCCGAAAAGTACGGGTACAACGCGCTGCAAATCGGACTCGTTCTGCTCACCTTTGGCGTGGGTGAGTATTCCAGTATTCTAAACCTCGGAGCCCACTCGAAGTTGCATTTGGTGCAGGCTCGCTCATGGGCAGCATCCTGGGCGGCCGTTACTCTGATCGCGTCTTGCGAAAACTTGTAGCGAAAAACGGTGGTGAAAGAAATGCCGAGGTGCGTTCAAACTGCCCTCCACACCCGCACGAGGCCTTAGTCTCACCCGACAGATGCGTCTGGCGAGCACCCTCGTGTCTATGCCGTTTCTGCCGCTCTCCGTTGTCGCGTATGGCTGGGTGTGCGAGCAGCACGTCCACGTCGCTGCGATCTGCGTGTTCCTCTTTCTGAGCGGTCTCTTCTCCATGTATGTGTGCACGCTGTCTCAAGTCTCAACCCTCAGCGCGTCTCATTCAGCGTTCTTCTGGTCTGCACAGCGCGATATACAGCAGCACGCTGGCCTACGTCGTGGATGCCAACGCGGGCCGCTCCGCCTCCGCGGTCGCTGTCAACAGCTTCTTCCGTGGCTTCACCGCGTTCGTGGCGACCGAAGTCGCCTTGCCGCTCCAGGTCCGTGCAGTCTTTGCCCAACTTGCCGTCTCCGTCCCACTGATGATGGTCCGCACTGTGTTATCCATGTTCGCGCGACGCAGAACGCGATCGGAGACGGGGGCCTCTACTCGCTCTGGGCGGGGCTGATTGTCCTCAGTGAAGCTCTCCTCCTCCTCGTCTGGTGGAAGGGAGGGGCGTGGCGGCAAAAGTGGGAGCTCAAGGAGAGTAGTTAGATATGCCATTACGGTCACCCTCGCTACTGCACCAACGAATGGCGAGCTGAGCGTCATCGGAATAACCGATTACACCGGTCATGTCCCACCACTTGTCGAAGGAGATGAGAAATTCTTCATTGTCGTGCATATGGAGGGGACTCGGGGAGGAAGAGAGGGTTTGGCGAGATTTTGGCTGTAAACGGTCGCGATGATGTGTATTAGCCTTGATAAGAAGATAAGATAAGAAACTCAATCTATCTTTCAATATTGGACTTATTCGCCAATGGGACCGACAAGTCCGAGCTATCGCATCCAAGTCACGAACGCAAGTTGGCTCCCCCCACCACTCCCGTCTCCTCTCCCTATGCGTATACCACAACTATGGACCGGTAGATGTCTTGTACGGAGCCGGGGCTTTGCCACCGCTACACCCTCGCCTCGCACTCCCCAGACAGTCATCGAGAAGGTCGTCCAACGGTATGCTGTCGACCTCCCTGCAGGCAAGGCGGTCAAGGCCGGAGACTACGTGATGATTCGCCCGGAGCACGTCATGACACATGACAATACTGGCCCAGTCATTTCCAAGTGAGTTTGCGACGTTCATCCCATGCATGAGGTTCCAAGCACCTACATCCCCGCTCGTTCGAAGCGTCCTTGCACAAGGGTTCTGACCTCGCTGCGATGTCTGCAGGTTCAAGTCGATTGGTGCTACCAAGATCTATAACCCGAAGCAAATCGTCTTTACCCTCGACCACGACGTTCAGAACCGCTCGGCGAAGAACCTGTCGAAGTACGCCTCCATCGAGGCGTTCGCGAGACAACACGGCGTCGACTTCTACCCCGCAGGGCGCGGAATAGGCCACCAGGTCCTCGTTGAAGAGGGCTACGCGTTTCCACACACCCTCACCGTCGCGAGCGACAGCCACAGCAACATGTATGGCGGCGTCGGCGGCGTTGGGACTCCCATCGTGCGTACCGACGCCGCGGCGCTGTGGGCGACTGGCAAGACGTGGTGGCAAGTTCCTCGGATGATCAAGGTCGAACTGAAGGGCAAACTCACTCCTGGAGTTACCGGCAAGGACGTCGTCATCGCGCTGTGCGGGTACTTCAACTCGGACGAGGTCCTCAACGGGGCCATCGAGTTCACCGGCGACGGCGTCTCCGCGCTGACGGTCGACGAACGGTTGACCATCGCCAACATGACCACCGAGTGGGGCGCCCTTGCCGGAGTTTTCCCCGTGGACGACGTCACGTTCGACTGGTACGAGAAATCGTTGAAGCGTCTCGAATTCCGCACCTTCTCGACTCCGGAACTCGCGTCTTCGATACCCCCACCTCCAGAGCACCCGCGGATCAACCGCAGGCGACTCGATGCTCTCCGTGCCGCGAACTTGCGCTCGGATCCAGACGCGACGTACGCATCCCACCTCGTCCTCGATCTCTCGACTCTCGTCCCCCACGTCTCCGGCCCAAACAGCGTCAAGGTCTCCACCCCGCTTCCTGTTCTTGAGTCCAAGCACATACCGATCAACAAAGCGTACCTCCTGAGCTGCACCAACGCGCGGGCGTCCGACATCGCCGCCGCAGCGGAGGTGCTTAAGGGCGAGAAGGTTGCCCCCGGAGTCGAGTTCTACGTCGCGGCCGCATCGTCGGAGGTTCAGCTCGACGCCGAGAAGCGGGGAGACTGGACGACCCTCGTTCTCGCGGGCGCGAAGCCCCTTCCCGCCGGCTGCGGTCCTTGCATCGGACTCGGTGTCGGGCTCCTCGAAGACGGCGAGGTCGGCATCAGCGCGACGAACCGGAACTACAAGGGGAGAATGGGCCATCCGAACGCGCAGGCGTACCTCGCGTCCCCCGCGGTCGTGGCTGCAAGCGCCATCAAGGGCTACATCGCTGGTCCCGACGCGCTCAACCTCGCTGCGCTCCCGCCTGCCGGTGCTCCGAAGTTCTCCTTGGTGAGCACCGCTGCCGCCGCCCCCGCGCCGACCCAGGCCCCACAAGTCGAGGAGCCGGTGCTGCAAGGCTTCCCCGCGACGTTCGCGGGCCCGCTGCTCTTCGCGCCGCAGGACAACCTCAACACGGACGCGCTCTACCCGGGCAAGTACACCTACCAGGACGACATCACGCTCGCGCGCCAGGCCGAGGTCGTGATGGAGAACTACGACCCCGCGTTCGCCGCGCTCGTCGCCGCCATCCGCGCGTCGCAGCCGCCCTCCGCGGACCCCAGCCTGAAGCGCGGCGTCGTGCTCGTCTCCGGGTACAACTTCGGCACGGGCTCGTCGCGCGAGCAGGCGGCGACGGCGCTCAAGGCGGCGGGCGTCCCGCTCGTCATCGCGGGCTCGTTCGGGGACATCTTCAAGCGGAACGCGATCAACAACGGGCTCGTGTGCGTCGAGTGCCCCGCGCTCGTCGCGGACCTCACCGAGCGGCACGCGAAGGACGGGAAGCGCGGCGCTGGCGGAGTGGTCGGGGAGCTCACGGTCAACAAGGGGCACGAGATCAGCGTGCGCGTCGTCGAGGGTGCTGTGGAGGTGCGGTGGCCGGAGGGAGAGACGAAGACGTACGCGGTCGGTCGCGTCGGCGCGAGCGTGCAGGAGCTGTGGCTCTGCGGTGGGCTCGAGGGGTACGTGCTCAAGCAGCTCGAGAGCGGCGCTGCGTAGACGAGTCGTGCGAAAAGTACTGTACGTTATATGCAACCTACATAATCGTGGGATCGTGCCGTATCTTCGAGTTTGTTGCCGCGAGGCGCGCACTGGGCTCGTGCCCTGCCCGGCCACATGCACTGCCTCACGAACCTGTCCAGAGCTGTCAGTCCGTTCAAAGGCCGACAGTCGTGGTCGGGTTTAGCCTCTCCAGGTGAGTTCACCTGTGAGTTCACCGCCATGTCCCTTCATCGCGAGCCGTCTGTTGCAGCACGCCCGCACGCCTTGCAAGATAAAGCAGGCCATAAGGACGATTCGAGATTGCCGTGGATAATACCTACCGTCAGAGTAAGTACCCAACTACAATTGGAACCCTCTCGAGCTCATTGACAGTCCTAGGAACTCTGGGACGCCCGTGTCCATGGTTTCACAGAAGAAGAGAAAGCAGATGCGTGGGCTCGAACTGTAGATGTCATCAAGACATACAGCGACGAGATGGTGCGACGCTGGAACGCAGAGATCGATACCTTGCTTGTTTATGTGAGTTCACCAAGACAGAGCTGAAGGATCTCCTGATCGTTGTCAACAGGCGGGCTTGTTTTCTGCTATCCTGACGGCCTTCAATGTCCAATCGTACCCCCTTCTCCAACCGAACGCACCTGACCCTGTGTTGGTCACCTTACAGCAAATCTCGCAGCAACTCAGCGGCTACACGGTCCACGCGCAGAATGTAACGTCTTCGTCTTCAGCCCCAGCACGGTCTGATGTTTGGCTAAACATCCTGTGGTTCTCGAGTCTCATCTGCAGTCTCTCCTCCGCGTCCATCGGCATCATGGTCAAACAATGGCTAAACGAGTACAGCACTGGCCTCTCCGGGTCCTCCCACGAGATCGCTCGCCTTCGTCAACACCGTTTGGACAACCTCGCGAAATGGCGCGTCGCGGAGATCGTCGCACTTCTCCCCCTTCTCTTGCAGATCGCACTGGCGCTCTTCTTCGCCGGCCTTCTAATCCTCCTCTGGTCTCTCCACTCCTCCGTTGCGGCGGTTGCGACGACGCTCATCGTGCTGCTCTTCCTGTTTACAACTACGACCACTCTTCTCCCTTCATTCGCACCCTCCTGCTCTTACCTCTCACCTCAATCTCTATTGGTGTTCCACCTCCTCCAGCAGATCCTCAACACCTTCCACCGCGTCCACGCCACGCTCTCTGACCTCCTCCACCGACTCACCTGGTCGCCCCGCACCGCGCGAACCCCCGGCCTCCGCTCGCTCCTCCTCCGCCTCGCCACGGCGCTCGACACGGCGCTCTGCCACCCGCGCAGCACGCTCTCCTGGCGCGGGCGCGAAGCCCAAGCCCTCCGCGCCGCCGGCGAGGCCCTCGACGTCGCGCTCCTCGCGGGCGCGTACCGCGCGACGCTCTCCCCCGCGTTCTGGGCCGCCGTCACGCCCCCGTGCACGGCGGGCCTGCGCGCGGCGAGCGTCGTGCGCGCCTTCTCGCTCGCGCGCGCGCTCGACGTGCGCCACCGCGGGTCGCTGCCCGTGTTGGGCCACGGGCCGCGCAGGCTCGACGGGAACGCGTGGGCGGACGTGCTGCTCGCGCTGCTCACGGTGGAGCCCGCGCGCCGGGACGCGAGGTGGGCGAGGGCGGTGGACGAGCTCGCGCCGTACCTCGCCGCGGCGGGCGCGACGGAGGACGTGGACAGGAGCGACGCGCTGCTCGCGACGCTTGCGCGCGCGGCGGTGCAGCACGAGGAGCTGGGGGAGGGCGATACTGCGATACGGGTGCTGGCGCAGGTGCTTGCGTGGTCGGATATGGGGCAGGTGCAGCTTGGTGAGGGTGTCTGTCTAGGTGAGCTGTGCGCGGTCCATGCGTCAAGGTCACGAGGCTGATATGGGTGTGCTTCAGTCGCTGCAGCTGCAGAGCACCTCCTTGAACTACAGGCGTGCGCGCTCCAAAATCCAAGCCCGACCGCTCCCATCTCGAGCGATTCTGCGTCGGCCGCATTCTCGCGCGCCCAGTCTTACTCCTCGGATGGCCCCGACACCGATCCGTTCCGAACGTATCTCGCGACGCTCCGTGCCCTCCTCCTTTGCACCGTCCGCGCCACACCTACGCTCGTGTCCCAGACCGACGACTCTCGCATCCGCTTAGCTGCGCAGCGCGGACTCACGACTCTGGCAAACATCCTTTCTGTGCGGACCTGGTGCACAGACGCGCACGCACCCGACCTGTACGATATCGCAGGACTACTCTTGGACGACGTCGAGCTGCAGTGGGGCGAGGGCGAGGGGATGGGACGAAAGACCGTACTACCGAGTGCGTTTGTCGCCGCATTGGAGGGGCCGGTGCTGGGCGCGCTCCGCACCGAGGCTGCGGCGACAGGAGAGTGGTACTGGGCGAATCGGTATACGGAGCGCGTTACCCGACTGAAGGACGGATTGGAGGGCTGCGCCCCCGACGCTGCGGTAGCACGTCTACTCTCGCGGTCGCTTCAGCGAGGGAGGGTTGGGGTGCCCTCGTATTCGCGCAACGGGAGCAGGAACGTTTCGCCCGTCGCGAGGAAGACGGAGTCGAGGCTATCGTCACACAAGGCGAGCAGGGTTCGCATCCGTCTAGAGTAGGGCAGCGTACAACATGTAATAAGTATCGTCTTCATCTTGGTCCGTCCTCTCTACTACGCTTCTCGTTCACGCCGGGAGTTTGAGATGTCCCGCCTTCCCCCAGAACTCCACATACCGCACCGCGTCCTCCCGGTTCAGCAGCCTGGCTTCTCTAAGCGCCTTCGACGCCTTAACAGCCTTCTCCGTGCTCAGCGGGACCGTGGCTCCGCCCATGCCCTCGCTCTTGAAGAACTCCATGAGGTTATACGCCGAGTCGTGGTCGGTCATACCTACATCGGCATTCGCAGCCGCCGCGGAGGCGTCGAGGCGCGTCAGCCATACATCCCAGGGGACAGTGGGGAGTCCCAGCCGCTCGGCCATGGGACCGAATATCGCATCCCAGGGCACGGGGGAAGGCGCGACGAGGTGGAGGGCGGGCTCTCCGCTTGTAACGAGTTCTTGGAGGGCGGCGGCTACAACATCGACGGCGACCCACGTCAAAGGCTGCGCGCTCGCTCGTCAGTACTCGAAAGTCAAAGATAACAAATGAGAGAGAAGCGCACCTCTTCCTTCGATGGGGCGCACCCGAGGCGCTGGCTTACCCGCATGATCGCGGCGACCCACTCCGAGGCGTTCCATCCACCGGTGTGCTGGTCCCCGCTCACTTGACCGACGCGAACGACGGTGGTCCGAAGCCCTGTGTGTTGCGATGCGCGTCTGAGAAGCTGCTCGGTGACCCACTTGCTCTCGGGATATCCTGAGCCGTAGGCCATTTCTGGAGGGGTATCAATGGATTCTTCCGCTGGCTCGGAACCGCGGTGGTCTAGAAAGCGAGGTATGAGAAGATGAGAGAAGCCTAACGATGGAGACAGCTTACTACGCATGGAAGAGACGGAGCTGACAAAGAGCAGGCGAGGGCCACCAGGGAGAGGAGAGGTCATTGCAAGGTCAAACAAGCGCCGCGAACCCGCGATCAGAGGCTCAAAGGAGGGTAGGGAGATGTTGAAGTCGACGCGCCATGCTATGATGAGCGTGAGTGAGGTCCGAGTGCATTCGACGACGCGAGATGAAGCGTACCGTTGTGGATAATTTGCGTCACCGTACTTCGCATCTGTAAAAAGGATAAGTATCATGTATTCTGAACGCAGGTTTTGAGCATGCTTGCCTCCTCGTATGCCTCAGAGCTCAGCCCAAAGGTTGGTTTAGAAAGATCGCAGGCGTAGAACGTGACCTTGTCGCCCGAGAGAAGCGACTCATCAAGAGACCATTGCTTGAACGCTTCCCTTGACCGCGCCTTGATTTTATCCACGGACCCAGAGGGGTCGCGGTTGAGAGCGTAAATATGCGCAACATCCGGACGCGCGAGAATTTGGGACAGAAGATGAGAGCCGAGTCGTCCGGTGGTGCCTGTGACGATAACCGTCTCGGTAGCGGCATGTCCGTTGGTGTGTCCGTTGGTGTGCCCGTTGGTGTGCCCGTTGGTGTGTCCGTTGGCGTGTCCGTTGGCGTGCCCGTTAGCATATCCGTTGGTCGCCTTCAAATCCAGCGGGAACTTGCGCTCCATCTGCACGCCATACTTCTCAAGCATCGCACGCATGCGCGCGATGTGCTTCGCCTTCTCCGCGTCCGCATCCGCCTCCACGCCCAAAACGAGGCCTGCGACGAACGTCGCCAGCCCGGCGATCGTCGGGTGCGCGTAGACGAAGCTCTGTGGGATGTCGTGCACGTTCACGCTCGACGCCGCGCGGAGCGAGTGGGTGATCGTGTTGCGGATCCACGTCGCCTGCAGGCTGTCGCAGCCGTTCTGGAAGAGGTCGTCGTCGTCCCCGAGCTTCGGGTTGTCGAGGACCTTGCGGGCGAGTCCCCTGACGTACGCGACCGTCGCGTCAGGGGACCAGTGAAGCGGCGCGGGCAGTTCGACCTGGGACGACTCCTCGACGCGTTTGTAGAGCGCTTCGATCTCGGCGTCGTAGGCATTGATGCAGACTTGGCGGCGCGGGGTGCCTTTCGCAGTGAACTCGAGGGGCTTGTCGGGATGTGTGACGATGATCATCTCCTTGAAGACGCGAGAATGCGAGGGGGCGTAGGCGTTCATCTTCTCGATGGAATTCCTGGCGCCGAAAAGGGAAGTGAGCTCTCGATTGCTTGAACAGGCTAAGATCAACACACCAGACCAAACTGCGGTACTCTTCCAGCGCAGCCTCGTCACTGGGATCAAAGGGAACGTGGGTTGAATGAGAACCCCGTTCTGGAAGCGGCCCCGCCCAAACATGAGGCACGCGAAGACCTCGGGATCCTGCACCAAAATGCCCTCTGAGGCGGATGGTCAGGAAAATATGAAGGACTACGTGTACGAGGTGCCCACCGAGCGGCGCTGGGTTCGTCTTTTCCCCCGTTGAGAGCATGAGTTGGTCATCGGCGCGGCCATAAACCCTGAACAAGTGAGGCTTCGTAGGATGTTGCTCGATCAGGTCGCTGGTTGCGTAAGCGGCACACCGTCGAGCACCGTGTTGAAAACATTTGGAGTGAAAGTGGGAGAGTCCTAGACGGTGTAAGGACACATGACACCACAACTGAGGGAGGCGAAATGGGACGCACGACACCGATGGGCTCATAAATCCCGGTCTGCCTTCCTGTGGCACAAGGCGTACATCGAGCTGAGGAGCAATCATGAAGTAATCCCATGTGGTCTTATCCATGGTATCCGGGTTCTGAATGAGCATAACAACGGCCCAAGCTCTGTTCTGTGAATTGGAGGGTTAAATGAGGAGCCGGGAGAAGCGACTGCGGATGAACGTACAAGCCGTAGAAGGGTATGAGGCCGACACCCTCCGAAGAAAGCATATCTCCGATCTGCTTGTTCATCGGAGCTCCCGCGTAGATCTAGGGGAATGCGTTGGTACGTTTCCCTTCACGACGGGTCTAAAAACGTACGATTGCCTTCAGCGTCTTGATCTTGGGGATATTTTCCGGGTTTCTGGCCCAAGCCTGTATATAGATATGAGTGTCGATCACGTTAGGAAGGGCAAACACCAACCTCGACGAACGATGGCACACAGTATAGTATCTGACATTTCGTCGCTATCACCGATTCCAAGAAGGCCTCGGGTGTCGGGATGATTGGCGGCGAGCACGGCTTGAACAAAGCCCAGGTAATGCCAGAGAATAGCTGAAAAATTCATGTGTATCAATGATAGAAGTGATATGATATAAAAACGCGAAAACTCACAGTCCAAGTGATTGTCAACGATCCCATGACATCTAGAAGAACCATCAATACGCGAACACAAGCCTCACGGGAGCAACTTACGAAACATAGGGGTGCCCTGCATCCCAACGCGAACTCCGCAGAAGTCCACCTCCCATAGCCTGCACGCACGTTCTCAAGATCAGTGAACCTTTTCCACAATCATCCGAGGCGTGTCCGAGACTCACTCGTCGCTGCTCCCCACTGTTTGAAATTCTTATCGAGAAGCTTGATGGGCTTTGGGAATGCGGTCGAACCTGTGCGGTTCTCCATCAGCATCCGCAGAAGCACCGCGCACCGCGCGGCGCGCCCGACAACACCGAACGCACCTGAAGAGTGCACGATCAAGCACACCCTTCCTGGCTCACCGGGCCCATCGGCACGAGCGCGTCGTCGCCCCCGGGCCCGTACATGTGCTCGAAGTCGGGCATGGGCAGCACCTCGAACGGTGCACGGCCGTCACGGTCGAGGGCGGCGTTCGCGTCCACCGCCAGACGCTGCATGGCCGGGTCTGCGCTTACATACATCTGCCGGACGCCCGTCTTCGCTGCGAGATGTGCGATGGCGAGGGCCGAGTTCCGGGTCGAGATCGGGAAGGGTGTGAGGCCGAGGTACATCATCCCGAGCTTGAGCGTGCCGAAGGAGATGGAGTCTGGCATCGGCGGAGGAATAGGTGTGTCACAGGGGACTCGGCAGTGCAGTCTAGGCAACACGTACCTGCGGTGGCCAGGATGCCGATGACCGGAGGTTCATTGGGACTCTTTCCCGCCTGGGCCTGCTCGTAGTAGTCGGCAAGACGTGTGTAGTCTACGGACACGATGGTCGCGGCCTTACGGATGCCCCGGTACACATCGGGGAAGCGGAGGATGTGTTCTTGTTGCTCGTCGTCGGCGTAGACGTATACGGGGTGCTCTGGACTGTGTTTCGCCTGGAATTCGAAGAGTTCGGGGACGGTGAGGGAGGAGTAGAGTCCGGGGTGTGTGAAAGTCTTGCTGTTGGCACCCTGGACGGTCTTGACGGTCGGATTGTAGAAGCTGAGTACCTCCGAGGGCATAGTGGGCACTGAGCAGGGCTAGAGCGGGAAGGTGGGCTTTCTCGGTCAACATACCGACATATATACCCAAAACAGGACCGCCCACCGTGGTTCAATCACGTTCTCCAAACATAGGTCCCCGACTCGCCTCCGAGGGCTTCCGAGGCGGACTTCTTCTGGTTCATCAGGTTGCCCGATGTTCGAGCGACCGCTCGTCGGCCATCCTGAGACACGCCACGAAGCCGCCGGTTTCACCAAATCGGGGAGCTGCCCAGCGACTGGGGGGTCGTTGCCCGCGATGAAAGCCTGGGGGGTAGTGCCTCAGCATACTGCGAGCCGAGCGTGTACTCGAACAGCGCGTGGCGATGTTGAGTTGATTATCTAATGGGGCGCTGTTTCTACAGTATCAGTTCACGAAGAAGCGACCCATTGGGCCGCGACGTGGAAGACCGATGTTCTAGCCGGTGTGATCGCCCATGTTGTCAGCCATGGGGAGTATCGCACTCATGTGCTGTCTTTGGTCCATGTGTTCGTGTTTCCTGTTACGTGTCATGTAAGCTTGATCCACATACATTCCTGCGTGGACCCGGTGCACACCATTCGGCGGGATCATCTCGCCGACAGCACAGCGTGGTCGTGGGAGGCGTTGACCTTATTTTCGACCTGTGGCAGCTGTTGCATACGTCTGCGGCCCTCTGCCAGTGAAAGTTAAAATGCAATCAGAGTGCTGTTTTCGTTCACATACTGCGAATGTCCGTTTGACAGCCGGGTCTTGGCAGATCCAGGTGCGCCGGGGGTTTTCTGTGAGGATACAACGGCAAGAAGAAGACGAAGTGGGGCTCTTGAAGCTGATGGAAGCGTTTCGGAGGCGTCGACTACTACTAATAGGCACGGGAGTTCGGAGATAAGGGTCGAAGGCAGGGCAGACGCCCGCCCTGCGCGCGAGTTCGAGACCGCGCACCGCCAATAAAAATCCGATATGTTACACGCGTTCGTCTAAATCCCTGCACAGGTATATAAGTATCTGATCACACCCGTGCCAGACACATCCATAAAGTCCGCGCCGCTAACTAAACAGACTGCTCGAGCTCCGAGCTCGAGAGCGTGCCGCTGCCCCTCACGTGGCCAGAACTGAGCGTGCCCTCGTTGACGATGTAGCTCGGCGTCTTCACCTCGTCGACGTCGGCCATCTCGTGTTCCTCAACGTCGATCAAGATCCGCTGCGGGGTCTAGATGGGACGAGGTCTTGTCGTCAGCGCGCCGTTCGCGCGCGGAAACACCGACGCGGAAACGGGGCACGAACCTTCACGACGGAGCTGTTCGTGCTTCGGAGCATTCCCGTGTGGCTGACTTGGAGTTGCGAGATGCGCCCGCCACCACCCATGCTGTGGGCGGCAGCGTGAGAGCTCGGCTCGCGCTGCCAGACGTCACGCGCGTTGAGGGAGACGAGGAGCGAGAGCGAGTAGAGCTTCGAGATCGTCAGGTTGAACATGAGGTGCATGGTGCCCGGCTGGAGAGCGTGGGATTAGAGACGTCATCGAGCGACGCGGAGTGGTCGATCACATACCACCCTGAGGTATGTGGCGAGGTCGACGAGATTCCAAACAAACGTCAAGAGGTTGGTCTCCAGCGTTACTGTGCGTGAAAGACGCTCAGAGAGACGCTCCTCGTGGGGACAAACGAGAACTGACGGCGGATGATGTTGTTAATGATAGTGTCAGTGCCGGCAATGCCGCTTTTACGCTTGTGCTATCAAGACGAAGATCAGTTGTCTTCTATGGAACGAGACTGAGGACGTACCAGGAAGTACACAAGGGTGGTGGTGATGAGCACGTCCGCAGTCACTGCACCGATGCACCATACGATGACGATGGGCTGGAACTTGTAGTAATCTGTCAGGTATACTACCTTGCTGACCGCAATAGTGGTGCCAATGGCGCCGACTGCGAAAGGAGCGTGAGCTTCGCGGGAAATGTCTCCGCTGAGAGTAGGACGTACGGATCTGGATGATTGAAAAGAAGAAAATGCCGCCGACGATCCACATATTGCGAGTAATAACCTTGATGCGCCACGCAAAGAACCATTGTACAAGCATCGCGGCGATTCCCTGGGATCTTGCGATGTCAGCATGAAAACGGGCGTTAAGTAGCAAAGGAGACGTACTGTCGTTATGGGAAAACTCATGCCGGCTACCAGGTGAAGCATCAAAACATAGAGCACTGCGACCAAGGAAGAACGGTGCCCACCCCATGATGTTACCGCGAGGTTGGCATAGTCGCCTAAAACAGAATTACGTGTAAGCAATGAGTCAGCTGCACCCAGTCAAGGCTGGACTCACCGAAGCCCTGAACCAACGCCAGAAACACCGCACTGATATTGAACGCAGTGTGGGCTGTCTCCACGACAAGGATGGTGCCAACCTGCCAGACAGAGGGTGAGTTGTGCGTGAGCACACGACCACGCAAACTACGCACGAGAACTCGCATCCAAATCGCGTCTCTGTAACATCGAGTCAGCAAATGTTACGCTTTCAGTTAGATACCAACACGGCATACCGCTTGGGGGAAGTAAAATACATGAACATATTGGCAAGCAGAATACCGTATAATATCGCGTCAAAGACGATGGCAAAGTAGAACGGGCCAACGCTATAATTCATGTATGAGTTCCGACACCGCACAGACCAGATGAGAAAACATGGACTTACGTGAAATCCATGTCAATAGCTTCCGCCATGGTGAGTTTCGGACCGGGGGATATAGAAAAACCTGAGGGAAAGGAGAGTGTGGGTCGAGCCCGGGCGCGACAACTCTTCTCCGCAGCTTCCCTCCCTTATAAGCTACCGTTCGCTCTCACTACGACCCCCCGTGGCATCAGGAGCCGTCGTAAACCCTTCGACGCGAACCCGGTGGCTGTCAATCGGACGTCAACTCCTAAGCCACGCGCACTGTTGCGCAGGTGCCACGCGCCCGCGCGCGGCGGCGCTCCGCGTAACGATTGGGGCCTGTGTAATGCGCGTCGGGGAGTTCACGCGTTGCTCGCGGCATTGCCCGTTTTCGTGAGGGCTGGCGCGTGAGCCGCATGAACGGCCGCTCTGGGTCCGCACGATCTCCTTACGCGGCGTGCGAGACGGAGGGGTGCTCGGCTGACTGGCGTGGCTTGCGTGGGCGTGGAGTATGCATGGGCGGATGATCTAAAGCGCCGCCGGGGCCCCAGAGAGTCGGAAGCAAAGACGAAGTTAAACCCGCGAGAGGTGGCTTGGAGGACGTGCTTATTTGTGGCCGCGGCGAGGTTGTGCGCCTGCGCGTTAGTCGTAGTGGTTTGCTGGGTGTCGAATTGGGATGTGCCTGGCCGCGCCCCGAGCGGGACAGATGACTGGGGTATGTTGATCGGCAATGTATATATAGACTATTCGGAGGGCAAAACGGGTGTCAGCGGAAAAGGTTAATGTTTCTGACCCCCGCTTTGTGAGCTATGCCCGCAACATTGGAACAGCGCATGCCTTCTCTGTATAGCGAAACGATGGGTTGTCGCCGAAGACCAACTATCAGCCCCAAGTAGAAAAACATACTGGAGGTTAGAGGTGTGGCGCACCGGACCCTGAATCCCGGCAAAAAATATCTTCATCACGAGGCACGATAGTAGCTCGATCGTGGACGTCACGACGAAACAGGGACTCGATCTAAAGGTATAGCAGACTCACGAACGTCGGGCTCGGCCTCGAAGCTTGAAGCTTGAGGAACGTCCTCTTCAAGGCTGTGCGGTAACACGCACAGGAGAGAATCCCCGTGTACACATGGTCAGTTGGCAAGTCAGCCCGCAGAATCCGAGGTAACATTGCCAAGCGGCGTTACAACGTAGTACTAAGATTCCTGCTGGAACACCACAAACCGCAGTGTCAGAGGCTGCACAAATAACGAAGCGCTGCCCATAGGCAGTGTGGAGTTGGCTGAGAGAGAATGCGTGCTCAGCGTTTCGGTCGACCACCGACCTCATCGGAGGCGCCGGCGGCCGGGATCATCACGTGGCGTGGGCCCCACGACTGTCGCACCTCAAAGACATCCCCCGAATCCGGGATGCACGCCGCCTCCGAGCAAGCTCGTACGCAGCATTACGAAGATACTTAGACAGGTCTGGCATAAATTCATCATCATCATCCGTCCTAATCCGGTCAAGACGCGAGCATGACCCTCCAATCCAGCATAGAACACCAAGGAATTACATATAAAAGTATCCAAATGGGGGACCATCCGTACACCTCATCGCGTCCTCGTCAGCGCGGGCGGCGAAGGACTAGCCTCACACCGCCTGGTCCCCGGACGAGGACGACACGCTCCGACGCGTTCCCGAGAGCGTTCCCTTCTGATCCTCGTCACGATTCCCAACGACGAACCGCGTCGTCCTTCCGTCGTCCACCGTCACGAGCTCGTGCGCCTCGACCCCAATGAAGATCGGTTGACTCTTCTGTATGACGCGGGCGCGCGTCAGCGGCGCCTGCGACAGGATGAGCGAACGAGAGTGTGCTCACCGTGCCGGCGCCACGCATGGTGGATGTAGATTCCGTCGTGCGGAGCATGCCGACGGCGAAGCCGCGCTGGGCGTTGGGCTCGGTGCCGCCGATGGTGCCACGCGCGACGTGGAGGCTGTGCGGGCCCGACTGCGAGCTAACGTCGCGTTTCCAGACGTCGCGCGCGTTGAGGGAGACGAGGAGGGAGAGGGAGTAGAATTTGGAGATCGTGAGGTTGAACACCAAGTGCAAGGTCGTCGTCTGAAGACGGTGTGAGCGGCGCGTGGGAAGAGTGGGAAGGAGATGGAGGACGTACGATGCGGAGGTACAGAGCGAGGTCAACGATGTTCCAAATGAAGGTGAGAAGGTTCGTCTCGACAGTGACTGCGGTTGTCCAGATCGGTACTCAGAATCGCGCAAACTGGAAGAGATGCTCACGACGAATGATCTTGTCAACGAGCGTATCGGTTGTTTCCATTCCGCTCTTGCGCTTGCTCTACACCCACGAGTCAGCACCAGACGAAGAACGTCAGTTCATCGGTAGAGTAGCACTCACCAGGAAGTACACGAGTGTGGTAGTAATTAAAACGTCCGCAGTGACCGCGCCAATGCACCAGACGATGATGACGTTCTGGAACTTGTAGAAATCGAGGGAATAAGGGATCTTGTGGACGGAGATCGTCGCTCCAACGGCACCGGCTAAGTAGAGAAGTGAGCATTCTAGATAATCCAAGTTAACCCAATGTCGCGACGACGTACATATCTGCACAAGAGAGAAGAATATGATGGCTGCGAAGATCCACATGCTCCTCGTAATGATTTTGATGCGCCATGCGAAGAACCATTGGACAAGCATGGCGACGACACCCTGAAGGTATGTGTTCGTCAAAACATTGGACGTGTGAGCTAAATCATCCAAGGACGTACAGTGGTGATCGGTGTTCCCTGGGCCGCTGGAAAATGAAACGTCTGTGAGCGAGGGATAAGGTATCGAAAAGCTATTACGCGTCGTACCCCATGATGCATGCAACAGGCCAAAATAATCCCCTAGAACAACGGGATCTCAAAAAATAGTAGCATCCAGAACATGGAGGACGTACCGAAGTTCTGGACCAGAGGGATGTAGATAGAGATGATGTTCAGGGTAGTGTGCACGGTCTCAACCACTAAACAGGCGCCAACGAGGGACCGCATCCACAACGGATCCCTGTGAATTGTCAGAATAGAGTAAATGGCGCTGGCTGCGAGGCGGGCTCACCGTTGGAACGAAGTGAAGTAGAGGAACATGTGCGTGCACAGAACTCCGTACAAGAGCGTGTCGAACACGACGGCAAAGAACATCGGGCCAAAGCTGAAAGGGTGACTATGAGCCCCAGGCCTGTCGCCATCTCGAATGCAGAATGAGGACTGAGCTCACTTTACAGACACGCTGAACGGAGCCGACATCTTGGTAGCAGCTGGGGATGTGACGGCGACGTGGATGGGGGGTGGCAGCAGAGCACAAAACGCGGTCTTACCATCTCGCCCTTATGTGTGTGCAGAGTGCGACGAGTGTCCGAGTATTTCCAGTGGGAACTGCTGAGTCCGAGCACCGCGCGGTACGCGCGACAACCACTGGGCCGACACGGTGTCGATCACGGGGAGCTAAAACTCGGCGCTGCGGCGTAATGGAGGCAGGCCGCGGGGACCGTTGACAGTGCATCATTCACCTGTCCAGGCACCCCCAGCTACGACGATATCCGTGGCGCGTTCGAGGCGTGCGGATGCCTACGCTCTCGTCGAAGACTAGCGCGACAGAACAATCTGCTTGATTGCGCGGCGTCATGAAAATGTTGCTTCCCTTCATTGTCTTTGATGCCATGCGAATAATGGAGGCATAGGAACTTGTCACTTGAGTACCCAAGCAGACGAAGGCTGCGGAGGCTCGGGAAGTAGGATTGAATACTAGTATGGCTGCACCAAGGAGACGACACAACACAACGCGCGGGTGCGAAGCGTGGACTTTGGGGTGGGTCTGAAACAGCCGGCTTAAAGCATTAGGCTGGCATCGCAGATGTGCACAAGGAGATCTGGAACGAGTCTTGGTATTCCTAAAGGGGATCGGTCAGGTGGTCACTGGTGGTCAGCGCTTGGACAAATTGCACATGCCGTAAGTCTGCGCAATGTGGTGGAGGCATAAACTGTAAGCCGGGCACTCCTCGCATTAGTGGGGTGAATTTACCCACATTGATGCGGTTGGCTCCTCGAAAGCCTGATGAAAGGCATAGAAAAGCGACCCACTCGCTCAATGCTATGATTTGTCAGCATAAGTACATGGGGCAGCTGCATGGCGTGAACTTCGACGCTCAAGATTCTCTTCCTGTGATGTGCACAAACCTCACCGGGGATCACTCGGGAAAACGAGGGAAGCGGGCGATCGAGCTTTATGTACACATTGCGATTGAGGAGAGAATGCTGAGGATCTACGGCCTAGGTTCGACTCGGCGTCGTGCTTAACGTTTAAGCTTCAAGGGGCGAAATCCAATCCCACCGCGGTAAAACCATTTCCTACCAGCCAGTCGAGTCAGTATCAGTTCAAGAAGAAACAAGGATGCTCGGATACATCACCGTGATGCGTTAGCATTATGTAGTGTTCAGTGCTTTGAGAAACTCTACGGAAGGGGGCAACACACGCCGGAAAACGCTTTTTTGTGCCGGCGGTGTGGTTTGCCTGGGGACTTGGAGCCCTCATCTGACACAGGCGATAGTGAAGCTGTTGGGACGTCACTTGCAGTAACTTGCCAAAGCAAGCAGACTCCTGGCAGGACGGGCACTGGCTATCGTGTGATAAGGTAGCGAAGAAAGTCACTGGTTTTTGGGGATAGCTGCAAGCAGGATGTAGTACCGTGGACGTACCAAATGAAGCGGTGAGAGTGACATGTTCCATCTGACGAGTTCAAGACGGCTCGTCAACAAGCGTTTGAACGCATATTAGTTCCCGGCCCGGCTCCCGGTGGTCTTACATCAGCAGCTGGGCTTAGACTCGAAGTTGCTGAGGTCGGGGTCGAGGCGTGTAGACGAACTACACCTCTTGTTTCTTTACCATCACCACCACTTCCGCCTCCTACTTGTTCTCGTCGCTCTCGTCCAGCTGAGGCTCTTCCTCTCCCTGTTCCGCTTTCTTCTGTAGATCTCACTCTTCGCTGGCACTCGTCGATCTTTGTCCGCTGAGCCACCCATGTCTGCTGCATTTCTGCCCGTGCTTCCCCAGGACGATGTTGCGCGGGCCGCCCAGGTAACGGCCACCTCGTTTACGCCCTTTTCTCTCTGCGGCGTGCTGACCCGTTCACATAGCTCATCCAGCAGACGTACGCCCCACAAACGCATCCTTCTTCGGACGACCAGCGAAGGCTGCAACAAGAACTGTATGACATACAACGACGTCCGGAGGCTTGGGGTCTTGTCCTCCCGTTTCTCAGCAATCCCGACCCAAATGTCCAGTTCTTCGGCGCACACACCCTTCAGGTCAAGATCGCCCGGGACTGGTGAGTCGTGTCCTTGTCTTTCATGCACAGTCTCGCTGGAACCGCAAGGTATCCTCGGTTTACAGGGATAGCGTGCCCGAAGATGCAGCTGAACAACTTCAGGATATGGTGCTGCAGCTGACGGGCCGGGCGGTGACAAGTGGGCAGAATAAAGTAATCCTCCGTAAACTCTTCGTTGCAGTGCGTCCACACCCCCCTACATGTACAAGAGGCGACGCCAACGCCCCCGCTGTACCTACAGATTACTACCCTTGCAATGAAACTCCATCCCCGCCACCCATCCCGCTGGCCAGACTGGCTGCGTGAATCAGTCGCAAAGCTGTCGTCCATGGGCGTGTCTCGCGAACCCATGCTCGACTTCCTTGCGATTGTGTCAGAGGAGATTTCCTCGGCAGATCTGCTTCCCCCCACCAAGTTCGTACCGATAACACACGCGCGGATCGGTTCTGATGGCTGTCTGCACGCAGGTCACAGATGCAAACAACACTGAACGAGGCCGCGCCCATGGTCGTGGAAGCCATCAGCGGCTGCATCTCGCAGCCGCCAGCACATCGCTCGGCCAGCGAGCTCAACTCGGCCCTCAAATGCCTGCAAGCGTGGATGCAAGTGCTGCCAGCCAACCAGATCACACCACTCATCCCCCAGCTCCTCGGTCTGATGGTCCCCACGGTGGAATCACCCCCGGACTACGACGAGGCGACGTTCGTCGGAGCCTCCGATGCCCTCCAAGAGGTCCTCTCGAGCTCCGCGCTCGCCGACGGCATGGGCCCCAAAACTCTCACCGAGCCCCTGCTGCTCTGGCTGGACCGCTACGGCGGTGCGATCGTCCAAGCGACCGTCGATGGCGGCTTCGTCGACGGCGTCTCGCACAACCTGTGCAAGCTCCTCGTCGCGCTCGGGGACCACTCCGCGATGTACTTTGCGACGAACATCGCTGCGCCCGCGCGCGTGCAGGCGCGGCCACCGCCGTCGGCGCTGTCCCCCGCTCTGCCGTTCCCGCTCCCGAGCCCGCTCCCGCAGGTATCGCATCTCGTCCAAACGTTCCTGCGGCTGCTACTCGCGTACACGGCCCTCCCGGGTTTCTATGGCGCGGACGAGGAGGAGAGCGAGATGACGCTCGGGTTTTGGTACCTGTTCCAGGAGGCGCTGTGGAACTCGGATTACGGGTTCGATGTCGCCGAGGACGGGGACGCAGGAAACGAGGGCGAGGAGCGCGAGCGGGACATGATGCCGGTCGCGAAGGCGGTGTACACGGAGCTTGTCTCGGTGTTGCGGAGGAAGGTGGTGTGGCCGACGAAGGCGACCCTGGCGACGTGGACGAGAGACCAGCGGGACAAGTACCAATCGTGAGTGCGCTCCCGTATAGCCGTTGCGTCTTCTAACGATATTATCAGATATCGTCGAGAAGTGGGGGACACGCTTATCAACGCGTATGTTTCCCTTCCGCAGCTGTGTCGTGGAGTGACGTCATATTTCTCGCAGGTACTATGTGCTCAAAGACGACATGCTTGCGTTCTACGTCAACGATGTGATGCAGCGGCTTGCCACGCAGCGAGAGCAGGATGGCTGGGAGGTGAGTGTGATCGCTCTGCAAACCAGCTACGACTGACGACGGGGCAGGAAATCGAAGGGACGTTGCACTGCGTGATGGCAGTTCAGGAGGCCGTTCCCGTCGAGGACTCACCACATCTGCGTCATCTCTTTGGCCCGGACGTACTCAGTCGCCTCCCAAAGGCCGGCGACGAGCGTGTCCGACGCACGGCGCTGCACTTCATCGGCAGCTTCGCCTCCTGGTTTACCACGCAGCCCTCGCAAGTCCCCGGCTCACCGACCGCGTCCCCCTTGATGAACGCGATCACCTACGTCGTCTCCGCGCTCCCCGACCCCACCCTCTGCCTGTTCGCGGCGAACGCCCTGCGCGACCTCTGCGACGCAAATCGCACCGCGCTCGCGCCACACATCAGCGCCTTCGGCGAGCTACACGCGGGCCTGACCGGGATCCCGGACTCCGAGAAGGCAAAGGTGCTGCAGTCCATCGCGAGCGTCATCCAGGCGCTGCCGCCGGCGGAGGAGATTCCCCCGGTAGAGGCGATCGTCGGCCCGGTTGTCGCGAAGCTCTTCGACGCGCTGCAGGGCGCGGCGGGACTCCCGGACGACGCGCGGCAGCTCGCAGTGCAGCAGCTCGAGACGCTGACAGGCGTCGCGCGGGGCCTGACGCGCGTCACGGACTCGCTGCTTGCGCTCGACGAGTCTCCGGACGTGCAGGCGGCGATGCAGGAGATGGCGGCGGCGCGGGAGGACCCCAGGGTGCTGAAGTTGCGAGAGGCGATCTTGGAGGGCGTCAGACGGTTGGTGGACATGTGGTCGACGGACGCCACCGTCAGCGATGTGAGTCCGCGGACCTCCGTGGTATGTTTGAGTGCTGACGACTGGTCTCCAGGCGTTGAGCGACTTGTTCAAAGCCATTACGGCGCTCCCGTCTGACGTGACGTTGATCTCGCTCCCGGCCCCGCCGTTGCTCGAGCTCGTTTGCGTCGCGGCGCAGAAGCAGCTGACTGCTGTCTGGCTGACGCTGACGACGATGCTGATCATTCAGCTCAATCCGCCCTCGTTGCTCCCAGCGACCTTCAAGCAAGAGCCCACTCCAGAGGCTCAAGAAGTTGCGCGGAATGTGCTGTCGGTGCTCCTGCAGACAGTGCTGACGGTGTTCTCACAAGACGGCGTCATGGCCTCGGTACGTTTGTCTCTCACTACGTCCCACGCCCATCTAACTCTCCCGCAGAACCCAGACATCGTGCAGGCGTTCTTCGGCTGCATGGACTCCGTGCGTATCCTGCACCGTTCGAGTGCCCACCCGCTGATAGTTCCCCTGCAGTTCGTTCACCACTTCCTCCACAATTTCTACCGCCTCCCACCCGACCTATTCAACGCGCTCATCCAGTGCGCCACGAGCGCGCTCGCACTACAAGAGCGCTATTCCCTGGCATCCACGTGCACCTTCCTCGTGCGTTATTCCCCTCCGTGTACCCCCACACACTGACGCCTTGGTTAGGCGGCAATTATCAACCGAACCTGCATCACCGACGACCTCGGGGCCGGGAAGACGGCGTTCGCGCAGACGCATGGCGCTGCGATCATGCGTGCGGTGCTCTTCGGCTTCGCAGGCGTCGCGCCGCGGTCGGTCATGCAAAACCTGATCGAGCTGCTGTCGACGATGATCACGCGGTACCCGCTCGAGAGCAAGCAGTGGATCACAGCCATTCTCTTCGCGGTATGTCAGCTGCGCTTGGTGCATGGTGTGCGTGGCTGACTCGGTCCACAGGACGACTTTTACCCCTGCCGCGCAACCACTGAGGCGAAAAACAAGTTCATCAAGACCGTCTTTGGCACTCGTTCGATCAAGCGCACACGAGACGCAGCCCAGCAGTTCACGCTGATCGCGCGCGGCCTGGAGGGCTCGAACTTTGGATATGCCACCGCGACCTAGACCCCCTCATCTCCCTCTGACCGTCGTTCGTATCGCACGCCGTCATACAATAATGGAAGAAGTGTATATCCTATGTATCCCTACACACATACCACTCAATCCGCATAGGCCTCTCGAATGTTATCCTACCCGACGACCTTCTCCTTGCGCCGCTGCGTCTGCTTCCGCCGCGAGACCGTCTTGCTCTCCTTCGCCGCCTTCGCCCGCGTCTTCGCCCTCGCCACAGGCCTGGGCTTCAGGAGTTCCAGCACCCGTCGCCGCCGCTGGCGCAGGACGCGCTGCGCCAGCCGCTCGTCCTCGGACAGCTCGCCCTCGTCACCGTCGTCGAACGAGAAGATGGTGCCGGTGCGCTTAGTCCGACGGTTAGTGCGAGGGTCGACGGGCCCTGGCCCCGAGTCGCTTGGCTCATGCTCGTCGAAGGACGCGTCGAAGATCACTGTGCTCTTGCGGTGTTCGAACGCCTGCACCGCTGGGGTGCGCGGCGTCCCGCGTCGGCCGAGGATGGGGCTCGCGACGGCGAGCGATGCCCGCCGCACCACGCCCGCCGCGCTCCGGATCGCGTGCACCACGCCGCCGCGCCGCTCTTGTCCGACGCGCGGGGTGGGCTTCTCAAAGTCGACGGCCCCAGCGACGGCAGCCATTGCCTCTGCGAGCGTCTCGTCGCCCTCGCCCAATGTGTCGTCCGATGTGTACGTGTCGTGTACTCGTTCCGAACTCGTACGCTGCGTCGGCAGCGGCTCGGGGCTCGCGTACTCGGGGACGGACTCGAGCTCTTGGTCAGCGCCGGCGCCCGGGAGGGTCTGGTCGCAGAACGTCTCCTTCTCGGTCCGGACGTGCACGGATATGCTGTTCCGGAGCTTGCGCGTAGGTGGGAGAGTGAAACTGTCGTTTGTAGGGCCGTACACCGGCGGGCTCGCGTCCTTCTCGATGGCCCCCGTGGGTGATGAGTCCGGCGTCGGGGGCGGGAGCCAGTGTGGGGGTCCGGTGCCCGCCCCAGTGCCGACGACGGCGTTGAGCGCGTTGAAGAAGTTGGACCGGATCGACGCCGTCCAGCTCTCAGACCTCTGCTCTTGCTCCTGCTCCTGCTCTTGCTCTTGTTCTTGCCCTTTCTCCTTCTCCTCCCCCCTCTTCGTCTCCTGACTGTCGCTGCTCGAATAGCGCTGTATCTCGCCGGGATACGGCAGCGGCTTCTCTAATCGAGCCTGCTCCTCCCGCTCCCACCCGCCGCGCGGAGTCTCTGCATCTTCAGCGGGCTCCACGGCTGCGACTCCGCGTGCGCGGGGGCCAGCCCCGGCCGGCGCGCGAAGTACCCGGCCGGCTCCGCGGCATCACCATCGCCGCTGTCCGCTGAGATGTCGCCCGGGCGAGGTTCGCGATCTGCAGCGTCCGCGGCGTGTCCTCCAGGCGCACGTCGACGAACGGCGTCCCGGGCGTCACCTGCGGGAGCGACGGGTGCGCATACGCATGCGACTGACCTCCTCGGTCCGGAGGGAGAGGGTTCGGCCAAGACCCGTTGATGTCGGTGAAGCGGCGGTCGCCGGGTGCGTCTGGTCGACGGCCCGTTCGCGCCTGCGCCAGACGGACCATCCAAGCCCGGAGCAACGATCCCGAGCCCGCGAGGTTGCGGTGCCGGCCGCTCTCGAGGGTGGTCTGACGTGAGAGGCGCGGAAGGCCGTGCCAGGGTTTCTCCGTGGCCCGGCGGATTGGGCGGCCCGCTGACGACGTTGTTGTTGGTGTTGTTTGTCGTCATCGTCGTCGCGGTGCGCGGTAAAGCGGCGGGTCGGAGCCACCAGGCGAGGACCGCGACGACGAAGCCGAGCGCCGCAATGCCGAGAATGCGATCCCGGCACGGAGCTGTTTCTCGTGCTGCTGGAGCGCGGCGCTGAGATTGGCAGTGGGGGCGGCAGCGGCGGAGGACGAGGTGGTGGTTGAGCTCGCAGTTGTGGTGGTATCGAGGGCGGTGGTCGTAGTGGATGGCAGACTTGAAGGCAGGATAGATGTGGACGTGGACGAGATGAGCGGCATGGACGACAGGGACGACAGGGACGACAGGGAGGGCATGGACGACGGGGACATGGAAGACAGGGATACAGACGACAGGGATGTGGATAGGGACGTGAGCGACGGGGACAGAAACAACGGGGATATTGATGTAGATGTTGGCATGAAAGTATCAGAAGGGGTTATAAAAGATGAATCCAGTGTCGCGAACGTCGTGGGCACAGCAGAAAGCGGTGCTATTGAGGAAGCCCAGTCCACTGAGGTCATGGGTGGTGCCGTTGCGAAAGCAGAATCCAGAGTTGCCGGAGGACCCAGCGAATCGACCAAAGGCAGTGTTGTCCCAAAGATATTGACTTTGGTGAACGTAGTGACCACGATGTCGGGGAATGCAGTCTGAGCAATGATCGGAGGGCCGTCCACTCGACGACCTGTCGTGCTCACCGTCACATCCTAAAATCGACACGAAACGTCAGAGTTTGTCCACCGGTAGTAGACGTATGTATACGTACCGGTCCCCCCGCATCGTCTGGCACCACAATCTGCCCTTCCCTTCCCGAACCCTCCTCCCCTTGGCCCGACAAGTCCTGCCAGCCCGGATCGCCTTGACCGTCCAAACCGTCCTGACCGTCCTGCGCCGAGGTGTCGGCTTCCCCATCCCCAAGCCAATCACCCGGCCTGATCAAGCGAGTATCATCCACAACCTTTGGTGCGCCCCTGGCGCTCCCCGGGTGCGGGTGCGGTCCCTCGGCGGCCAGGTTCTCGGTCTTGCTCTTCAGCGCGCCGGGATGGGCCGCGACGACCTGCCCACCGGGCTTGACGAACAGCGACCCGCCGCCGCCGCTCACCGCAAGCCGGAAGTCGCGCGCGTGCCGGACGCGGAACGAGGGGAGGTGGTGGCGCATCGCGCGAGCGGGGGGAGTTGGGAGGGTCGGGCTTGAACGAGGGAACAAAAAAAGGAGCGAGCGCGCCAGGCGGACAGTGCGTGACCAGCACGGCGACGAAGAAAGCGACGGCGAAGCAACAGGGCGGGAAAGAACGTCGAAGGAGGGATGGGGAGGACGTGACCGCCGGGGTCTTGGGGAAGGCGAGCGAGCGAGGCCCGTCTTGACTGTGCTCGCAGAGGCTGACATGGTGCTTGCAAAATGGACTGACTGACGTGCTGACGGACCGTGTAGCGGGATGCGCACATGGCAGACGTGCTTTGTTCAAAACCAGGCCACTACGAAACATATGAGTGAGCAGGCAAGTTGGTCGCTGTTGAAATATGTACCTGCTCGATGTACCTCAGGGCGCAGAAGTTGCGAACTTGATGATGCCACGGGCACATGCGTCGTACCCGGGCCGATGAAGGTCAACAAAGGATGCTCGCATTCCAGCCGCGACAGAAAGCCACATGTAAAATACAACGTCGAATGACTACTGCGACCAACACTAGGATGTCAACAAGCGCGACAACGACAACGGGCATGAGAGTAACGATAGAGCAGGGACGACAGATGGACGGACAGAAAGTGAGGGACAAGCAGGCAAAACAAGCAAACTACAACAGGCGCATCATTGGAAGCAAAAGATGGCACCACGGCCGGCAATGGGAGCGTAACAGTACTTGGAATAGCATGATCCAGAACGGGACGAGCGCAAGGTCCCCAACGTCTAACACCAACGACGACTTACTTCTCTCTCTCTCCCCATGCAGCTCTCCACGAACACAGGACCAAGGCTCACGTATCGTCCGAAATGATGTTCCCGATGCTCAAGGGGTTCTTCTTCCCCACCCCGCCTCCACGCTCCCCGCCCGCGCTCGACCCCGGCGGGCTGCTCTTGATCGGCGCGAGCTGGATCCTCTGCAAGCCCTGCTGCTGCCCCTGCCCCGCCTGTGGCGCCGCATACGCATACTCCGGCTGCGCGTACCCCTGCGACGGGTGCTGGTGCTGGTGCGGGTGGTGCGGGTGCGGGTGTTGCTGATGGTGCGGGTGGTGGTGCGTCGGCGGGGGCGGCGCCCCGTACTGTGGTTGGGTTCCCCACGTGCTCTCCGCGGGCCCGGGCGGGGGCGGGGGCGGGAGCGGGTACCCGCTGTAGCCCTGCGAGCTGTGGTGGTGCGGCGGCGTGCTCAGCTGGTAGGTGTGCGGCGGGGGCGCCCCGCGCGTCGCTTGTTGGGTCTGTGATGGGGGAGGTGGCTGCGGTTGGCTGCTTGCGTACGACGGGTATTGTGGGTACCCGCGCGATGCGTACTGGGACGACGCGGCGGACGCGGGGGGCGGCTGGGAGTACTCGCTTGCGTACGCGGGTTGGGAAGGGGCAGGAGGAGGAGAGGTTGGTTGAGGCTGAGGCTGAGGGGCATAACCATGGTGGTGCGCAGATTGCGCGGGTACACCATGATGCGATGGGGATGCGGCCACTGGAGCAGGAGGGGGAGCGGGCTGGTGGTGTTGTTGCTGATGGTGGTGGTGTTGCTCGTAGTACCCACTGTACGCCGCCGGAGCCTGAGGCTGAGGGTGCGATTGAGGTGTTGACTGACTTGGAGGAGGCGCATACCCATAATCGTAGCGTGGAGCGGGAGCGGGAGCAGCTGGAGCAGGCGGAGGTTGATGAGGGTGATGAGAGGGAGCGGGAGCAGACGCATAGTGATGGTGGCTGTAGGGGTCGTATGCCTGTGGGGGTGCTGGATGTGCACCCCAGGTTGGGGTCTGTGTAGGTGCCGTACTCGGAGCAGGAGCAGGAGCGGGCGCAGGAGGACTGTATGATGCGTATGGGGCAGGAGGAGGATGATGAGAGTGCTGATGCGGCGGAGGTGGTGGGACGCTGTAGTGATGGGTAGGATGGGCAGGGTAGTGGGGTGCTGGTGGCGGGGCCGCAGTGTGATCATAGTGATATGCAGGGGCAGGAGTTGTGGCAGGTGCCGAGTAACGATGTCGTAAGGCGTAGAAGGGGGAGGAGGAGCATTGGAGGAGTAGTGGTGATGCTCGACCGACGCTTGGTGAGGAGGGGCAGGAGCAGCTTGAGGCGCCGCGGAGGAGTGTGCAGCTCCGAGGGCAGGGTCAATTGATGACCAGGTAGACACGCTGGGAGCCGGGGGAGGTTCCTCCGCACCGGTATCTTCTGATCGAGGCCTCTTTAATCCGCGGTTCTCCATGCTTTCTCGCCTGCTCATGACTCCTGGGGCGCCATGGCCCGCCATGCTCGCCGTGGACTCACGTCTGTGCCTCTCTGCTTCCTGATCGCGATCCCTCTCGACCTCCATCCGATTGCGTTCGCGTTCGCGCTCCTTCTCATGATCTTCCTCTTCATCGTCGTCCAACGGTATTGGGACAGGGCCGAACGCTCCGTGTGGTAGGGGTGCGTTGCCCATGGGAATCGGGATAGCTTGATCCGGCGAAGGCATGGGCCGCTTGCGTACACGTATATCCTTGCGGATACGAATCTTGATGCCCTGGTCAGCCAATGACACCGACAACGGTGTTGACTCTATGATGGCAGGTCAGGAGACCACGTGGATTAACGAGCGAGGGGTTACACACCTTCCATGCCAGGGAACTTCTTTGCCGTGTAAACATAGAAAGGAGCGGAAAAGATAGACTTGCAATGAAAGACACTCGATCTGAACAACGCTGAGGACGAGTTGGAGGACTATGAGCGAAAAACTCACCCAACAACCTCGAACAAACTAAGTTTGAGTCGATAGCTGCCTTCCGTTCGGACGCTGAGGTCGGGAAGACGAAGAAGCCAGCGTCGGTGTTCTGGTTTTCACTATCTTTGAGGTGGTACAATGAAGAGACACAGAGCCCGTTGTGCATCGGGTCTTCCCGTCCTGAAAGGGTAGCTGTGAGTACTTTGTCACGGAGGTAACGAGCATAGTCTGACAGAAAGGCGACGAAAGATGTCGTGAACGATCAGGCAGGTGGAGACACGTCTCCCGAGGACTGCAGAAGCACATATGCATTCGACTTTTTAGCATGCCGGAAAAGGCGACGCAGCAGACTTGCAATACTGTCGCGAGCCCCACCGCTGTGCGGCGTCGGGTGGAAGTGGAAGGAAGCCGGAGGACCGGAGATTCGGAGAAGCTCGGATGAAAGAGGCCTATGCTTACCTTCAGCCAGTGAAGCTCCACGTCTTCATCCGGTTTCGCGAGACTTGCGAACATGAAGTAGTACGGGTTTTGCAGGAAACTCTGAGCAGAAGGTGGGGCGCAGAATCTGCGGGTATACAGGTGTGAGCGACACAGTGTTCGTGATAATGGAAAAGCACCGGGGCCGCAAAATTGCGGTGTATGCGCTTCTGGGCGCGCGAGGGTATCCACATGGTATATGCGTGGAACGACGCGTCGCAAAAAGGGTGCGGAGACTTACCAGGCGAGCTAGCTCTTGAGGAACTGGACTGTGGCCGGCGCGCAGAGGGGTCGATGACGCGGAGTTGGACGATGGGAGGCGGGTCGATGGGTCGACGGTCGGCTGTATGCGTGCTTGATTAGTACGCTGGTTTGGGAGGGAGCATAGGAATGGACCTTTACCGCCTACACCACACATGCGAGCCTGCTTTGGCTCCTGGCGCATGGTAAGTTCATACTCCCTGGGGTCGTACGGGCGAGACATCATTGGGGGCGGGGAAGCAGGGGGCGTCGAGAACCCGAGTGGGCAGCGCGGCGGGACGGACGCGGCGAGGGGCAGGATGGCAGAGGGAGGCGATATATGTTGGTGCGAGAGAAGAGGACAGTGAGTCGGCAGGTACGAGACCATGGGTTTGGATTGGGGGTGGGAAGCGCGACGATGGTGATCGGAGGACTCACAGTCTGTCTCTGTCGTACTGCGAGTGCACGGGCAGCTTGGCGTGCACGAACTGCGCTTGCTCGTCGTCCATCGCGGCGTGGTGGTTGTTGGAGACAGCGAGGACGTTGACGATTCAAGCTCTCCTGGTCGACGTTCAGGTGAGAACCAGCCGTGGGCCCCGACGCACTGGAGCGATCACAGCGGAGACCTCCGATCCTGCTGATCATGCTCAGATAGTCCTCAGTAAGTAGCGGAGTTTAGAATATCCTTACCACTCCTAAAGGATATTCCATGCTCCGCTATGCCGCGCAATCTCCGACTTCTCTCGGGCTTTTGGACCGCTCCCTTGGCTCCTACCAAACATTCGGTCGCTCCCAAGCCAGAACTCCGCGCCCCGAGCCCATGGTCTCGGTACGGGTCTTCCCTTGGCTAGGTTGACTCAACGCGCGGCCTCAGTAAACACGTCCGAGTACTCACAGCATCCGCCTCTACTTATCGATCCTCTGCTCGGAGAAAGCATACCAGTTCGTCTCAAGATTCATAATGATATTCACTACTCTAGTACTCATACAACTAGCCCGTCGCCATGTGTTCATATCGCCATCAAATAGGTATGATATTCAGGCCGTATGTCTCCCCCCTTTCGCTTTCTTATTGTCGGGTACTCCCGGCTGGCTCTTCCCTTTCTCACTTCCCGAACGTTGTAACTCATGGAGCTCGTCCAAAGATATATACCGCGCCGATTATGCGGTGGTCACGCGGGCTTCGTGCCCCGAGTCCGTGGATCTGGCTAGATCGGCATAAAGGCACTTCCAGATGCGGACGTTTTCTTCATCTTCGACTGGGCATCGTTCTAGCGAAACACAAGGCAAAGCGAAGTAGTTCTCTTATCTCAGAGTTTATACTCGACGGTGTCACAAGGCCAAGTGCGTCGTAAAAATGTACCTACCTCCAACGTCGGCTGCAAATATATAGCTAGTAAGTGCCTCGCCCAGAAATATAGCCCACGCCTATACTTCCCGCGCAACGTCTTCCCCGCCCACCGCTGCGCACGCGTGTCGGCATCGCACGACCGCTCAAATACTCAAAAGCGCATCGTCTACGTAGTGCCGAACCTCCAGGGGCCACCTTGCTCACTCGGCCCAGGCGTGTCGCCAAAATGCCGGAGCCCGAACCCCGCCTCCCGCCTGTTCCTGACGGCTGGCTCATCCGCGAACGAAGTTTGGGCTGTGCGTAGCGTGCCCCGATAACCGACCCCCGACCCGGCTGGGAACCACGCAGGTCTCTCTCAGCGTTGTCGCCCGCCCAGGAGCTGGGCTCTCATACCCAGCTGCCGGCGCGGGTGCCCGTGGGTGCACCAGGCCGCCGCGGACTGGACCCCGCTTCCCGGGCTCTGTCGATTCACACCGCCCTCGAGCCCGTCCGCAGAGCTGGGATCAGGGTGAGCGTCGACTCGCGTGCCGGTGCTGGCGAGCGACTCAAGGTTGGCGGAAGGGTTCCTAGTGGGGCGCCGGGGGCTTTGATGACGTCAGCAGTCTTTCCATTCGAGTTTGTTGCATATGCTCAAGATCTACGCTCCAGACTAGGCCTTGACCGGGCCTGGAATGAGGTATATGTTGGGTAAGGATGAGTGTGTAAACCATCGTAGCCGTTCGCTGACTATCTCGTCCACTTCGCATGTGTTACTGCATGTGGCGGACGCGGCTTACCGACACCAGTGCTCCTCTCATATTTCTGCTCTCATGTGGAAGGGCAGTTGTTAGAGAATTAAAGAGTGCTATCATTACTGAAAACGAACGATGACGCAATTCAGTGTACTACCAAAAGTCTAAATGACTAGTCCAACGACAATGTCCATCAGATCTAACAGAAAGGAGAAACGGGTCGCGAGGGAAAAGGTCCTCGTACTAGCAAAAGTGAAGGTAACCACAGTCAGGAAAAGAGAAGACACTCAAAAAGCAAAGGCGCTTCCGACCGGATGACCGAAGCTTTGTCGCGGCTCGGGCGGTAATGGTAGGGAGGGCCGTCGCAGATTAGAACCCGGTGCTGGCGACGAAGGTGATCGTGACGGGGCTGCCCGTCGCGGTCGACGAGACGATGGTACCAGCGGCGGAGGTCGTGGACTCCGAGCCCGCCGTCGTCGTGCTAACCGCGCCCGGCGAGACCGTGGAGGTGGAGACACCCGCCCCGCCGACGCTCGCGGTCGACGTCGAGACGCTGCCGGGCGACGCCGTGGAGGTTGAGACTGCCCCACGCGCGCCGTGGACGTCTTGACGTTCCCGTGCTTGTCGAGACCCCGCCGGTGACCGTGCTCGTGGTGACTCCACCGATGACCGTGCTCGTCGTCACCCCTCCGCGACTGTGCTGTCGTAACCCCGCCCCCAACGAACGTGACCGTCGTGGGCTCCGTCCCGTCCGCCGTCGTGCCGCCAATGAAGGTGATCGTCGTCGGGTCGGCCTCGGCCACCTTCGTGACGGTGCTGGGCCCGTGGCGTCTGCCGTCGTACCGCCGACGAAGGTGATGGTGGTGGGCTCTGTCGCGCTGAGCGTAGTGCCGCCGACAAAGGTGACTGTCGTTACGCCCGCCGCAGCGCGCCCGGTCGGGAACGCGCTCGAGGGGTCGGTGGTGATCGTCACGGTGGTGGGCGTGCCGCCGATGGAGGTGGTGATGGTGGTCACGTCGCGTGCGTCGACGTGGGCGGGGGCAGCTGAGGCTGTGGGGAAAGGAAGGCGGTAGAGTCAGTGAGGGGCAGAGGGCAGAAGGTAGTAGGAAGCGAGGGGGTGGAGAGCGTACCTTGGCCGATGGCGACCGCAGCGAGGACGATGTTGAACAGGCTGGCGAACATTTGAGGGAGAGGATGTGAAGCTGGCGAGGAAGGCGAAGATGGGACAAGAGCAGTGGTGAGAGAAGAGAAGCGGAAGATTGGGGACGTCAGCTCGCTCCATCTATGTTATATATGTGCCCTGTATGCCGACTTCCTTAGGCCGTCGCTTGGGTACATGACTGGTTGCCTGCCTATGATAATGCCGACCGACATGAATTGGAGATGGCTTCCGCAGTAAGCAGCGAGACGATCTTCCAACATACCGCCGAGGTTACGTCCGGCTGCGGGAGGCTCGGCAGGGGCGTGGAAAGCGCCTCGTATCCCCGTCTGGCAAGATGTCGCTCCTTGGAGTCCAGCGACAGTACCATCGGAGTTCGTAGCGAGCTGGTAAATATTTGAGAGAGACTTCAAGATTTTTCGCCCTCGCCGTCTGGCCGAGACGAGCTACCTTGCGTGAAGGAGTCACAAAGGGCTGCCGCCCGGACCTCCTGTGGCTCGAAACTCGTCTGCATTCACTGTGAATTTCGTCTCCAAGCCTTAAGGCGTTAGAGATGAGTACTTAACGGGTGAATGAGTCTCTGGAGGCGTCGAGGGAAAACACTATCCATGCCCGGAGCACCGGTATCACCGTCTGTCGCCGGCGAGGGAGAGCAGTGGTGGTTCGAATGAGAGTCTCGCAGACGCGTGGCACTGTCGACAAATGATCCGGGTCGGCTAAAGCCGCACTGAGCGCTCAGCGCTGTCTCCAGCTGCCAGAGACGCCCGGGGTGCGTGCGCTCTGGCATTAGTATTCACGAGCTCCTCCTCCTCCTCCACTGTGTCAAAACACACGCCGGCAGCGCATCGAGGCATGTTCTTTGTAGATTTGATAGTCAGCTAGCTGATGGCCATACCTAGTGATTACTGCACCAACTTCGTGCGCACATGCAGGCCTCGAAGTTCTGTGCTGAGAAGAAATTGCCAGACCTGGAGGAAGCGACCGACCGCTCCTACACAGCCATCCGGGCCTCACCGCTCGGCACACTGCACATCGAAGTTCACATTTTGCGCTCACGTGGGGTAAACACGTATTCCGATCGCTTGATCACGGTCTCCGGGATCGGAACCCTCTTAGGGATAAGTCCGGGCCATCCACTGCGGCGCGTCTCGTTCTCCTAACCACTGATCAGTTGATGCGCGTAGGCTGCGCAACGAGCTATCGGAGGTGTGGATCGCAGTCCCCGGTCAGAGAACGGCGTCGCTGGGACTGCGCAGTACTAAGTAGGCTCGTGCCTGGGCGAGAAACACGGGGATTGTGCGCTACTTCATATATGGACTGAGAGCCTTACTGAGTGGATCGAATTCAACGTGGCGCAGGCCCAAACTGAAAGGTGCGCACCTGTAATCTCGGTGCTCCGCTAGAACACGGATCCACACGACGCAGATGACGATCCATTATGAGTTCCAGAGAAAAAGTAGGTCACTGGTCCAGCCCGGTTTGGGGGCACGTCAGACGCTGCAAGGAAACATGTAAGAACAAGGCGAAGCGTACGATTGAGAGTCGTTGCCCGGGTAGCTCCCCCCGTTGAGCTTGGGAGGATTGCTTATCGTGCTCAGTGCAAGTAGTCTAGTGGGGGCTTAGTAAGCCTACTTATTAGCGGGGAACCGGACGGCCCCTGGAAGAACGGCAGAGTTGCGCTTTTTGAATAAGTTGTAGACAATACAGTATCTGCATCGTGCAGATCAATATTCAAAGCCCCTTGAGGCGACGAGAAGGGGTGCCATTTCGAAATCACGCAGAAGACAAGAGACTTGAGTGACAGAACCCTCAATCGAGCCCTCACACCAGCCATCAGTAACAGTAGTTCAGTCGCAAGAGGTATCCAAAATCCACGAGACCCAATAACCAGGGTATACAACGGCGGGGTAACCGGGCGCGCGCTCAGACCATCGAGCGGTCGACGGTCACCGACGAGCGCCGCGTGTTGCCGCTCAACGCGCGCGAGTCCCCGGTCTTCTTCTGGTGCTCGAGGAGCTGCGAGCCCTTGACGTCGTCGACGTCGACCATCTCGTGCGCCTCGACGTCGATGAAGATCTGCTGCGGCTGCTCGCGCGGCGGAGTCAGCGCGGTCAGAGGGAGGCGGAGGAGGCGACGCACGTGTGCGCTCCCGGCGGACCGGAGCATGTTCACGCGCCCGGGCGGCCCGGAGTGGGTGCGCCCGTCAGAGTGCGAGCCCGAGTCCTCGGTCCCGCCGTCTATCCCGCCGTGGCGGCTGAGGAGGGAGGTGAGGAGGGAGATCGTGTACAGCTTCGAGAGCGTGAAGTTGAAGAAGAGGTGGAGCCCGGTCGGGACGGTCAGGTAGACGATCAGGATAATCAACGCCCACATGGAGGTGAGCAGGCCCGTCTCGAGCGTCACTGTCGAGGAGCGGCGAGTCAGCGAGCTTGCGGGAGGCCAGACGTGAAGTGCGACGTACGGCGGGTGATCTTGTTGATGAGCGTGTCGGTGAACCTCATCCCGTCTTCCTCTTGCGAAGGTGGAACACGAGAGTGGTCGTAATCGCGATGTCCGCAGTCGCGGCCATCGGAAGCCAGACGTAGGTGATCGGCCGGAGCTTATCCAACTCGAGCATCTTCGTGACTTTGGTGGCGCCGATCGTAGTCCCAAGGCCGCCCACTGGAGTACGCCGAGGTGAGTATGACAACGGATGCTAAGGAGAGCTCACGGCACGCACGGAACGACGCGAACGCGCAGATGTAGATGAACCCGACGATCCAGTTGTTCTTGGTGAGAACCTTGACACGCCACGCGAAGAAACCCTGCACGAGGATGGCGACGGTGGCGACGGTAATCGGGTCGCTTTGGAACTCTGTAGTGTATTAGCGCTGACGTCCAGATCGAGGACGAGGTTGAACACACCCCAAGTAGTCGACAGCACGGCCGCATAATCACCGAACTGCATGATGAGCGGGCGGTACAAGGCCATGACGTCAAAGCAGGAGTTGAGGAAATCGGTGCCGACCACCGTGCCGACGAGGACCTTCATCCATACCAGGTCCCTGCGTCGTGAGTAGGTACGTATGCGATTTACACGTTGGAGCGGGGGTGCTTACTTTTTGTAGGTGGTAAAATACAAGAACGCCTGAGTGCAGATGATGCCAAAGAGGTAAACGTCGACGATGATACCAACGAATAACGGGGCGTAGCTGTGGAGAGCAAGTTGGGTGAGCCCGAATGAACGCCATGCGGTACGATGAGGTACATACATAATGGATATATCAAACGCGGGTACTGTTTCGTTGGTAGACATGGCGGGATATCGGGTACGGGAGGTGCTGTAAAGTTCGCGACTAGCCACTCGTCGTGGACTAGGCCGCTAAGGCAGAAGATAGGAGCGGAGGGAGTCGATGAGAGGGGGTGGAGGACGAGCTCCATACGCTGGCGTTATATGTGCACTTGGGACGCCCATGTTCGAAACGGCGATATCCGGTGTCTGCGGTCGAGGCAGCTTGAAGGAGCGGACACAGGCTCCAAAGGTTGTGGTCGACCCTGGAGAACAACAGTGTGAGTGTACGGAGAAGCTTCCGATCGATCAAAATGGCAGAACGTCTTCTACACGGATTTTGATTGACATGGCGAGGGGACTCTAACTGAAAGGAATTGGTCATTGCATTGACCGCCGTTAATTCTCGGATATTTGGATGGCGTCCCGCGTGAACTTCCTGCAGTTGGCCGGAGCATGTCAGCTTCAGCAAATAGGCCAACATAGAGAAGGTCGTGAAGACCTGGTTCCACACATTAGGACATGCACCATTCAACCAAAGTATGGCGTTCAACCGTCAGGATCGCGCGCTGACGTGCCGCATGCTGGGCACGGCCAATTGTGGGCCCTGGGTTCCCACCGCCCAATTGACTTGTGATCGTAGAAGTCGAGCCTCGTGGGTGTGATGGCTGTACGACGTCAGCGCGCGTACATCGGACAGCGAGGGGTGGGCCTGGGCCCGCCAGAGCCGGGCGCGGACGCAGAGTGGAGCGAGCCGCCGGGTGGGCGGGATCGCTCGCGCGGCGATCTGGGGATGTCCGGCGATAGCCCGTGGCACGTGAACAGTTCAATAGGCAGCTAAGTACGAAAAATTACGCGGGCGAGAAGGGTGTGAAGACGATGGATGGTACGGCGGGGAACGGGATGTGGGGGGAAAGAGAGAAGGCGCGCGGGCAGACGGGCAGACGGCACGGAAAGTTTGCTTGAGGACTGAGCGCCCATGGCTCGGCCGGCAGATAGTTCACGCTCGCGCCTCCGATGAGTCGGCTGTGCGCGGCTGGTGTTGGCAGCGCCGCCGGCTAGGACCGTTGCGGCTGAGGGCGATCGGAGAGGCGGCGGGGGCGCGGACCTGGCCAGACCTGGCCCCGCCACACGAAGAGCACCGCAGGGAGGGCGGGCGGTGGGAGAGCGAGGCAGAGGAGGCTAGCGGGAGCACAGAGGAGGGCCACGGGCACGGGGAGCCTCAGGGAGGTATCCCAGCTGGGTATCCCCCGCGATGGTTGATCCCGTGTGGCGTCCAAAGCATAATTGAATGACGTAGCGTCGTGCCTTTCGTCCGGGTGGACGTCCATATTTCTGATGGGGACATTATTTAACTGTTTGTGCGCATTTCGTGTCGGTCGAAAGTTGAACTGTCCGCGCGTCCTGGTGCCCCCGCAGCTCACGACTCGCGCGTCGGGCCCGGTCCACACGGCACACGAACGGGATGCGTGCGCGTCATGCATTGCGCATGTCCCGCACAGCGCGCGCGCGTCCCCGCCTCATGCAGCATCTCGGTCTGCACGACATCGCGTAAAAGACAGAGGCGGGCGGACAGTTTACCTTTCTACCAGAACGAAATGCGGCTCACTGTTAAATAATCGACCTATCAGAAATACAGGCGCCCAGCTGGACGAATGGCATGCTTTCGTTCGCATTTCCGCCAGCCAGGTATTCTGCATTGCCCGTCATGACATTAATAGCCAGCTCGGTCATACGGTACCAGCGCTTAGTCATCGCGTAGATAGCCGCCGTCCCTCGTCCCGCACTCGCCTCACGCGTTTACACGTTCCCCCCCGCGTCCGTCTGTGCTGGCCTCCCAGTGTCCATAGGGACCAACCGCGTCGTATCGATTGCCTTTACCCCCTCGTCCGACCTCCGAGCCGCCCACTTCTAACAGGAAGTACTGTCGCACTGGAGGAGAGGGGAGTCGGGACACTGGGAGTGCCGCGGAGGGGACTTTGCGCCTGATCTAGTGTGCGGAGAGAGCAAAGAAAAGTCGTTGGCTCATCAGCGTGGCCGTGAACAGCCGGACGCATGAGTCCACTTCCGCATACTACGCGTGGTAGGCAGAGAGTCTTATGTACTGGGACGAACGTACCCCTCCCACGCTCGAACGTGAATCTCACGGTGCGGACGGAGTTTCGCTCTGTGCGGGCACACAGGGGCACACCCGCCTGCTCAGTCGCCAAGTCTTGGACATCTCACGCATTCACGTTCACGGCAGGCGCACTCGCAATGTCCCCTCCCTCCTATCTAAAGCGACATGTCCGCCCACTTCGTTCTCATCCCCTTTCCACTCCTCGTTCCCTCTCGCTCGCTCTCTCGCTGCCCTCGACCACTCCCACCCGGATCCGAACTCCGTCACTACCTCGGGCCAAGACTCTTGCTCATCATCTACAAGACGTCCCCCTATCTCAGTACTATCGTCAGTGACGGGTATTCCAGGGCTTTGGAATGTACGTATAGTTTGGCTTTCAATGTCTGGAAAGCGACTAATCAGCTCTCAAATTCGAACGGGCCGGGCACATTATCACTGTGCGGGCCCGTTGCTTGACGACCGAGTGAAAGCGCCCAGACTGGGAAGTGCTTATACATATCAGCATGGCAACATGGCATCGCGGTGCTAGACATCTCCGAGTCTGCCTCTTCCACTCGCTTGCATATCCGCCAATCCCATCGCCGGCACCCTCATCCTCGGAAAGCGACCTCCACAGCAGTCACCGCCGTGCATGCCCCACCCAGTCCGGGCCGTCCCGTCGCCTACTTGTGGGCCCAATTTTCACAGCCGGAAGACCTTATCTGGGCGCTGACCCGGGTCCTCGAAGGCAACGGATTTCGGAGCACGCGCTTCAATTTACGTCCGAGCTGTTGGAAAGGCAGTAGAAGGGGTGGAACTGGCAGGAACCATCCCCATAGCTGGGTACAATGTCTGGTGAGTTGTGATTGTTTCAACTCACCATACGGCCGCAACGCCAACACCCGCGAACGTGGTGCGGGCCGCTGGGGCGCATACATACCGCACGGGGGAGGAGCGAGAAGAGGGCTCATGCGGAGCACAGCCGCCTCCGCGAAACCCGAGGAGGTGATCTGTCGCCCCGGGGCCGTGGTGCTCTACGCAAGTGCGAGCATAGAGTGCCGCGCTGCGCCGTGTTGGGAAACACTCCCTTACTAATGGCATTCCACGCCCTCCCGACACACGTCCTGCACACCACTCGCGCCTCCTTCGCCGTCGCGTTCCCGGCGTCCATCCCCTGCGCGCGCACGACGCCCCGCACCTCGTCCACGTCCACGTCCACGCGCCACAGCCCGTTCTACCCCATCACCGCGGCACCTCAGAACCGCCCAGAGTCCTCGCCCTGGCGAAACACCTCTACCCGGGCCACGCATCCTGCAAAACGCTTTCGCGGGGAGGCCGACTCGAGCGCTGGCTCATGTACTGGTCCGTACTCCGTTGCATCGTCGCTGTAGAATATGTCGACGAGTACGAGTGGCCCGTCTCATGCTGTGTCCTCACTGACTCGCGCTCGCCGCGCTCTCCTCGCCCCCACACCCACACAGGCTAACCCCTGAAGACGCTCTTCTTCCACTACCTCGCCCTCCCACAAACATCGGGCTTCGTCTGGCTCTACACGACCCACCTCTGCCCTTTCTTCGTCGCGCACGAGCACGAGATCGACACCGCGCTCGCCCAGCTCAAGACCTACCTCTATTCCTACGTCCAGCAGCCCATCCTCCACTCGCACTCCCGCACGGTGACCCACGCAAACGGCGCCTTCCGCCCCGTCCCCGCCCGAAGAAGAGGCCAGCGGCGAGGCAACGACCGGGCACGCATCGCTGGTCGCGGGGCTCTGGTTGCCGTCAGGCCCCACGATCGTCGCCCAGGGGCGCGGTGCTCTTCATGAAGGCGCAGGCGTCCGCGGGCAGGCTGCGACGAGCGCGAAACCGTGCTGGTGGACGTCGCGGTGGGCCACATCTCTCGTCCCTCCTCTCCAGCTTCGCTCATCACTCCTATCCCCCACAGCGCTCGTGTGTCCGCCCGGCCGCCAGCTGGTCGACACACGTCACCGTCCACACGCTCAGGAACACAGGCTCGACACCAAGTTCGGGCCGCCTCGCACAACCCCGTCTTCATCCCCGCCACGTCCGCTGTCGGGCTCCACTCCATGATGCTCGCGGACCCTACCAAGCACCTCGCCGAGGCGTTCCCGCGCAGGGTCGACCTCCGAGACGGGCTCGTGCGCAAGCTTCGCGCGTTCGAAGGTGCGACCGCGTCCGCGCTCGCGACCCCGCCCGGTCTTCAACGCGGACGGGGACCTGCTTTTTGGGATCCGGCGGCACCCCCGCGCGCATCGGCCAGGCGAGTTTGGGCGAGGCACGCAGTAGTAGTATTGTGTACAAGTACAGTACAAATTCGAAATGAGTACTTTTATCATGATCAAGTGGGTGACGTTCACCCTCTCTCGGGCACGCGGTGTATATCAGACGCTGCAAGGAAACATGTAAGAACAAGGCGAAGCGTTCGAGTGAGAGTCGTTGCCCGGGTAGCTCCTCCCCCGGCGAGTTTGGGTGGATTACTTATCGTGCTCAGTACGAGTAGTCTAGTGGGAGCGCCAGGGAACCAGACGGTCCCCTCGGAAGAACGGCAGAGGCGCGCTTTTTGAATAAGTTGTCGTGCGTGATGACTAGCCCGGCGCGCCAGCCAGACGAATACTCAAGAGTTGTAGACAATAGAATATCTGCGTCGCGCGGATCAACATTCAAAGCCCCCTGAGGCGACGAGAAGGAGCGCCATGTCGGAATCACGCAGAGGATGGCAAGAGACTTGAGTGACAGAGCCCTCAATCGAGCCCACACACCGGCCATCAGTAATGGTCGTCCAGTCGTAAGAGAGATCCAAAGTCCACGAGGCCTAATAATTAGGGTATGCTGACGGTGGCGGGGTACTGGACGGACATCCATAAGAATTTACGGACACTCAGAGCCCGTAAACGTCCGTAAACCTTGATTTAAATTGAAACTCCGCTGACGTGGGCGGATGGCCCCTCCCATAAGCCCGTTTGCGTGTGGTGCCTTCCGTAAATTCTGCCACGGCCTATTTGACACCCGCGCGTCTGCGCCTGCTGGCGCGTGCACGCGCGAGTCTCCATGCACGCGCGCGCGAGCGAGCGGATTCGCACTGGGCGCAATCCCGCCGCCAATTCGTGGTGCTTTCCTGCTCCCACTGCCCCTCACTCGCCCTCCGAACAGTACTTAGCATAGGAAATCTATCCCAGGGGAAAGCGCGGTTGTATATAGTCCCTCGCGGGGTACTTGAGCTCTTATCCACACAGTAGCCTGCGCGACCGCGGCGGGCGATGCCTAGCGCATCGACGACGGGGGCAAGGGGGCGAGTTGGGGGAAGACAAAGTCGAGGAGCGCTACGGCAGCGACGGCTGGCGTGCTTGCGCTGCGAGCTCTTCGTCCTTGAGCGCGACTCACGCGATGGCGTCCGGGGCGCGCAAAGCTCGCGCGAGCTCGTGGTTCACCGTGGAGACAACGCTAACGCGGGAGTTCCCCGGCGCGGCGGACCTCGAAGGGTGTGACTGGTCACTGCAAGGTGAGGAGGAAATGTAGGCGTTGGGGGTGTCGTGAGCAGGTGATAACACGGTAAAAAAGACGGTATCTACCGGGCATGAATCTGTCGCACCGCGCAGGTGGCTGAATCAATTTAGCACCGGGTGGGCTGGGTGTGGTGTGTGTCGTGCGCGAGACTATGCAGCGAGGAGTACAGAGTACGGCGAAGTGCATCAGCAAAAGGTGTTTTCCACGGTAGCGCCCGATAGCACGCGACACCGCCATATCGGGACAGGTCGTCTATTGTCTGCGCGATAAATGATGATAGCAGAACGGTGGCGGCTGACATTCATTCGTCTTTGCTATGACATTCGATCGCATTTTGTGGCCGCATACAGGATATGATGTATTTACTACCGGCACTAGTAGCTTAAACAGAAAGCTGTAGTCGATGATCGTCGATGATCATGCGCTCCTTCAAGGGTGAATCATGGGGCGCGTGGGGTGCATAAGAGGTTCGTATTGAGCTATACATTCGATTTGCAAGGACGCGAACAGTGTGCGCGGCAGAGAACGCGGTGCGCGCGAGGATGGACGGACGTCGGCGCGGGCGCCTGTTCAATCGCTTACGGGCCGCGGAGTCCTCAGCTGTCCGACGCCGGCGACGGCGAGTCCCACCTTGCCTCCTCCCATCCTCCTCTGTTCCCCCAGTTTGTTCTTGACGCTTCTTCTTTTTCGCTTCTCTGCGGCACCTCGTCGTGCTATGAAAATCCTCTTCTTCATCAGAATGTCTGCTTCTAAAGTGGGACACGCGATCCAAACGCGGAACATCGACTCGTGTCCTTGCTCATTTGAGCATTGCTTTCCATTAGGTGCGCATTTCATCTCCCCCTTGCGTTCCTTGAAGCGACCCAGTCCCCAGACAGCGAGGCGGGAGCAAATAGTTCATTGCACATAGAACGAAGTCCTCACTCTCGCGGTGGCAGAATATGCGAGGGAGCAAAACCATGACACTCACCTGGAGGACCTCGACCTTCCGCACGACGCTCACATGCGAGCGCGAGCTCGTGAAATGTACAGGAGAAATGTAGCATCGCACGGCGGGGTCGTTTGGGCATCGCAACCTGGCTCGTCCTACGCCCAGCGCGTGGTCCGTGCTCGTGAGGCCAGTGCTCATGGGTATTCCAAGGTGCGCTGGTCACCCCCTCTCATGGTGGACGTCTAAATCATACCGTGTCGGGCTATCTCGCTTGCCCTAGGTGCCCCGGTAGGGCGGCCAAGTATACGCATGCGCCCGTTGTAGCCATGTGCGCTTCAGCAACGTCCAGGGTTCCTGGGGGGAGCGTGGTACGTCGACGCTTTTATCCGCTTCTGTACGTACCGCGAGCTATAGCGAGGTCGCACCTCGCCGTCACCGCGACGCTCGCTCAGGGCATGCCGCTTTTCATTCGCACGCATGGCTATGTCCGACCGTAGAATACCGCGCTCTTATCGAATGATGTGCGGGGTGAACACCTGTACGTCTATCCTCTCTGTGTTTCTACGTCCCTGATGCCGGCTGCCAGACATGCTATTCAATGCACTCTTTGTCAAATTCCATTCTCTCCGCAAAGTTAGGCCTCCCGCTGTGGCAACTGTAGGCATACAACACGTAATTGAAGCTGCTCAACAACGTCGATTTCGAGCTCGCCAAGCAGGTCTTTCAGAACGTCGGCGAGCCCGTCTCGACTCTCCTTTAAACCCGCGTGGTCCAACGCCGGACCCTCTTTCCGCGAAGCTCTCCCAGCTCGCCGCCTTCGCCCTCCGCGAGCCAACGATCAAATCACGCCGCATTGCGATTCTTGTCGTCGATGACTTCAACCATGCGCGGGTTGACGTCACCTCCACTGCGCTCAAGGCCGGAATGGTGACCATGTGGATCGTCGGGCCATGCTGGAGGCCTGTGGTACCCCGCGGACCACCACTACGGGGGTCAGCGAAGCGCTCTGTTCGACGCCATCGTCGTCGCGAGCAGCGCGGAAAACGCCCGCACTGGGCACTGGGCGAGGGCAGTGAGTGGGTCGAGAGTTAAGTCAAGATATATATCGCTGGGGAGACTTACTAATATGGAGGACCGTGTTGGTAGCGACATTCTGAAGTCCAAAGGTTGCTTACGGTGATTTCTTGCTAATTGTTGTGAGTCGATGCGGCGGCGCCGCAGTGGCGTCCCGCTTTGACCTCCTCTCGGCTCCTCTCGGTTGTTCCGAGACATGGGCGCGTGTGCAGGCATGCGCGCCTATTACTGGACTCCGCGACCACCATCATCCCCCAAGTGCGATGTGCCACCCACGCTCGCGCACGACCATGTATCAAGACGTGGTGAGCTCCTCATCATTCTCTGCTCCCAGCATCTCGTTCACCGTACCCACACTTTCGACATCGACATGGCTTTCAACACCCTCTCGTGTCAGACGTCTCGTCGCCCTCACGGCCGCCACTCTGCGCCCTAGGTTCCACCTCCACGAAGCCAACACGACCACCCTCTCTCTAAATTTCCGGATCTGCGGACTCGACACGAGTCACGAGGTGTGGTTCGCAACGGGGTGAGCTCGGTGCACCTCCTGAACGCGAGGCTTCAAGTTGTGGCGCTTATAGCGGCGGGTCGGTCACATGTGATGAGCCACCGTCCACACGAGGTGTGAACTTTGGTTAAAATATCCCCTTCCGCCTCTTCTCGTCCTCTTCACACTGATTCCTCAGCCTTGCCGACAGTGTCAACGACTCAACGTTGCTTCCATCGGTAACCACTGACCTATCACCAATTCGCGTGCCCTCGATCGACTCGCTGTACTCGTAAGCAGGGTGGTCTTGGCCCGGACCTCCTGCTCATTGCGCGCCCCGACATGATGTCAATCTCTCACAACTACTGCATCTTCATCAGGACGAGGGCATGATCACCCTCCGCGGGCTCTTTCTCATCGACTCTATGAAGGTATCCTTAGGTGCGTCTGTATTGGAGCAGCATACGTTCGACGGCTGATCGTGCGTTCGGTGGGGCCGGACAAGCAATCACGATCAATAACCTCCCCATCAACCGCTCGGTCGAGGAGACGATCCGGCTCGTGAAGGCGTTCCAGTTCACCCAGTGGATGCGTCTCTCTTCCTCCGCGTTCCCCGTCGCTGCTCCCGCTGACCTCTCCTTCAGCCTCGCACCCCCTTCCCCTTCACCGTTTGCGACGCAGCCGCAGGAAGAGCATGGTGAGGAGTGAGGGAGCGAAGACAATGAATACGCGAGCATCTACGCTCAAGGCGACCACCTCCCTGCCCCCAACCAATTAACCCTTTCGCGCCCATGGCGCCCGACCTGTCTATCCCGCCGCACTCAACCCACCTTTCTGTGCTCTCCACACTGATTCCTCTATCAGGTAAGCAATCTATAGATGCGAATTCTCTACAGGCTGTTACTGACCACTTCGATAGTACTCACGATAGGGAACACTTCCTTCAATTCGGGGAGATGTGCTGGTTGAGAGGCTTCAAGTACTCGGCTACATCACCGACTACGTAAGTTCTTTGTTCTGCTAATGTGTGCGTTGTGTAGAATACCCGCTGTTTCATATTTACCCCAAATGGATTATTGCGCGATTGAACCATATATGTGTGATTAGATGCGAGCCCTAATGTACGACGGAAGACAATAATCTTCCGCAGGGTGCTGTAGGTTCTCTGTCATCTCCTCCGCTAACTCTGACCTCTTATTGTGTAGTGCTATCATCTCATGCGCCGCAGATGACCGATATACGGTCGCACGCGCACTCAGACTTGATAGCCCTGCCCGCGAGAATCGATCATCATTTGATAGCGGAAGAAGCAGATGGCCGTACAATACGGGATACTGCATTCTTTGGATACTAATCTACCTTCTATTGTCTTCGCTAGCACTAACTATCGTACGCTACAAATGCCCCAGTGCACGATCATACGCTATCGTTTCCGCACCTAAGTACTTTGCTGATGTGGACGAGACGAGGAAGCGCGGAAGCGCGAAAAAGGCAAGTCGGAGTCTGAAAAAAGTTCCTTTTTGGGACGAATAGGGCACTTGGAAGATTTACGGAGGGGGGGCCCCCCCCTCCGTAGATTTCTGAGCGGCTAGGGATTTACGGACCTCCCTGCGGCGTCGGAGTTCCAATCTGACAGCCCGACCACCGCGGATCTGTCAGGCACGCGTCGATTTAGGGCGCAGAGAGCCCTAAATCGTCCGTAAATTCTTATGGATGTCTTTCCACTAGGGCCGGGCGCGCGCTCAGACTCCCATCGAGCGGTCGACGGTCGCCGACGAGCGCCGCGTGTTGCCGCTCAGCGCGTGCGAGCCCCCGGTCTTCTTCGGGTGCTCGAGGAACTGCGCGCCCTTGACGTCGTCGACGTCGACCATCTCGTGCGCCTCGACGTCGATGAAGATCTGCTGCGGCTGCTGGCGCGGCGTCAGCGCGGCGGTCGGGCGCACGCCGCCCGGGAGACGAGACGACGGGGCGGAGGGGGCGACGTACGTGTGCGCTCGCGGCCGAGCGGAGCATGTTCACGCGCCCGCCGGGCGGCGGGTGCGCGCGCCCGTCGGAGTGCGAGCGTGAGTCCTCGCTCCTGCCGTCCGTCGTGCCGTGGCGGCTGAGGAGGGAGGCGAGGAGGGAGACCGTGTACAGCTTCGAGAGCGTGAAGTTGAAGAAGAGGTGCAGCCCGGACGGGATGGTCAGGTAGACGACCAGATCCGTCAGCGCCCACATCGACGTGAGCAGGCCCGTCTCGAGCGTCACTGCCGAGCGGCGGCGAGTCGGTGAGCTTGCGGGAGGCCAGACGTGAAGCGCGACGTACGGCGGGTGATCTTGTTGATGAGCGTGTCGGTGAACCTCATCCCTGTCTTCCTCTTGCGAAGATAGAACACGAGAGTGGCCGTGATCGCGATGTCCGCAATCACGGCCGTCGGAAGCCAGACGTAGGTGATCGTCCGGAGCTTGTGCAAGTCGGGGATTCTCGGGACTTTGCTGGCGCCAATCGAAGTCCCAATGCCACCCACTGGAGCACACCGAGGTGAGCATGACAACGGATGCGAAGGAGAGGTGACAGTACGCACGGAACGATGTGAACGCGCAGATGTAGATCAGCCCCACGATCCAGTTGCTCTTGGTGAGAACCTTGACACGCCACGCGAAGAAACCCTGCACGAGGAAGGCGACGGTGGCGACGGTGACCGGGTCGCTCTGAAAATCTGTAGGGTATTAGCGTTGACGTCCAGATCGAAGAAGAGGTTCGACGCACCCCAATGAGTCACCTGCACGGCATCAGTATCGCCGAACTCCAAGACGAGCGGGCGGTACACGGCCATGATGTCGAAGCAGGAGTTGAGGAAATCGGTGAGGACCGCCGTGCCGACGAGGACCTTCATCCATACCGGGTCCCTGCATCGCAGTGAGTAGGCACATATGCGATTTACACGTTGGAGCGGGGGTGCTTACTTTTTGTAGGTGGTAAAAAACAAGAACGTTTGAGTGCTGATGATGCCAAAGAGGTAAACGTCGAGGACAACGGCAGCGAAGAACGGGCCGTATCTGCGGAGGAACAAGTTGGGTGAGACCGAACGAACGCCATGCGGTACCGATGAGATACATGCATCATGGGGATATCAAATGCGGGTGCTGTTTCGCTGGTAGCCATGGCGGGGATATCGCGTAGCGGGAGGTGCAGCAAAATTCAGCGACCAACGACTTGTCGTGGACTAGCGCCGCGTAGCGCAGAAGATAGAAGCGGAGGGAGTGGATGAGAGCGGATTGAGCCTCGGTGAGACGAGTTCCATACGCTGGCGGTATATGTACACTTGGGATGTTCATGTTCGAAACGGCGATATCCGGTGTCTGTGGTCGAGGCACCTTGAAGGAGAGGACACAGGCTCCACAGGTTGTGGATCGAACTGGGAGAACAACAGTGTAAGTGTACGGAGAAGTTTTCGATCGATCGAAATCTACGCCGATTTTGATTGAGATGGCGAGGGGACTCGAACTGAAAGGAATTCGTCATTGTACTGGCCGCCGGAAACTTTCTGCAGTTGGCCGGAGTATGTCGGCTTCAGCAAATAGGCCCACATAGAGAAGGTCGCGGAAACCGAGTCCAACACCTTAGGACATGCACCCCATTCGACCACATGCCCGAGTCCAAGTCCTGTGTGGCGTTCAACTGGCGCTCTGACCGTGGACATCACGCGTCGCTTGTGTGCCGCATGCTTGGCACCTGGTTGCTGCGTGCGGGGCCCATGGTGTCAAGTTCCTACTGCTCAATCGACTTGTGATCGTACAAGCCCCTATGTTCAGTGGCCCTGCCGTGATAGTCCTCAACACCATGGCCACAGGCTGGCGGCCGCGGCGGCGCGTACTAGAACAACGTTGCACTGGTGTGCACCACGTCGAGGGCAGCCCGGACAACGAGCTCGCGGCCGGCCCGCCGTACGCGTCGAGCGCAGGAATACACGCGTTCAGATGCAGGCGATGGCACCAGTTGAAGGCGTCGGGTGCGATGATCGGGTGCGGAGGCTTCTGGAGTGGGGAAAGGATGGCGTTGGAATTCTGTCGGAACCACGCACGACGCGACGGGTGGGAGAGGCGGCACGTAGTAAACAGGGGGGAGCCGCATGGGGCAAGTTCAGGGCTTGGTTACCGGCGGACGTGGACTCATCAGGGCGGAAGGAGGAGGAGGGGCCTTTGGGTCTGTGCACGATCGGGGGCTGAGAGAGCTTCACGGAGATGCATGAAGACGAGACGGCGAGGATCCCCACGACATCGGGGAAACCAAACGATGTGCGATGCTGAAGATCTCTTTGAAGTCGAGGGCAAACCGTTGATGTGGGATGGAACTAGGGTTGTTTTGAGAGTGTCGACCTAGCAAAGCCAGACGTGGTGCCAGACCTAAACGTTAAACAGCGACGTGCCTCTGGTAGGGTCTACTTGAGAGCCGAAAGACTAATCTCGGCGGTGTGGGCGGGATCTCCGAAGACTGACTTGCACTCGCGGGGGCCGGTGAAGTAGGGTAAGTTGAACCGTATAGCCGCAGGACCTTGACGGACATAAGATCGTGTAGATCCCTAGATGATCGGAGCGAGTGACCTGTGCAGGCTTAGTAGTGCCTCGCCGTCTAATGCAATCGAATCTGAGCGAATCGTTTTTCCGTGATCGAATGAAATCGTTGAACGTTTCGTGGGCTGATCTTCGTCGCGCGCGTATCGCTGAGCGAGCGCTTCGTGACTGGCACGCTGTGTGTCGACTTTGGTCGGGAGGCTGTGTGTCGACTTTGGTCAGGAAGCTGGAGCGCGTCGAGTGGAAGCGCCAGACGCAGACGCGTGAAGGTCGTGCGGGCAGGGGGAGTCGCGGTCGAGCGGCGTAGCGGCGGAGCGTGTTCACGCGCCCGGCCGGGCTGGTGCATGCGCCTGTCGGAGCGCGAGTGCGACTCGTCGCCCGTGCCGCCTTCCGTGTCGCCGTGAAGAGGAGGTGCAGCGAGGTCGGGACGACAAGGTAGACGATCAGATCCATCGACGGCCACATGGAGGTGAGCAGACCGGTTTCGATCGTCACTGTCCGAGTCAGTGAGCTTGCGAGAGGCCAAACGTGAAGTGCGACCTACCGCGGGTGATTTTGTTGATGAGCGTGTCGGTGAAATTCATCCCGGTCTTCCTCTTGCGGAGGTGATACACGAGAGGGGAGGTGATCCGGGTCCCGGGATCCAGACGTAGGTGATCGCCTTGTACTTGGGAGTCGGGGACGGTTCGGATTTTGGTGACAGCAATCGACGTCCCAATGCCACCCACTGAAGTACATTGAGGTGAGCATGACAACATGTACAGGTGCGGGGGAGTGACCACGGCATGCACAGAGAGCAGCCTTTCAGCAGGGTGCGGATGCGTCCGGTGGCCCGTGATGCGCGCCCGCGAAGAGAGAGAGAGCGGTTCGGCGTCTCCCCTCGAGGGAGATACCCCGGAACCGCTCTTAGACAAGCACGGTCGCGCGCCGGCGCCCGAGCTCCGAATGCTGTGGGTGTCCCGCCGTCCGACGGGTGGTCGCACGAGCACGTGTAAGGAGAGAGACACATGATGCCTTGCTATACCAAGTGCTTCCTGGTTCGCGGGTTTTGCTATGTGGTAGCGACAGGATGATGGAGGCCAGTCGAGGTGAGGACAGACTATTCCCGTCGGGCAATGTCTAGTCCTAGAAGCGGGGGTGGGAAAGGACGAGCGCCCGGAGGGCCGTGCTGCCGAGCCGTTACGCCAAGGCAATTGCGCGGCGGGCCCTCCTTCCGTCAGGCCCTCCCACCCCGCTCGACGGACTAGCTGTCCCGTCGCCGATGTCGGCCTAGCCACCTCGGACGCTCCCAACCCACGCGCGAGAGAGGACCGCGGCTCACCCACAGCGAGCACCCCAGACGCGGGCGGAAGGAGCGTGGCTCACCCACACAAGCGAGCTGATGAGGGGGAATTCCATTTCTTTGTGTAACATTGCGGGATCACTACCACACTCCAGCATCAATCGCGTCACGCGTGCGGGCAGTCCCATCCGCCGTCCACTGTGCCTATTCCAAGTCACATGAGCGCGAGCGGCCCCGGTCGCCCTCTCCGTCCCACGAGCGCGAGTGACTCCGGTCGCTGTCTGAGTCCAACGAGCGCGAGCGGCTCCGACCGCCATCATGTCCCCAGTTGCACCTGCGGTCACGCGAGCGGTCACGCCCACAGTCACGAGAGCGATCACGCCCCCGACGTGGGGAGCGATCCCGTGAGGATTCCTGTCGTTCCCGGTGTACCTGGTAGCGGTCCGCCTTGTGCTTGATGGAGTTTTGCATGTCTTCCGTGCGTACATCATTCAGCATTGTCAAGTACTCCGGCGAACCCACTCCCAGGTAAGGCTTCTCCTCGGGGGCTGCCGTGAACCACTGTGTGCGGACCTTGATGTCGAACGTCCGGACGACGTTGAAGTGCTTGCGGAAGTACGGCCTGTTGCAGAGCAGGTTGTAGTGTTCCTGAAACTCGGTGACGATCTCGTCGGGGGCCACACTGGGGAGGAGCTTCATGAGGAGGTTCGACCATGCCTCCTTCCAGTCTTCGCTAGAGATGGTATCTTCCGATGGTACGTGCACCAGGTCCAAGATGTTGCACTTCTCGTTGGTCCAGAAGGCGGTGACCTTCTTCACCATCGTCTGGGCGTCGGCAGCGATTTTGTCGAGGAAGTCGTTGGTCAATGCGGTGAGGCTGTCGGTAATGGTGAGTAGTCCATTCCACAAGGAACTTGCATGATCGGGCCCAGGAGTGCACCCCACATGTGCACAGGTGGTGAAGGGGCACACCCGTGTGCACGCGGCGACAAATCAGCACACCCCATGTGCGTATGGGTGGTAGTGGTTGAGTCTGCACACACGTGACAGCGAAGGGAGGAGCGCACACCCCGTGCGGGCAGGTGGCAGTGCGCGCAACGGAAAGGATAGCACACCTCGTGCGCGCGGGTGGCAAGGAGCACACCGGCGTGCGCGTGGCAGCGGGGAAGCACAATGGCAGCACACCTCGCAGACGGGCGGGCGGCAAGAAAGCACAATGGCAGCACAAGGGCGGAGGCAGCACAAGGGCGGGAAAGCACACCCGTGGGCGTGCGGGGCAAATCAGCACACTTCGTGGGTGGCGGGGAAGCACAGTGGCAGCACACCTCGCGGGCGGCAGGAAAGCACGGTGGCAGCACACCCCGCGGGCAGCAGGAAAGCACGGTGGCAGCACATCCGTATGGACAGAGGCAGGAAAGCACACCCGCGCGCGCACGGGGGCAGATCGGCACACCCCACGGGCGTGCGAGCGGCAAAAGGGCACAGTGGCAGCACGGAGGCCCTTGTATGGTTCAGAGTGGTGTGTTCCGGGGGGTCTGCAGCGGGGAGAGCAGTTCGCAGAGATGAAGGGGGGAGACTCACGGGATGTACATGCAGTTCTTCGCCATGTTTTTGAAACCTGGGTGTACCAAGGCGCCTTGCACAGCGAAGAGCTGCGTGCCCTTGGCGCTGCGCGCCAGCATGATGGGGGCCTTTGTCGCCGGAGCCTTGACACCCGACGTTGCAGGCGGGGGTTGCTGAGTGGGCGCCGGTGTGGGAGGAACTGGGAGCGCCGAGGATGGCCTGTTGAAGGTTGCGCCAAAGAAGGGGAGCGACCCGGTGGGCAGAGGGGCGCTGCGCGGCGGGATTTGCGGGATGGGTGACTGACGGTGTTCCCAATCGACCGTCGGGCCCCAGTCGCTGAGAATGGAGGAGGCACGAGAGTGCTGCTGGTGCCTTCGTTTGTCGATGTAGGGGCCGGCCTCGTGACCGGGGTCTGTTCTCTCACCACTCGCCTGTGCCTTGTCCGCTAGGTCCGTAGCTAGGCCTGTTACGGCCGGCCGCGCGGCCGATCTGGAGGGCCCTGGGAGCTTGGAAACATCCGGGGGGGAAGCGATGTCGGCGTTGGGCCTCCCGGGGGGATCGAGGGGCCTATCTGTGGTCATGGTGCTGACTATATGCGGGGTCTGAGAGGAGAGGCGAAGCGCAGACCAGAAAAGTCGACAAGAGTGCGCAGTGGGAGAGAGAAAACCGATAAGGTTCACGCGCGCACGCGCGCGCGCGAGCTCCCATATTCGCACTCCGCTTCAGGAAGCATCTGTTGCAGCGTAGCGCTCGTGCCTCGCTCTACGCTAAACTCCACAGATGTTTACCGTCACATCGCCAGAGCACCCTAGGATGGCGATCGTGGCTGCCGCAAGGAGCGCGCGCAGGTCGGTGGCGAGAGATGAGGGTAACCGCCATCCACGATTTGCCGCTGCATATTCTCCAATGGATGCGGGATGCCGAGATGCGCCTCGCTGGGTGGCGAGGACGCGTGGCGCGCATCGTCGCGTGGCCCTGATACATACCGCGTCCCTCTCCATTGGCCGTCCTTCCTCTCCTTGGACCTCCTCCTCCTCCTCCTCCTCCTCCTCCTCCTCCTCCTCCTCGCTCTGCCCAGGCAGACGATAGCGACCATACGGTCGACTATCGTCTGCTATTGGACTCTGGTGTCACCAGGTGACACCGACCTTTCCTCCTCCGAACGACCTCGACCTCGACCTTCTCCCTCGACCTCGATCCCGCCCTATATCCACCTTCCCGACCGCACTCACAACAAACACACCGCACGAGGACGTCCATACGTCAATACGGAGATTGGAATGTGGGGCCGTGGCGATGTACCGCGGCACTTATTTTGGTGAGTCCTCCTTCTGCACTCCCGATGCCCACTGCCTACGACAGGCCGAAGACGTCCCCCTGACGTCCTCCTCCTCCGCGCCGCTCTCTTCCGCCCCCTCTCTTCCGCCCGCGTCGCCCGCCCACGCAGCTCACCCACGCCGCCCTCCTCCTCGCCCTTCTCCGCCCGTGCCTGCCGCCTCCTTCGCTCCGCCCTCCTCCGCCTCGCCCTCATCCGCTCACGCTTCCCTCCCCCACCTCGCCTGAATCTCCCGCGTCGCTCTTCACCATATTGGCCACGTTGCCTGCCTCGCGCCTGCATCTCCCGCCTCACCCGTCGCCCCGTCGCCCCCGTCACCCATCTCGCCCCCGTCGTCCCTTCTCGCCCTAGCCTGGTTCGCCCTCGCCCCCGTCGCCAACACCGCCCATCTCACCCTCGCCCGCCTCACGCATGCGTCTTTCGCATCTCCCGCACCTCGATGCCCCTTGCCACGCCACCCACTTTGGCCACGTCCACTGCGTCGCGCCCGCATTCTCCCTCGCGCCTGCGTCTCCTGCGTCTCCTGCGTCTCCGACCTCGCACGCCTCGCACGCCACCTGCATCGCCAACGTTAAGGACCCAGACACCCCCACGTACAGCCTCGTCCGCTTCGTTGTTTGTAGTCTATAGCCTGTACCTCAGCATACAGTATGAAAGAAAAAACCTTGCTTCTCTTTCATGCTTGTGTGATCTATCGAGTGCAGCGTATGGATGATGAAGGATCGGTGATCAGTATTGTTTTTGCTTTCCCGGCACTTCATGACGCTCCGCTTCGTTCAAATCTCCCGTAGTGCCTTTGTTTGGCGTGTATTCCCACTGTTCCTTCGCCGATCGCGATCGGGACTCTGCTTGCGCACGGAAAAGCAGATGATACGCGTTCTGCCATCGTGAATTCTTTCTGCGCACGCTGACGTCATGCGGTGGTGTATCTCTGTCCCGGATCTAGAGTCCAGTGCACGAGTCTTCACAGCGGCGCCCAGGACTCGTCGCCCGCGCTGAAGCCGCGCGACAGTGCCCGCCCTCAACATCCAGCACTTCGGTAAGTACCTGCACCACGATCGGGTTCAGGGTCGTGCACGGTGTGCCCGCACTCATGGCCCTCGCGCGCGCTGGCTCGCGTTCGGCGCGGGCCACCGACGCCCGCCGCGGTGCCTCCATCGCGAACGGTCATGGACACGCGCGCAGGTGCGGCGGCGGCGGCAACGACCCGCAATTCACGGCTGCAGAGGAGACGTGGCGCGCGGACCGCGAGGTGCCTCCAACAATCTCTAAGTGCTTCTAAATGCTTCTAAAATACACCTCTAAAGCTTCTAAGCTTCTAGAGCGTTCTAACCTTTCTAAACTTCTAAAGTTAGAGACTTTAAGAGGTTTTAGAAGTCCACACAAAGTACTGATCAGTGACGGACAGAGCCCTCAATCGGTCCTCACACCAGCCGTCATTAATCATAAGAGACATCCTTAATCCACAGGGCCTAATAATTAGGGTATGCTGACGGCGGCGCAGGAGTCGGACCGGGCGCGCGCTCAGACTCCCATCGAGCGGTCGACGGTCACCGACGAGCGCTGCGTGTTCCCGCCCAACGCGTGCGAGTCCCCGGTCTTCCCCCGGTGCTCGAGGAGCTGCGAGCCCTTGACGTCGTCGACGTCGACCATCTCGTGCGCCTCGACGTCGATGAAGATCTGCTGCGGCTGTTCGCGCGGTCAGAGGGAGGCGGAGACGGAGACGGAGACGGGGAGGCGACGTACGTGTGCGCTCCCGGCGGACCGGAGCACGTTCACGCGCCCGGGCGGCGGGTGCGCGCGCCCGTCCGAGTGCGAGCCCGAGTCGTCCGTACTGCCGTCCGTCCCGCCGTGGCGGCTGAGGAGGGAGGCGAGGAGGGAGATCGTGTACAGCTTCGAGAGCGTGAAGTTGAAGAAGAGGTGCAGCCCGGACGGGATGGTCAGGTAGACGACCAGATCCGTCAGCGCCCACATCGACGTGAGCAGGCCCGTCTCGAGCGTCACTGCCGAGCGGCGGCGCGTCGGTGAGCTTGCGGGAGGCCAGACGTGAAGCGCGACGTACGGCGGGTGATCTTGTTGATGAGCGTGTCGGTGAACCTCATCCCCGTCTTCCTCTTGTGAAGATGAAACACGAGGGTGGTCGTAATCACAATGTCCGCAACCACGGCCGTCACGAGCCAGATGTCGATGGTCGTCCGGAGCTTGTACAAGTCGGGGATTCTCGGGACTTTGGTGGCGCCAATCGTAGTCCCAACGGCACCCACTGGAGTACCCCGAAGTGAGCGTGACAACGGATGCGAAGGAGAGGTCACGGCACGCACGGAACGATGTGAACGCGCAGATGTAGATGAATCCGACGATCCAGTTGTTCTTGGTGAGAACCTTGACACGCCACGCGAAGAATCCCTGCACGAGGAATGCGATGAAGGCCACGGTCGTCGGGTCGCTATGGAACTCTGTAGGGTATTAGCGCTGACGTCCAGATCGAAGAAGAGGTTCGACGCACCCCAATGAGTCACCTGCACTGCATCAGTATCGCCGAACTCCAAGACGAGCGGGCGGTACACGGCCATGATGTCGAAGCAGGAGTTGAGGACGTCTACGAGGACCACCGTGCCGACGAGGACCCTCATCCATGCCGGGTCCCTGCATCGCAGTGAGTAGGCACCTGTGCGATTTACGGGGGTGCTTACTTTTTGTAGGTGGTAAAATACAAGAACGTTTGAGTGCAGACGATGCCACAGAGGTAAACGTCGAGGACGACGGCGGCGAAGAACGGGCCGTAGCTGTGGAAGTGCAAGTTGGGTGAGCCCGAATGAACGTCATGCGGTACCGATGAGATACATGCATCACGGGGATATCAAATGCGGGTGCTGTTTCGCTGGTAGACATGGCGGGGATATCGCGTAGCGGGAGGTGCAGCACAGTTCAGCGACGAGCCCCTCTTCGTGGACTAGCACCGCGTAACGCAGAAGATAGGAGCGGAGGGAGTGGATGAGAGCGTGTTGAGCCTCGGTGAGACGAGTTCCATGCGCTGGAGGTATATGTACACTTGGGACGCCCATGTTCGAAACGGTGATATCCGGTGTCTGCGGTCGAGGCACCTCGAAGGAGCAGACACAGGCTCCACAGGATGTGGATCGACTCACCAGTGTAGGTGGACGGAGAAGTTTTCGATCGATCGAAATCTACGCCGATTTTGATTGAGATAGCGAGGGGACTCGAACTGAAAGGAGTTGGTCATTTTACTGACTGCCGGCAACTTCCTGCGGTTGGCCAGAGTATGTCGGCTTCGAAAAATAGGCCAACATAGAGAAGGTCGCGAAAACCGGGTCCAACAGCCCATTCGACCACACGCCCTCCACTGGCGCTCTGATATGTGCCGCATGCTTGGCACCTGGGTGCCAGTGGGTGCGGGGCCAGTGTCAAGTCCTTCCTGCTCAATCGACTTGTGATCGTAGAAGCCCCTATGTTCGGCGGCCCGGCCGTGATCGTCCTCAGAAAACGATGGCCACCAGCTCCAGAGACTCCGGAAGGGTGCCGGCAGCGGCGGCGCGGCGTGTGGTAGAACAACGTTGCACTGGCGTGCACCACGTCGAGGGCAGCCCGGACAGCGAGCTCGCGGCCGGCCCGCCGTACGCGTCGAGCGCAGGAATACACGCGTTCAGGCGATGGCACCAGTTGGAGGGGTGCCAAGCGTCGGGGGCGATCCGGATCGGATGCGGAGGCTTCTGGAGTGGGGAAAGGATGGCGTTGGGATATTGTCGGAACCACCGCAACACGATAGGTGGGGCGGAGACGTGGCACGTAGTGAACAGGGGGGAGCGGTACGGGGCAAGTTCAGCGCTTGATTGCCAGCGGAAGTGGACTCATCAGGGCGGGGCGGGAGGAGGAGGAGGGGCTATTGGGTCTGCGCACGATTGGGGGCAGAGGGTGCCACGGAAATGTACGAACACGTGAAGCAACGGCAAGGGTCCCCACGACATCGGGGAAACCAAACGATGTGTGATACTGAAGATCTCTTTCCAGTTGAGGGCACACCATTGTTGTGGGATGGAGCTAGGGTTGTTTTGAGAGTGTCGACCTAGCGAAGCGAGACGTGGTGGACCTGAACAGCGACATGCCTCGGGCAGGGACTGCTTGAGAGCCGAAAGACTGATCTCGGCGGCGTGGGCAGGATCTCGGAGGACTGGCTTGCACTCGCGGGGGCTGAAGCGGAAAAGGGCCTGCGAAATAGGGTTCGGGCAGTGTAGCCGCAGGACCTTGACAGACACAAGATCGTGTAGATCCCTAGACGATCGGAGCGAGTGACCTGTGCAGGCTGGTGCCTCGCCGTCTCGTGCAATCGAATCTGAGTGAGCCGTTCCTCCATGATCGAATTAAATCGATGAGCGTTTCGTGGGCTGATCTTCATCGCACCTTTGTATCGCTGGGCCGGCCGAGCGAGCGCTTCGCGACCGACACGCTGTGTGTCGACCTTGGTCGGGAGCGTGTTGAGTGAAAGCGGTCGTGCGGGCAGCGGGAGTCGCGGTCGAGCGGGGCATGTTCACGCGCCTGGGCTGGTGCATGCCACGCCTGTCGGAGCGCGAGTGCGACTCGTCGCCCGTGCTGCTTTCCGTGTCGTTGTGGAGAGGAGGTACAGCGAGGTCGGGACGACGAGGTAGACGATCAGGATCAGATCCATCGACGTCCACATGGAGGTGAGCAGGCCGGTTTCGATCGTCGCTGTCGCGGGGCAGCGCGTGAGCGAGCGTGCGAGAGGCCAGATCTAAAGTGCGACCTACAGCGGGTGATCTTGTTGATGAGTGTGTCTGTGAACTCCCGGTCTTCCTCTTGCGGAGGTGACCGTGACGTCCGCAATCACGGCAGGCGGGATCCAGACGTAGGTGATCGCCTTGAGCTTGGGAGTCGGGGATGGTCCGGATTTGGTGACAGCAATCGACATCCCAACGCCGCCCACTGAAGTACATCGAGGTGAGCATGGCAACATGTACAGGTGCGGGGGAGTGACCCGGCACGCACAGAGACTCGGACGCGTGGCGCGTGGCTGTGATGCACGCCACGCGTCTCTCCCCTTTGACCGTCCTTCCTCTCCTCGGACCTCCCCCTCCTCCTCCGAACGACCTCGACCTCGACCTTCTCCCTCTCCCTCGATCCCGCCCTATACCCACCTTCCCGACCGCACTCACAACAAACACACCGCACGAGGATGTCCATACGTCAATACGGAGATTGGAATGTGGGGCCGTGGCGATGTACCGCGGCACTTATTTTGGTGAGTCCTCTGCTCCGTCCTTCTGCGCTCCCGATGCCCACTGCCTACGACAGGCCGAAGACGTCCCCCTTGACCTCCTCCTCCGCCCACTCTCCTCCGCCCACTCTCTTCCGCCCGCGTCGCCCGCCCACGCAGCTCACCCACGCCGCCCTTCTCCACCCGTGCCTGCCGCCTCCTTCGCTCCGCCCTCCTCTGCCCGTGTCACCCGCCTCCTCCACATCACCCTCATCCTCCCGCATCACCGCGCTCTTCCACACCGCGTTCCTCCGTGCCCTTCTCCGCGTCGCCCTCCTCCACCCTCGTCCCTCCTCCACAGTACAACCTTCCTCTGCCCGTGCGCTGCCCTCCGTCCGCGCGTTACCCTCCACCTGTGTCGCCCGCCACACGCCTCCGCCTCCGGACGTCGCCCTCCTCCGCCTTGCCCTCATCCGCTCACGCTTCCCTCCCCCGCCTCGCCCGTATCGCCCGCCTGCGCCGCTCGCTTACGCTGCCCTACTGCTCCTCGCCCTGCTCCGCCCGCGCCTGCCGCCTCCTTCGCGTAGCCCACCCGCCCGCCTCCTCCACACCGCTCTCCTTCACGTCGCCCTCCTCCGTGCGCGTCGCCCGCCTCCGCATCACCCGCCTTCGCGCGCGTCGCCCTGCGCCTCCTCCGCCGCGCCCGGGCCCCCACATCGCCCTCCTCCACCTCACCCTCCGCGTTGTTGCGGGGCTGTAGTAGCTTACTATTGAATATATTTTAATCGCGAATTTTATACAAAAAGTGTGGTCTGAAACAAAGGGGGAGGTGAGCTCGAGTGGGAGGACCAAATGCGCCGGTGGCCAGACATGTCGGGGCGACGTAGATTGGAACTGGGCCGGCGGGGGTGACAGATGCATCCGCACCTTGCCGAGAGGCTATGGTTAGTCGAATCTGTACTTACTGTACGAGTATGTGCTCACAGACGTGCGTTCGCAGCTGCTCCGGCTTTCGCTCCGACCACGACCGCGCGAGCAGCTGCTCGCAGTGCTCGATGCCTGGCTCGTACTCCGTCGTTGGCGCGACCCCCTCGTCCCCATGCTCCTCCTTCTAGCCCGGCGGCCAGCTCTACCCCAACTCTTTTTTTGAGATCAAACATTTACATCCCGCGTACGGAGTGCAGGTGCGGCTCTTTTGCGTGGGTGACACTGGGTGGGCGAGTTTTCTCAGCCTGTGGGCCTGCATCTAAGGGCTGGTCACACCCTTGCTTGTGAGTGCTCATCGCTTTTGCCGCTGAGCGGTCTTTCCAATCCGCGCGCGCGCTGTGCTCTGCCCACTCGCCCTCCTTTTTTGTGCGTACGTTTGCGCGCACCCCTTTTTAAGACGGCGCGAACGCAAACGTGAACGCGCCGTCATTCTTAGTGATGAATGCATTGAGGTCTTTGCTCTACCCCAACTCCAGGCCCACCTGCCGTGCGCCCTCCACTTTTTGTGCTTCGTCCACGTGCTGAATCCTCGTCCGCAGTCGCAGCCGCCAGTGCGCGAATACCTCCAGCCTCACCCGCCAGGGCCCCGTCCGACGTCGGGCAGTGTAGCTGCCCCTCTACGCCATCTCTACGGGCGGGCACGGCTACCTCTGTGGAGCGAGTGCGTCGACGTCCGGACGGACCTCGAGAGCTGCGGCCGGTGTGTCTCGGACGACTCACCGTCCGGCGCGCGCAACGCGGACGGCGGGCGCGACCACGGCCTCCGCCCGTTGGCAACAGCCCCGGCTCCTCCACGGTCCGTTTCCCTCTTGTCCGCTCTGCTCCTTTGCTGGTGCTCATTCCCGTTCTCGCATATTCACCCAATATGACTCTGCATCAGCCACCTCAGGTCGCCCACATCTCGTCCCCACGTCGCTGTCGTCTCGCCCCCGCAAAGTCGCCGCCATCTCGCCCACATCACCTGCCTCTCGGCGTCAACCACCTCGCTCACTCGCCCCTCTCTTCCGCATCTCCCACTCTGACCACGTCGCCCGCCTTGCTTGCGTCGTCCCCGTCTCACCCTAGCATGCGTCGCCCTTGCCGAAGTCACCGACCTCGCCCACATCTTCCGCATAGCTTGCCTGTGTCACCCGCGCCACCGCCTTGCCCATGTCGCCCACTGGCACACCCACCTCGTCCACCTCACCTGGCGCCTCGCCTGAATCTCCCGCGTCGCTCTTCACCCATCTTGACCACGTCCACGTTGCCTGCCTCGCGCCCTCGGGAGTCATCTTCTCGCCCTAGCCTGCTTCGCCCTCGCCCGCCTCACGCATGCGTCTTTCGCATCTCCCGCAACTCGATGCCCCTTGCCACGCCGCCCGCTTTGGCCACGTCCACCGCGTCGCGGCCGCATTCTCCCTCGCGCCTGCGTCTCCTGCGTCTCCGACCTCGCACGCCTCGCACGCCACCTACATCGCCCACGTTAAGGACCCAGACACCCCCACGTACAGCGTCCGCTTCGTTGATTGTAGTCTATAGCCTGTACCTCATGGATATGTTATGCTTCCTCTTACTGTGACAATAGTGAGGTGCCTCCAACAATCTCTAAGTGCTTCTAAACTTCTTAGAGACTTTTAGAGGTTTTAGAAGTTCGCACAAAGTACCGATCAGTGACTGACTGACAGGGCCCTCAATCGGGTCCTCACACCAGCCGTTATCAGCCGCAAGAGAGATCCTTAATCCACGAGGCCTAGTAATTATAATCAGGGTATGCTAACGGCGGCGGGGTAACCGGGCGCGCGCTCAGACCATCGAGCGGTCGACGGTCACCGACGAGCGCCGCGTGTTGCCGCTCAACGCGCCGTGCGAGTCCCCGGCCTCCTTCTGGTGCTCGAGGAACTGCGAGGCCTTGACGTCGTCGACGTCGACCATCTCGTGCGCCTCGACGTCGATGAAGATCTGCTGCGGCTGCTCGCGCGGCGTCAGCGCTGCGGTCGGGCGCCGCCCCGGGGAGCACGGGAGACGGGACGAGGCGGAGGGGGCGACGTACGTGTGCGCTCGCGGCCGAGCGGAGCATGTTCACGCGCCCGCCGGGCGGCGGGTGCGCGCGCCCGTCCGAGTGCGAGCCCGAGTCGTCCGTACCGCCGTCCATCCCGCCGTGGCGGCTGAGGAGGGAGGCGAGGAGGGAGATCGTGTACAGCTTCGAGAGCGTGAAGTTGAAGAAGAGGTGCAGCCCGGACGGGATGGTCAGGTAGACGACCAGATCCGTCAGCGCCCACATCGAGGTGAGCAGGCCCGTCTCGAGCGTCACTGTCGCGGGGCAGCGAGTCAGCGGGCTTGCGAGAGGCCAGACGTGAAGCGCGACGTACGGCGGGTGATCTTGTTGATGAGCGTGTCGGTGAATCTCATCCCCGTCTTCCTCTTGTGAAGATGGAACACGAGGGTGGATGTAATCGCAATGTCCGCAACCACGGCCGTCACAAGCCAGACGTCGATGGTCGTCCGGAGCTTGCGCAAGTCGGGGATTCTCGGGACTTTGGTGGCGCCAATCGAAGTCCCAACGGCACCCACTGGAGCACACCGAGGTGAGCATGACATCGGATGCGAAGGAGAGGTCACGGCAGTGACGCACGGAACGATGTGAACGCGCAGATGTAGATCAGCCCGACGATCCACTTATTCTTGGTGAGAACCTTGACACGCCACGCGAAGAATCCCTGCACGAGGAAGGCGATGAAGGCCACGGTCGTCGGGTCGCTCTGGAACTCTGTAGGGTATTAGCGCTGATGTCCAGATCGAAGAAGAGGTTCAACACACCCCAATGAGTCACCTGCACGGCATCAGTATCGCCGAACTCCAAGACGAGCGGGCGGTACACGGCCATGATGTCGAAGCAGGAGTTGAGGATGTCTACGAGGACCACCGCGCTGACGAGGACCTTCATCCATACCGGGTCCCTGCATCGCAGTGAGTAGGCACATATGCGATTTACACGTCGGAGCGGGGGTGCTTACTTTTTGTAGGTGGTAAAATACAAGAACGCTTGAGTGCAGAGGATGCCACAGAGGTAAACGTCGAGGACGACGGCGGCGAAGAACGGGCCGTAGCTGTGAGGGAACAAGTTGGGTGAGACCGAATGAACGTCATACGGTACCGATGAGGTACATGCATCACGGGGATATCAAATGCGGGTGCTGTTTCGCTGGTAGACATGACGGGGATATCGCGTAGCGGGAGGTGCAGCAAAGTTCAGCGACCAGCCACTCGTCGTGGACTAGCACCGCGTAGCGCAGAAGATGGGAGCGGAGGGAGTGGATGAGAGCGTGTTGAGCCTCGGTGAGACGAGTTCCATGCGCTGGAGGTATATGTACACTTGGGATGTTCATGTTCGAAACGGCGATATCCGGTGTCTGCGGTCGAGGCACCTTGAGGGAGCGGACACAGGCTCCACAGGATGTGGATCGAACTGGGGGAACGCCAGTGTAGGTGGACGGAGAAGTTTTCGATCGATCGAAATCTACGCCGATTTTGATTGAGATGGCGAGGGGACTCGAACTGAAAGGACTTGGTCATTTTACTGACTGCCGGCAACTTCCTGCAGTTGGCCAGAGTATGTCGGCTTCAGCAAATAGGCCAACATAGAGATGGTCGCGAAAACCGGGTCCAGCAACATGCGCCCCATTCGACCACACGCTCTCCAAGTCCTGTGTGGCGTTCAACTGGCGCTCTGATATGTGCCGCATGCCTGACACCTGGTTGCCAGTGGGTGCGGGACCAGCGTCACGTTCTTACTGCTCAATCGACTTGTGATCGTAGAAGCCCCTATGTTCGGCGGCCCGGCCGTGATCGTCCTCAGAAAACGATGGCCACCAGCTCCAGAGACTCCGGAAGGGCGCCGGCAGCGGCGGCGCGTCGTGTGGTAGAACAACGTTGCACTGGCGTGCACCACGTCGAGGGCAGCCCGGACAGCAAGCTCGCGGCCGGCCCCGCCGTACACGTCGAGCGCAGGAATGCACGCGTTCAGATGCAGGCGATGGCACCAGTTGAAGAGGTGCCAGGCGTCGGGGGCGATTATCGAATGCGGAGGCTTCTGGAGTGGGGAAAGGATGGCGTTGGGATATTCTTGGAACCGCCGCGACGCGACGGGTGGGGCGGAGACGCGGCACGTAGTGAACAGGGGGGAGCGGTACGGGGCAAGTTCAGGGCTTGATTACCAGCGGAAGTGGATTCATCAGGGCGTGATTTCGGTGGCGGGAGGAGGAGGAGGGGCCGTTGGGTCTGCGCACGATCGGGGGCAGAGGGCGTCACGGGGATGCAAGAAGATGTGAAGCAACAGGGAAGAGAGACGGCGAGGGTCCCCACGACATCGGGGAAACCAAACGATGTGCGATACTAAAGATCTCTTTCCAGTTGAGGGCAAACCGTTGTTGTGGAATGGAGCTAGGGTTGTTTTGAGAGTGTCGACCTAGCGAAGCGAGATGTGGTGGACCTGAACAGCGACGTGCCTCGGGCAGGGTCTGCTTGAGAGCCGAAAGACTGATCTCGGCGGCGTGGGCAGGATCTCGGAAGACTGGCTTGCACTCGCGGGGGCTGAAACGGAAGGGGACCTGCGAAATAGGGTTCGGGCAGTGTAGCCGCAGGACCTTGACAGACACGAGATCGTGTAGATCCCTAGACGATCGGAGCGTGTGACCTGTGCAGGCTGGTGCCTCGCCGTCTAATACAATCGAATCTGAGTGAACCGTTCCTCCATGATCGAATGAAATCGTTAAACGTTTCGTGGGCTGATCTTCATCGCACCTTTGTATCGCTGGGCCCGACACGCCGTGTGTCGACCTTGGTCGGGAGCGTGTTGAGTGAAAGCGCCAGGCGCGTGAAGGTCGTGCGGGCAGCGGGGCATGTTCACGCGCCTGGGCTGGTGCATGCCACGCCTGTCGGAGCGCGAGTTGGACTCGTCGCCCGTGCCGCTTTCCGTGTCGCCGACGGCCGTGAAGAGGAGGTGCAGCGAGGTCGGGACGACGAGGTAGACAATCAGATCCATCGACGGCCACATGGAGGTGAGCAGACCGGTTTCGATCGTCACTGTCGCGGGGTAGCGAGTCAGTGGGCTTGCCAGAGGCCAGACGTGCGCGTGAAGTGCGGCCTACCGCGAGTGATCTTGTTGATGAGCGTGTCGGTGAAATCCATCCCGGTCTTCCTCTTGCGGAGGTGATCGTGAGGTCCGCAATCGCGGCAGGCGGGATCCAGACGTGGGTGATCGCCTTGAACTTGGGAGTCGGGGATGGTCTGGATTTGGTGACAGCAATCGACATCCCAACGTCACCCACTGAAGTACATCGAGGTCAGCATGGCAACAGATGCGGGGGAGAGATCACGGCACGCACAGAATGATATGAACGCGTAGATGTAGGTGAACCCGACGATCCACTTTTTCTTGTCAGTGAGAACCTGGAGTCCTGGATACGCCAGACAAAGAAAGACTGCACAACGAAGGCGACGAAGGACAACATCGCAGGGTCGATGTGGAACTCTGTAGGGGAGGGTTCGCGTGACGTCCAGATTGAAGGAGAGAAGTTGGACGCACACCAATGGGTCACCAACACATAGTCACCAAACTGCAAGACGAGCGGTTGGTACAAGGATATGATGTCGACGGAATTGAGGGTTTCGCTGGCGAGCACCGTGCCGACGAGGACCTTCATCCATACCTGGATTGTGTATAAGCATGTACTCGACTGGGTCGCGACACGGCGCGCCTGGCCAAGTTTCGAACTACGCTGCGGCCGGGGCCCGGCGCGCGGCTCGCCTTCCTCCCTTGCCCTCCTCCACCACCTCCGCCCGCCTGCCAGGCCCTCGCCGCCTCCGCCTGCCCCTCTCCTCGACAAGACGGCCGCTGCAAGCGATGCGATCCCCATTTGGCCTCGCCCGCCGCCTCGACCGTCACCACCTCCTCGCCGCCCTCGCCCTCCTCTACCGCACTGTCCTCTTCCTCCTCCGCCTCCCCGCCCTCCCCCAACTCCTCGTCTTCTACCTCGGCTGGCGCCACGCCTACCACTCAATCTTCGACTTCCTTTTTAACGACTTCAGACCCGCCTTCCCTCCGCTCTGGATCGCGTGGGTCGCGTTCCTCGTCACCCTCCCCCCCTTCGCCGCGCTCCAGCTCGTGTGGCTGCTGGTGAGTTTCTTCGTCCGCAGGAGACTCGCGCGTAAGGGCACACACGGACCGGAGGGCGGCGATGGCTACATGATGCTCCAACCCGACCGCGGAGAAGAGGAGTGGGCCCAGGACCCCCGCGCACGCTCGCCCCGGCCAAGCCCCCGCGCCCTCCGGAGCCCGAACACGCTCCTCTGGGCCGCGCAGATCGCGCTCTGCGTCCTCGTCATCCTCCGAGGCCTCCACGAGTACCGCAACTACGAGCACCCGGGCGACGTCCGCTTCCGCCCCGCGCTCCGCAAGGCCCTCGCAGACCCGCACCCAAAGCGCAGCGGCTACGCCCCCCGCGCGGAGAAGATCTTCATCGCCGCCGCGTTCCACCAGAACGAGCTCGTGCTCCCGTACTGGACGAAGACGATGCTCGACACCATCACCTGGCTCGGGGCCGACAACGTCTTCGTCTCCATCGTCGAGAACTACTCGAACGACAAGACCCCCGACCTCCTCCGCGCCTTCGAGGCCGAGCTCGACAGGCGCGGCGTCAAGAACCGCATCCTCATCCAGGACGAGACCGTCAAGCGGCCGCCGGATATGAGCTGGAACCCGCGCATCGAGTTCCTCGCCGCGATCCGCAACCAGGCCCTCGAGCCCCTCCTCCGCACCGGCGGCTACGACCGCGTCCTGTTCTCGAACGACATCTACATCGAGCCCGAGTCCGTGCTCGAGCTGCTCGAGACCCGGGACGGGGACTACGACTTCGCCTGCGGCCTCGACTTCGGCCACTTTGGCGCGTACGACATGTGGGTCCTCCGCGACCGCGCCGGGCGGCTCACCGCCGCCATCTGGCCCTACTTCTTCGACAAGGGCTCCTACGACGCCATCAAGAAGGAGGACCCCGTGCCCGTCTTCGCCTGCTGGAACGGCATCGTCGCCTTCCGCGCGGACCCCGTCCTCCCCGTCGCGCTCCGGTCGAACGCGACGCTGCCGACGACGCACATCGAGCACATGCCGCCCTCGAACCACCCGTGGACGAAGGAGATCGGGGCGAGCCCCGCGGTGACGCCGCCGCTGCGGTTCCGCGCGAGCGCCGAGGGCGAGTGCTACTCGTCCGAGTCCTTCCTCCTCCCGTACGACTTCCGGCGGGTGATGGCGCTCGACAAGGTCTACGCGAACCCGCGCGTGGTGTGCGCGTACGTGTGGAAGTACTACGTGTGGAACAAGTGGGTGCTCCGCGCGCGGTACGTCAAGTGGTTCGTCGAGCGCGTGTACGACGGCGCGTGGATGCAGTACGCGCGCATGATCGTCGGCGACGGCGACCGGGTCTGGTCGTGGGACGGGGTGGACTGCCATCCGTGGTGGTGATGAGGATGACGGTTAGATGATACCTTTTAGAGAGGCTTCGCATCGCTATGTTTGCCTTGTCTGTATGTATACGTGTACCAGCTCTACACGTCGCTGCTTAAAAGGGGCACCGTCCATGCGTTACGATATAATAGGGTGTAGTCTCGTCACACGGACTCTATGGTACATACGCTGCTCGACTTCGGTACTTCGCAAATCAGGCAACCGCCGACTCCAAGCAACACTGTTCCGTCTGCTGATAACAGCATTCGGATCCAGCCGACGAGCGGGTGGCGGCAAACGCACCAACTCGAAGCCGGGGCGCTCCCCCAGCCTCCCTGGTGTATATATCGGTAGATAAGCTACTGTACAGTACGACGAGCCCGCAACGAGCCCGCGCGAGTGGTTGTTCAGGCGTGCTGCCTTGGCTAGGGCGTAATCCAGGCGCGCTGAGGGCGACCGTAACAACGACCTCGACGAGCTTCGGTCAAGTCTTGGCGTATTCTTCGAGGACGCGGTAGGAAGCTTTCGAAGATCGCGGGCGGGCACAGCAGGCGGCGGAGGCGCACAGACGAGTGCGGGCATGGAGTTGGCGGAGAGATTCGGAGGCGCGCGTGAAGGAGTCAACGCAGTCAAACGCGATCGGTGTGGATCGAATCGAACGTACAGCACTAGTGTAGGCGTGTCGCGGAAAAGCTTTTGATCGATTGGAACGGCAAAGCATCTTCGTAGACATAGCGGGCTCAGGGGACCCGAACCGAAAGGGGCGTTCGGTCGAAGTCGTCACTGGTCGGGGCGCCCCCTGTGAATCTAATCTCGGGTTTGAACGTTGAACCCGAGGTTCTCGAGGGCGTCCCGTAATAGCCTCCTGTCGGCGATAGCATGCCAGCTTCAGTGGGCGGCCCAGCCAACACGGAGAAGGTCGCGACAAGACACTCCGCCGCGCGTGACGATGAACCGTCCCGACCGCTGGGATTGCGAGCTGCCAACGTGCGTGGCACGGTGCGGGGCCCGGTACCGTGTTCTCTAACCACTCGATCGACTTGCGATGATATCGTCGAAGCCCTTGTGTTCCGTCCTCCGGCTCCCGATGTCGTCCTCGGCGAAGCCATGTCGGCGCGGAGGCAACCTCGGATGTGGAGCGTGAGCACGCCCTGTAGGAGGTGTAGACGACGCAACATCCAAGGTGGAGGGCGGAGGTGCAGGGAGAGGCGAAGGGACGGGGGGCGAGCGACGACCAGGGCACCGCGAGAGCGGCGAAACCGAACGATGGAGGATGGTAGACGATGAAGATCTCTTTCCAGTTGAGGATGCCGATACGATACAGGGGAATGCCACCCTTGTTGTGCAGAGGAGGCCGATCACCTCTCCGTCCACGAGAGACGCTTCGCGGCGGAAACTGACGACAGCTTGGCCACAGACAGGAAAACATCGATTTCGATTCCGAGGACTTGCTGGGGGAGACCGGGCGATATGTATCTGCCGCACAGAGTTGTCCAGTCGACTTCGGATGGGGCGATTGGTTCTTGGAGCTTCCGGCCACAGGCGTAGCAGATCTCTCTAAGCGTACGTGGAGTTGATGGCCAGAGAGCTCGGCGCGGCTGGTCTTGTCGATGGAGCAGGCATCGATCTGGCGGCGAAGAGGAAGAAGCAACGGGTCTTATCGCCCACGAATATGTTCTGGAGACGCATGTCGTTGTTGTGGGGCTTGGACTTCCTGAAAGGACCGCCCACGAGGGTTCCGGACGGGTGCCAAGATGGGCTAAGCCATCCTTCTCTCAGTACACGAAGTCGGCTCCAAAATACATTTGACGTCCTAAAGGGCGGCGACGTGAGCTGTTGGTGAGATGGTTGCTTCGAGCGTGAAACTGCGGTCACCGAGGCTCACCGCCGCCGAGGCAGCCCCGTTTCGTGCGGGGTGGGTCGAAGTGGTTGGAGTGAGAGGGGCTGTGTGAGGCCGCAGGCGACGCAGGGCCAGTGCTGACGACGGCGGTGCAATGATCGAATGCCACGCGAGGGACTGGCAGTGTCGTGTGAAAACCTTGGCTCGACGGGATGATTCCAGTCATGGACAAAGTCCGAGAGTTCACCTTCAATTCACCTTCTTGCTTTGTCGCAATCGCAATAAATGACAATCCTGATTTCCTCCGCAAGTGGGTATGCACAGAGACCTTTGGGGCACTGGTTTTCGACCCCGCGTGCGTGTTCGATGTTCGGCAAGATGTGGGGATATTGTGGTGGGCGGTGCGGGGATACTTTAATGCGAAAGTTTAGCGGAATTCCCAGATCAGACCTTGGCGGAGGGATTCTTTGACGGAGCTGGACAGCCAGCCCGCGCGCCGGGGTGCGTCCAGCACGCCTCACGCCCAGCTACGCGGCGATGGCTCTGGTGGAATCTGTGCAACTCCCTCCACCGGCGCCCATCATGCTTGTCGTCATTTCTGCCATTCCCCCTCATCGCGATGATTTTTTCACTGCCAGTCGTGGTTGCAGACAGACGGCTAGAATTCGCAAGTGAGAGAAACGCGAATGGTGAGAACAACGAAGGCGACCGAGTGGTCGACCTATGATACCGGCTGCTGTCCTACATCACCGGCAGTCGCCGCGTAACTGGCGCCCAACGCACTCGAGCGCGCGGGCTGCTCGAGCTGCGAAGTGAGTGGCCCTATTGCTCTAACTCCCGTCCTCTCTCAGCATCGAGTGCTACTTGTTATCTCGCAATCAATGTCGACGTTCTCCAGTTCGTCACATCGTGAGTCAGCTTTGAGAGCATCTTGATTTCACGCGGTGCGATCCTCTCTTTGCCGTGCCGGCACGGGTCAGACTAGATCTCCGGTCGGTGAACGACTGGAGCCGCCGCCGAGAGCAAGAAACGAGACTACTTTGCGGGGGCGCTGCGAGGCATGCCGCCAAGTTCCAACGCCGCCACCACGAGGACTAGGAAAGAAGCGCAACCGCAGAACTGCTTGGCACGAAGATCAAGTTATAAGACATGCGCAGGCGGTGACCCGCGAACCCGCGGTCTCTCATCTCCCTTTCCTTCGCCATGTTGCCTACTTCTTTTCTGCAGCTTGCCCAGTTTCTTCTCCCTCTTTCAATCTCGGCGAGCGCCGCTCTTGCTAGCGACTCCTCCCACTCCTCCCACTTCCAGGTGTCCACGTATGGCTCGGGTCTGACATACTCGGCTGCAAGCGAGTCCGAAGATGGCGCCACCGTTGTTTCAACTGGAGACAACAACTTTTACACCGTCAACATCACTCTGGGCGGAGTTGGTGGGGGCCAAAAACATCAGTGGTGTTGGTACATCTCTAATCGTCTTCCTCAGACTTTGTCGTGTTACTCGACACCGGGTCGTCTGATCTATGGGTGAACACCACTGGACGCGATCTCCAACTCACGAACACGACCGATGTCAAGATTAACGTTGGCTATGGAATTGGCTCTGTCTCGGGTTACGCCGCATTCGCCGACATGACGCTCGGAGACTTCAAGATTCCCAGCCAAAGTGAGCATCACGATACATACCACTAGCGCATACTTGCTCAACCCGCCCGTCGCAAGTCTTTATCAACCCTACGGAAATCACCGACTTCAACACGTCGGACAAACACGACGGCATCATGGGTATGGCGTTTGATTCCTCCTCGATCTACAACACTGTGTCACGTGTATGGGGAGTTGAGGCTGCAAACGAGCTCGCTACGTCGCCCATCACCTCCCTTTTCGCCGACAACCCCACAGCGCCGAACAATTTCGACGTCAAGCTCGCGCGCACCAGCACCCTCGAGGACAAAGCCGACGGCATATTCATCATCTCTGAACACGACGAAAACTTCCAACACGTCACCCTCGCACCGAAGCTGCCGGCCGTGAACACTGATCATTGGAATATCGCCATGGACGCGATGCTCGTCAACGGCATCGCCTTCGCGTTTAACCAGTCGCGCATCGAGGGTGTTCCAGACGGGAAGGTCGCCGCCTCCCTTGACACCGGCTACTCGCATCCGCCTCTCCCAGGGCCCGCCGTGGACGCCATCTACTCCACGATCCCAGGGGCCGTGTTCCTCGGTGAACGGGGCGGAAACTCCTGGATGGTCCCTTGTGATGCGGCCACCAATCTCACCTTCGTCTTCGGGTAAGCGGCAGACATCGTCCGTGCAGATCTCATCGATGCTCACCATGTTCGTTCGCAGCGACCAAGAGTTCCCTGTCCACCCGCTCGACCTTACCTACCCCTATCTGATCAACATGAACGGCAAGAACATGACGGCTTGTCTCAACGCCTACAAATACACCTTCCTCGACCCGGAGAACTTCATAGGTTTCGACTTCGTCCTCGGCGACTCCTTCCTCCGCAACGTCTACGCCTCCTTCGACTACTCCGACTTCTACCCCGGCAACAACACCGTCTCCGCGCCCTTCATCCAGCTCCTCTCCACCACCAACGCTTCCTCCATGTGGGACGAGTTCCGAACGGAGCGCGCCGCCGCGCTCGCGAAGCTCCCGCCAGCCGTCGACCCCGCGGAAGCCGTCAAATACATCAATGAAAACTTATCGCAGTCGAACGGCACCAGCACCACCACCGTCGCCGGCGCCGCCGCGGCCACCAGCGGCTCTTCGAGTCCGAGCGACGGCAGCTGGGGCCAGAAGTACGGCATGATCGCGCTCGCGCTCCTCGGCGCGAACCTCCTCATCGGCCTCGTCCTCCTCGGGGTCACGGTCACGATGTGCGTCCGCTCCGCGAAGGGCCGCCGGGAGGCGCGGTACCAGCCCGTGCGCTTCAAGGAGGCCGCCGGCGAGCCCGACTACGAGCGCGGCAGCCTCAAGTACAGCGACTGAGCGCCGAGCAGCGCGCGGGTCGGAGCAGTGTGTTGTATACTTACTCGGGAGCGTCTCTGCTCGGACTTTGCTATCATATCTACACCCGCTTTGTCGCTACATTTCGCATAATTTAATCATCGGCCTCCCTGTATCAGCAACTCCGCGCCTGCCTACGCCAAGTCCAGCACCGTCACCGTCCCGTCGTTCGCCCCTAGCGCGACCCGCCCCGCCTCCTCGTCGTAGTCGAACGTGGTCCAGTGCGCGCCCTCCCGCCGCTGCACGCACAGCGTCCGCGCCCGCGTTCCCGCGCCCGCGCCCAGCCCGCGGCGCAACGGCCCGTCGAACACCGCCGCACACAGCGTCTCCGCGCCCTGCCCCGACGCGCGCGCGGGGCCGACCCCACCCCCGAGCCCGAGCCCGGTCCCGATCCCGAGAAAGTCCACGTCGGACGCGTGCACGTCGAGCCCGGTGAGGTGCGCCGCGTGCGCGGCGCGCGGCTGGATCCAGAGCGCGGTGCCGGCGCGCCCGAGCGCGATCGCGCGGGAGCGGAGGAAGCCGCGCAAGGTCGGCGACGTCCGCTCCACGCGCGTCGGCGGGAAGAGGTACGGTGGTGGTGGTGGCAGCGGCGGCGGCGGGTCGGGCGCATGCGGCGGTGCGTGGGCGAATTCGAATGCGGATTCGAGCGCGGGTTCGGGCAGAGGTGGGGCTGGGACGAACGCGGGGTTGGGAGCGAGGACGAACTGCTCGAGCCGGTGCGCGTCGGATGCCCACGGGTCGTCGCTCTCCGCGCGGAGGACGATGGATAGGGGCCGGGGCTGGTCGCCCGTGGTGGAGGCCTCGCGGGTGCTGTCCTGGGGCGCGACCGCGACGCCGTCGATCCAACCGAACGAGTGGGTGCCGATTGGGCCGTATGTCGGGCATTCGCCTGAGGTGGGCTGGAGCATGGGTGAGGGAAAAAGCTCGATCAAGCGCGCGCGGACGACGAGGACGCTGTGGCGTGCCAAGACGACGTACAGGCACCTGTTGAGCTTTGAGACGGCCCCGAGCTCGTCAGACGTTGTGCGCGCGAGCGCGTGAAGGCAGAGAGCTCACCTTGAAGCGTTCTGTGACGACGTCCTCGGAGCCTTTCAGGAGCGCGAAGGTGTTGTCGCGCCAGTTCATGACCACTGTCTCGGACCCCTCGTCGCTGAAGGCGACCAGATCGCCGTCGAGTGCAATCGGCCGGAAGCTGGTCGCGATATTGCAGATCGAGCGAAACCCAGATTCTCCTGCGCCGTCTATGTTGCGGATCGCCAAGAGCTCGATGCTGTGGGTGCCGCTGGTGACGTCGTTGAGCTCGAGAGAGTAGGAAACAGGGATACACGGCTACGAACCTTCCGTGCAGGATTGATACCGCAAGCGCTGCCTCAGACGTTGTGTCCGAGTTGACGACAAAGCCCGCGAAGATGGTCTGTCGAGGCGACCAGTCCGCCAGCCGACGCGGTGGAGAGGGAGATGGATTGGAAGGAATGGCGACTCCAACGTCCCAGCAAGTGATCATTGACCAGATCCCTTTGTAGACCGTGAGCACGTAGCGCCCTCCACGCCCAGGCAAGAAGAAGACGTGGGAGAGGCCCGTCCCTGTACTGGCTTGGAAGTCGAGAGTGCGCGCGGTCTCCATAGAGGGGTTGAGCCAGAACCTGCCCAGTTTTAGGGCATGGAGAGTGAGATGTTCAAGGTCACTCCCATGGTGGTCGCTCAAACCGCCTTGCGGGAATGGCAGTCCATCGTCGAGGACATCGCGACGGCACACCGTCTGCCATACGAAGTGAAGACGAGAGATGGCGGCAAGACGCTTGCAAGTCTAAGGTACAAAGCATATCATTAGTGAGCGCGTGTAAGGACAATTTAAGCCCATTACCTTGCGAAGATTCAGAATGGCATCCACAGGCAGCACACAGAAGAGGTAGATGGTAGTGTCATCGTCAAGAGACACGAGGCTCATGATGATCGCCTGCGCCAAGTAGGTGCCCTCTATAGCGACGGTACCAGGAGAGCTCGTGCGATCAGCACAACATGATACTAGCCATAAAGGACTAGTAGTACCTGGCGGTATGAGGGGTGTTTGTCCATCTTGGAGCCGTGACGAAATTCGTGGATTCCTCGCTTTGGATGATGTCAGCTCCGAGTTAACTCCGCCTCGATTCCCGCCCAGAGAGGTTGAAGCTCCGACTCACGGAAGGCACCGTGAGCGCTAAATCTCCGTCTTCCACTGCATACACTGCGCCAGCCGCCTCCTCGTTGCACCATGCGACAGTGCAATATGACCATCTCCCTCAATGAGTCGGCCACTTAATACGACGAAATATGCTCAGTGAGCCACTGCTATGAGTCTCTAACTACTAGCAAATGCCACCATCACTATGTCTCGACGGCAATGAACCGACTCTAAGCCGTTCGTGCGGGCATTGCGGTTTCTAGTCGCCTGTATTGATTGATGCGTGTACAATCTCGTGGCCCCGCTCGGTCGCAGATGCATGGCCGTTTCGCTACTGACATACTTATTTGCATGATCTGAACTCGCTGTACTCACTCAAGCTCGCACCGAAACTTGAAATACCCCTGCGTACCCCTCTATACCGCCTCACTGCTTCCTGACGGTCGAAATAGCTGCTATCCATTGAAGCGGAAGTTCCTGAGAAGGTCCGATACATGACGAAACGAACCTCAAGCTACATTGGAGTAGAAATCATACGTCGTCGTCCCCCTGCGCCCTTGGACACTACCCATTGAGGTTTGACCATGGTATCGGTCGCAAGGAAACCCCCTTAAACGGTGCGTGAATGAAGCAGATGACACCAGAGCTCGATGCGGACGTCCAGTAGACTTCCTCTCGTAGAACGCGGTCGTCTCGTCTCCATATGCACCCAGGCCGCGCGGTTAAATATGACAGCCAAAGACGAGGGTGGGAAGGAGGAAGCGAGATGAGGGTGGATGTAAAGCCAGCATGTGGTAGGAGTGTTGAAAGGAGAGATTGAGACGTCAGCACTTCACCTATTCACTGGATTAACGTTCCCTCATGACCACCATTAGTATTACCCGACCGGATGTAAGCGCTACAAGCTGCCGCCCGTTTGTTGCTGTGGAGGAATTGTCCGCTACGGCTGTATTGAATAGTTCTCCGGTACCCCGGTCAGCCTACTACCCACCCCATACTCCGCAATTGTCACCCACTCGTAATCACTTTCTGTCAACGTCTCCTCATCTGCAAGAAATTCCCCATTGTGCCAATTTCCGAGACAGCGGTCTCCCCGTCCACACACCAAACATGATATGAAGTAGCACTTTATCCCCAAGTTTCTCCGGGAATAAGACGCATGCAACCACCGTACTGCGCACTCACAGCGACGCCGCCCTCCAGCCGGGGACTGCGACCGGAACGTCTGACAGCTCGCTGCGCAGCCCGCGCGCATCACTGATCAGTGGTTTCGCCACTTTGGGGAGCCCGGGATTACCGCTAAGAGGACTCTGATTTCGGATGCGCACCATGAGCGATCGGGCATCCGTGACGTTGGCGTGGCTGTTCTCCAACTGCGGAACACCACATGGGAGCACCAAAAGCGACCTTCGATGTGTATGTTGCCAACGGCGAGGTTCCGCCCGGATGATCTATGCCGCGTGAAGTCGGCTAGGAAGCCGTCGCTCTCTCCAGTTTTGGCAAATTCCTCTCAGAGTGGTGGGGAAATTATGCGTCGAAGAAGACAGTGGGACAACGCATGTCCAAGCCGCACCATGACCGCCGTGAGCCAGCTGGGAGGCCGGTGCACGAAGGGCGCCCTTGACGAGAGTGCGTTAGCTCCTTCAAATGATTTCGACTTCATGACGAACGTACCTCCATGCGCTGCTGGCGTCTGTCGCGATACAGTGCGAGCGCGAGTTGGAGGCCCCGGGCGTCTCTGGCAATGGTACGGCTTTAGCCGCTCCGGATCATTTGCCGGCAGTGCCACGCGTCCGCGCGACTTTCATTCGAACCACCACTCTGAATCTCCGCAGCGCATGCCTGCCAGCATTTCTCCCTCGCCGGCGACAGACGACCGTGATACCGGTGCCTCGGTGCATGGTTAGTGTTTGCTCTCAGCCTTTCAATATCCTCGTTTTCCCGGTAAGTATTCGTCCTCATACGGACTTCGCCGCGACGTCGTTAATGCCGTTCGGTGACGAAAATGACTGAGACTCGGTGAATATAGACATTTTCCGAGCCACAAGACGTCCGTGTAGAAGACATCCGTGACCACCTTCACACCGAGGTCACTCATCCCGGCCAGACGGCGTGGACGACAAACCTTCGAAGTCTCTCAAATCTCAATGACAAGTCGCTGGCTGGGCTGTTCTGCCACACGGCATCGTCTCACAAGCGAGTCGAAACCCCTTGGAGCTCACCACAAACTCTGGTACCGTCGCTGGATAAGGAGCCGCCGTGTTCGGGATCAACGTCTTGCCAGACGGGGATACGAGGCGCTTTCCACGCCCCTGCCGAACCTTCCGCAGCCGGACGTATCACCAGCGGTATGTTGAACTCGCGAGCTCGGAGGATCATCTCAGAGCGTGCTGCGGATGTCATCCCAAATTCATTTCGGTCGGCACCGTCAGAGGCGACCACCCAGCCATGCTCCCGAGCGACGGCCTAAGGAAGGCGGGATCCAGGACACGTATATAACATGCGGCGGAGCCAGCTGACGTCCTCACCCTTCCTCTTCTCTTCTATCACCACCGCTCTCATCCTTATCCACCCATCCTCGCAATTTTCGCATCCTCTCCCCCAAGTTGCCCACCATGTTCGCCAACCTGCTCAACATCGTCCTCGCTGCGGTCGCCATTGGCCAAGGTAGGCTCTCCACCCTCGCTTCCCACTGCCTGCTGCCCTCCGCCCTCTCAGTGCTGACTCTGCTGCCTTCGTTTCCCCACAGCCTCGGCCGCCCCCGCCAACGTCGACGCCCGCGATGTGACCACCATCACGACCTCCATCGGCGGTGCGCCCACGACCGTCACCTTCATCGGGGGCACAACGGCAGGCGAGACGAAGCCCACGACGATCACCTTCATTGGCGGCACGACGGCGGACGAGACGGAGCCCACGACCGTCACCTTCATCGGGGGCACAACGGCAGGCGAGACGAAGCCCACGACCATCACGTTCGTCGGTGGCACGACGGCGGACGCTACGGAGCCCAGCACCGTCACGAAGGTGGCTGAGGCCGACCCGACGACGATCACCTTCATTGGCGGCACAACGGCGGACGGGACGGAGCCCACGACAGTCACGTTCGTTGGCGGCGGGGTTACGACCAGCACAGTCGTCGGAGGAGTGACGACAAGCACGGTTATCGGTGGAGTAACCACGAGCACGGTCATTGGCGGGGTCACCACGAGCACGGTCGTTGGTGGGGTCACTACAAGCACGGTCACTGGCGGGGTCACTACAAGCACGGTCGTCCGCGGCGTCACTACGAGCACTGTCGTCGGTGGGGTCACGACAAGCACCGTCAACGTCAAGACATCCACGACGAGCGTGGGGGCAGTCTCAACTTCCACCGCGTCGCCCGAGAGCGTCTCGACGTCGACCGCTCTCGTCGGCAGTGTCTCCACCTCCACGGTCTCGCCGGGCGCGGTCAGCACGACGACAGCGGGCCCGGGCTCCACGACCTCCGCCGCTGGTACCATCGTCTCGTCGACCGCGACGGCTGGCGCCGTCAGCACTACCGCCGCCGCCGGTACCGTAGTCTCGTCGACCGCGACAGGCAGCCCCGTCACGATCACCTTCGCCGCCGACACCGGGTTCTAATCCACAACGGCCCTCCCCGACAGCGCTGCCGCCTGCGCAGCGACGAAGCTCCCCTCATCCCGGTTGAAATCGGGAGGGATGCCTATGTCTTTGCTTTCGGATTTACCTTCGCTTTTACTAGCACAAGGATCTTCCCCTTCGCTACCCGTTTCTTATTTTGCTTTCTGTTTCTGGCGGACATTAGTGGTGGTTGGATTCGAGGTTTAAATATTTGGTAGTGCCCTGGATTTCGTCGACGTGCGTTGTCGGTGACAATATCACTCTTTGACTTCCCAACACCGGCCATTTGCCACGCAGGAGATATAACATCGATGTGTCCCGCCCGGGATCGAACCCTCGACGAATGCGGGGTCCGTGCGTGGGAAAACTGCCAGCCACGATATAAACCTCGCACCCCGCGCCTCCTGTTTCCCTCGATTCTTCCACGATCATGACGCCGCTGACGAGACCGCAAGCAGCGAGATGAGCACGGCGCCCACTCGTGGGCGCCGGCGTTGACATCGCTCGTCCGGCTACCCACCTTGTTACATGCAAAGGGACGGGCTGAGACAACGGCTGAGGCGTCACCCCACTCGATCTGGAGTCTCGGATTTTGTGTATGTAGCAGTAGTGCAGAGTCAATTTCCGGGCAATTGAAGCGTTCCGTCGGGCTTTGCGACACGTTCTTGTGCAGTGCGAGTGCGAAGGTGTGAGTCGGACTGAGAACGGTCGTCGAGAGAAAACTTTGTGGGAGGCGGCCCGTCGTCCGGCCCACCGCCCCGGAAAGCTGGAACAGTCGCGAAAGGCCGTCGCGCCCGGACGTCCGTCTCGTCGCTCCCCTCGCTGCCATGACCCTCGCCCACACTGCGTAGCGATGGCCGACCCGACGGATACGAAGAGCGCACCCCTCGCGCTGCCCGCGCCGACCCCCGCTGAGGAGGAGCCGGAGGTTCCGGAGGTGCAGCAGCCGGTCGTGAACGGCGGGCAGACGTTCAGGTTCGACAAGCTCGGGCCCGTGGTCGTCAACTCGGACGGGGTGCGTCGCTCGCTCGCTGGCCGCAGGTGGATGTGCGCGGGAAGCCGGCGCTGAGACCGACGTGCTGCAGACGCTCTCTCGCATCGCGAACTGGGAGAGCCTGACGGCGCGCGAGAGGGAGACGACGGTGCGGGTGCTGCTGGCTCGGAACAGGTGTGTTGCTTGCCTGCCTGATGCGCCGCATGCGCTCACGCTCGTCCCCGTGCAGGGTGCGTCTCGCTGAGCAGGCGAAGAAAGAGGGGCAGGCTGAGGGCGAGGAGGCACTGTCGATGTCCACGGATGGGTGATGTTGGGAGGAGAGGAGGACTCGTGCGTATGTACTTCTAGAACTGTCGCACTCTTGTTTCTGCTGCGCGACTTTCCTCTTCGACCACATCTCTGTGACGATGGCCATGCCTTCCGACCGTGTATTGCCCTCCAAGCATACTCAGCGGAGTTCAACCGTCTGGAGAGCGGGAAAACACATCCATTCGTACAACGCCGACCTCCAATCGCACAATCCGAGCCAAGACCCCCTCCACTCGCTCACCAGTGCAGGCGGTGCGTCGGGCACTGGTACCCCGTCGGATTCTTGAACAGGTACTTCTGGTGGTACTCCTCCGCGTCCCACCACGTCCCCGCCTCGACGATCTCCGTCACGATCTTCTTGCCTGCCCCGCGCGCGTCAGCGAGCCGCGTCGCACGGAACCCAACACGCATATACGCACCCTTGGGGTCGAAGTGCTTCCTCTGCACTTCGTCCGTCACCCGCTTCGCGACCTCAAGCTGCTCCGGGGTGTTGTAGAAGATCACGGACCGGTACTCTGCGCGCGGCGTGAGCGACGCACGCAGATGTGTGGGACGTAAGAAGAAGGAAGACGCACGGGTGCCCACGTCGCCGCCCTGCCGGTTCGCCGTCGTCGGGTCGTGCGTGCGGTAGAAGAACTCTGCGGGGGCCACGGCCGGTCAGCTCCTCTTCATCCCCAGTCCCGCCTAGAAAGAGAGAGAGAGAACGCACCGACGAGCTCCGCATACCCCACCACCGCGGGGTCGAACTCGACCCGGACCGCCTCCGCGTGGCCCGTCGCGCCCGCGCACACCGTGCGGTAGTCCGGGCTCGCCGCGTCCGCGCGCCCGCCGGTGTAGCCGACGGCGGTGCGGAGGACGCCCTTGCCCTGCGCGGGCGGGAAGTGCTTGAGGAAGACGTGCTCGGTGCCCCAGAAGCAGCCGGACGCGAACGTCGCGATCGACGGTGCGCCTTCGCCTGTGCGTGCGCGGGGATGTCAGGGGGCGATGTAGGGACGGGAGGGCGGGAGGGCACGGACGCACCAGACATGGTGGAGATGAAGTGGGCGGGAGAGATGCCGCGGGAGGAGAGAGAGGGTGCGCGGAAGAGGTTCGCGAGCAGGCCGAGCATCCGCGTCGGTCGCGGTTCAGGTGTTCAGGATGGACGAGGCAGAGTCGTCGGTGGCCGACTTTTGAGGTGACCTCATCGGGGCGGGAGATAGCGTCAAGGCGTCGGCGCACGTGATGGGCGGCGGGCCGCTGACTACGCGGCTGAGCAATTCGTCCGGCGGTGCTGTGTCGGTGAGAAGACAGTGAGAAATCCTGTCCTGGAGACATGGGGGTTGAGAACGAAAAGGTGGATCGGGGGCATGTCGTCGTGGGGCGTGTGTGCATAGATACATGTATGATACATGTATGATACACGAGAGACGGGAAGGAGGAAAAGCGTATAAAGCAAAAGTCTAGGCGATCGCGAACGGACAGCCGACACTACCCCCCTCGGAGCGTACCCAAAACATCGAAAGCAATCCAGTCAGATCGTGCACCGCGGTCCGGACAGCTACATACACAGAAAGGCTACGGCGCAGCGCACAACAGGGCCAGCTACTACAGAAACTGCGTCGGGTCCCGCCACTCGGCCTCCGCGCAGCCGAAGCACTCGAGCCAGTCCCGCGCGTTGTACAGCGTCCGGCCCTTCGGCCACTCCTCCAGCACCGTCTTCCCGCCCTGGCGGGAGACGGTGTAGAAGTCGTCGTCGAACCGCGCGACGCGGACCATCGGGAAGCCCTGCTCCACCACCTGCGCCACGTCCTCCACGTCCCGGAACTGCGAGAGGCCGATGTACCGCAGCTGCGGCGGCATGCCCGCGCGCAGTTGCTGCAGACGGGGCCGCGACGGCGTCAGCGGGAGAATGCAAACGAGATGGGAGAGGCGGTGACGCACCGAGACGAACTCGAACGGGTTCGCGGGCGTGGTGTTCTGCAGCGAGAGCGCCTGCACGCCCCGCGGGACGAGCCACATCGCGACCGGGGGCGCGACGTCCTTCGGGAGCGTCGCGGTCAGGCTCCGGAGGTTGAGCAGCGACGGGAGCACGCCCCAGACGGACGCGTCGTACCCCAGGCGCTGGAGCGCCCAGTCCGGGCTCGGGACGGTGAGCTGCAGCGAGCGCAGGTTCGTGCGCCCCCGGAGGAAGGCGGAGATCGCGGGGAAGAGGTCGCAGTCGCTGGCGCGGTAGTCGAGCAGGCCGAACGCGAAGTGGCGGAGGAAGGGGAGCGCGCTCGGGTTCTCGCGGAACTGCTGGCTCGCGGTGCACTCGAGGATGCACTCGAGCCGGAGGGACTCGAGCTGGAGGCCGCCCTGGAGGACGTCGGTGAACGCGCGGGAGTCGACGGGGAAGAGGCCCTGGAAGTCGAGGTGGGTCAGGTTCCGGATGCTGATCGCGTCCGCGGGGAACGCCCAGTTCGGGTTGTGCAGCGACAGGAAGCGGATCGACGGCTTGTTCTGCACCAGGAAGGCGTGCACCTGCGCCGTCGCGCCGCCGGTGCTGTGGTACGAGAACTGTTGGATATGCCTGAACCGCGGGAAGCGCAGCTCGCCCGTGCCGTCTGAGGGCCTAGATGTGCAGATAGCGGGTAAGGACCGTCAGCGAGCGGCCCAGAGACAGCTGAGATACGCACATGAGCGAGAGGCCAGTGAGGCGGTGGCTGATGGTCTCCAGCACGCGCAGGAACGCGAACATGTCCTTCCAGCGCATCCCGCAGTGGACGTTGCGCAAGTTGGTGAGCTTCGGGAGCGCGTTGGAGAGCATGCCGGTGTGGAACGTCATCGGAGAGGTCTCACGCCCGGGCACGAACACGCGGAGGGTCCGGACATGGCTCGCGAACGTCGCATCGGTGATAATCCGTGTGAGGAGGTCCGCACTCCGCTGGGAGTCGCGCTTCTCCGACGCTGCAGCGCCGTGGGGGACCGGGGGCCGGAGAAGGCGGGGGCACGATAGGAACGATAGGCCAGGGCGGGATGGACACAATCAGCATCAATTTAGGAGACCCGATCATGCGGGAGCCGCTCACAAAAGTGCATGTCGATCCTCTGGAACAGGAGTTCGCTGGCGATGCGGGAGAGGACGTGCGGGACCCCAAGCAAGGCCTTGAGGTCGCGCGGGGGGAGCCAGAGGGCGATTTCGCGCCATATCTCGGTGGAGAACTTGGGGGTGGTGTCCGGCTTGATGAGCGGCTTCGTGGAGTGCGGCATCGCGGTCGAGGCGAACCGCAACGGCATGAGCGGCGGGGGAGTGGGAAAGCGGGCGAGGGGGGGCGCAGAAAAATCAGTGTCGTCGTGGCAAACGACAAGGAAGGACGAGAAGAACAGACCTCGCCGGGCGTGGCAACGTGCTGCGCCATGAGCGCCGAGGCCTCCGGGTTCTGGGGCTGCAGCTCGAGTGCGGCGAGGATGTCTGTGGGGAGAGCGGGCGCGGCGCGGCGCGATCCGTGAGCGACCGGGCGGGGGCGGGCCAGAACGGGCCAGACTGACCTTGGTGCGCGCCGACGTGCATGCCGGCGGCGAGCCGGGCCTTTGCGCGGATCAACCGCGCTTTTGCGGCGTTCGCCGCCGGTAACTTGGAGAGCGAGAGGCAGGACTGGACTGCGTTCTCTATCAGTGTCCGCGACCTGCCCAGGGCGAGGGCACGACGGGTGTGTATAGGCGCGGGCACGGGGTTTGTGGCGCGGAGTAGGATACACGCGCGGAAAATGAACTATGTATTAGACACGGCGGGTTTTAACGAAGGAAGCAAGGCGGGGACGGACCGGTCGAGGTTGAGGTGGGCCATGGCGTAGAGCAGGACGTCGGCCTTGTGCTCGTCGGAGAGGCAGCCGGTGACGTCGCGGATGCTGGCGTCGATGATCTTCGGGTTGAAGACGTTGCTCGTCCGAGCTGAGGACGTGCCGGTCGAGTTCGGGTTCAAGGTCGGCGGGTGTGGATACGACGTCGGCGGGTGCGGGTGCTTGTGCGGGTGGGCGGCGTTGGGCACGGGCGAGGAGAACGAGGGCGAGGACGATGGGCTGTGCCCGAGGCCAGGGTAGGCACGGTGGTGCATGTCGACCGCTCGGACGCTCGCGGCTTAAATGTGTGCACGGGATGTCTTTTGATGGATGGGCCCGAGGCGGGCAAGGTGGTGATCAGACGCTAGACGGTGGCCCAGACCGATTTGTAGTCGCGAAATGGGGCGTGTGCGCTGGCGGGCGGCTGCTGCGAGTCGGCGAGGGGCTGAGGGGCGAGCTGGCGGGGTGGATCGCGGATGCAGACTGGAGATCCCAATCTTGCGGAGGATGCGTCCGTCGACCGTTGTCGTAGTCGTGAGAGAGGGGCCACGCTCAAGCCGTCGCGGACGAAGACGGGCGTCCCTCTCAAATGCCGCCGCGGACAGTGCCGCCCGCGCCCGACTCTGCGCCAGTGACGTACTGAACCACTGTGAGGCCTGCTCGATAAACGAAAATTAAGTAGCTCGTGTGTCTGATCGCGGAGACCACCGCGGCAACCGACGCACCCGGAGACGGTTGCCAACGGTGATATGATGGGTTGCCGGGGGGATGCCTATTTCCAGGGGAGACCTGGCCAGAACATATCACTCTGCCTCGTGCCCGCTCTTCCTCCACGCACTAGTCCACATACACGACACAGCGCATGGCGAGTAGCACACCCCGCAACAAACGGAATGTGGAATTAGACTCACTGTGGAATCCGAAAGACCAAGGCGCTTCAGCTGAACCTGCGAAGTATTGCGAGCGCAAGGCAGGAGAGCGTATCGAAGGAGCACAGAGGAAAACAGACGAGTAGAGTTTGGAGGGGGCAGCTTTAAATGCAGCCATCCGCTTTATATGCCAGTCGATGGAGTCAATCCGCGGAGGGAGGTGCAGCTCGTAAAGAGACCTGCCGTCCGTTATCGCCCAACAGACGAGCGCGAGTCGAAGATAGACGAACGGAACAGGGTCAGATTGGTGACGAGGGAGAGCCAAGCTGGGATTGGATCATACACACGTCGACATGGTACAGATATTGCTACAGGTCTAACAGACGTCCCTCCCCATCCCTCACCGCACCTCGCACCTCACGCGAACGACACTTCGTCTGCCCACGGCGCATGCCCAGATCCACCCATCATCGAGTTCGCCCCGTACATGTCCTCGTCCGCGCCCCAGCCGGAGTCGTCCTTCGCCTTCGTCGCCTTCGTCAGGTACTCCTTGCTCGTGTTCAGCGCACGCTCTGTCTCGGCTAACAGCGCGCTGTTGTGCTGTGCGGACACGAGCAATCGGTCCAGCTCTTCCTTCGTGAACTCGGGCACAGGGTCCGCGAACGTGACAGTGTCGTCCGCGGAGATGCTGCCGTTGATCTCGCCCGCATCGATCTGCAGCAGAACGAACCTCATGTCAGCACAGAGCACTCTAATGATCACCGTTGGCGAGATCTGCATGCGGGTCGCAGGCAAAACAGAAGACCACACTGGATCGACAAGGACTACACTCACCATCGACAAGATCGTCTCCCTACACTGTTCCACGGTTTCGATGCCAGCTTGCTTCTTGATGTCGCTCAACCCAAGCGTGAGGTACGTCGCGGTGAGCTTCTTGATCAGCCACACAGGGGCTCGCTCAATCGCCTGGTTCACGAGGCCCGTGTTCTGGTCCTGCATCCTTCATGAGCATCGCCCTTAATCGCGCCGCAGATGCACGACGACAGACCGTGTTGAGCATGTCTGCCTCCTTCGTCACCCACGTTCGGAGCATCGCCGTCGTAGAGGGGTAGTTCTTGATGAACGTGTTGTACGACGTGTTCTTGAACATCCGCACCAGTGCGGGCAGCGTGTATTTTGGTGGCGGAACCGTCTGTCGGAAAACCGTTCGGTCAGCTCCCGTGCCCCCGCCCTGTGCCCAGCCCGCCCTCCTGCTGCCACAAAACGGGGTGTGCTCTGGCACGCATCACTCCTTCGTCCTCTTCGTCAAGTCCCTCCATCCACGGATACACGGGCCACAAGAAGGGAAGCTCACCTCGCCGTACTGGATCAGCTGCACCAGCGCGAGCTTCTTGAACGCCTCGAGCTGAATGGCAGCGGGGACCTGCGCCGGCGCGCTCACGCAGATCTCGAAGAACTCTTCCGCTTCACGCCATCGCTTGAGCGCACCGAGCGCAACGCCGCCTGCGTAGTGGTAGACGAGGTGGTCGTTGTAGGTGAGGTCGGAGACCGAGGTGTCGACGTTCGTGATCGGCACCGAAAGCACTGGCAGCGCGGAGGCATAGTGGCCCGTGGCTACGCAAACCTAAAGGAGGAAATGGATGATCAGTGTCCCAACCGGGTGTATGCACGTATGCGTAGAAGGAGTGGATGTATGCAGTCGGACGGGCTCTTAGGAGCAGAATGCATGTGTGCGGGGAGGGAGAAAGATCGAGAGACACTCACCCGGACAAAGATTGGGTGCAGCGTTGTGAGGTAGCTGGGACTCGGCGGGTATCGCGCGACGAGGCTTGCTAGTGATCGAATGGCATACTTGGGCTGGAGATCAAGAAAGGAGAGAGTGTCGTCAGTCAAGTGCTGCGCCACAACCGCGTCTCCTCCACTTCCTTCCTCCCCTGCCCTCAGAACACCCGCCAAACCTCCTCAGAAACAACGAGAATGACGGTACTCACGTTCGCCGACTGTTCTGCCACGCGCAGGATGCCCTTGGCGAGGAGAGTCACTGCTCCAAGTCAGCGCCACCGACCACCCAGAGCTCGCACGCACCCGCCCGACGTACCGCGATCCGGGGCCAATCGCGCCTGCTCGGGCTCAAAGGTGCTGCAGAAGTCCTCTATGGCGGAGAGCGGTGGCGACGGCAGCGTCGAGCCCTGCAATCGGGCGGACCTGTAGGGGGTGGTGGCGCGGCCTGTGAGCCCAAGTGGACTCGCGGTTTGGTGAGGAGGACGCACAGGACGAAGAGGTAGCCGAGCGTGTTCCGCACGGGGTCGAGGACGGCGAGCGGGTCTTGGCCGCTGCCAAGCGTGCTCGCGAGCACGGCGTCCCGGGTCTCCTTCTGCGCGAAGGTGCGGAGGAACTGGGCGAGCTGCGCGGTCGGGGGAGTGGTCGTGATCCGGGTCACGACGTCATCGAGCGAGACGAATGCTTGCGCGCCGTGCGCGGACGCTCCGACGGTGCTCATCGTGATGGTCGGGAGTAGGACGAAAGGAGGACGGAGAGGAGCAAGAGCTCGGGGGCGAGGATAGGGCTGCAGTGCGCTAGACGCCGAGGTATGTGGGCCTCGCGTCTTTGGGCGGCTATATGTTGCTGCTTGACTCAGACCGCGCACTCATAACACGCTACTTACTCTGTAGGTGGCTTGTGGTAAGGACCGAAGGTAAGCCACATTCATAAGTTCCATAATAGGTGCTGAGCGCGCGTTAGATGCTTTAAATGACGATGACATTCGCACCTTTTGCTCATATTGCATCTCAAGCCCTCGCCTCGCGTGGTCATAGTGCGCGATAGTACACGTGCAGGAAGCTTCCTCAAGGATTCCAGGTCAGCGGGCCGGTACTGATATCGATATCGTTCACGTTCTCATTTCAACATACAATGCGCGCATCATCTCACTGAACAATCAATATCTGACAACCTGCTTGAACAGGTATGTTCTTGCTAAGCGTCAGTGTTCGACTGCTCCTTCTGACCAACATATCTTCCATAGAAACTTTTCCACTGCGATGGAAGAAAATCTCGAAGAGCAGATTGCCCTCGCCTGGTCCCCGCCCGTGTATGACACGGGCCGAGTACCACACCAACTGCTTTCTGCTCAGTTCCCCGAAAACACCTCAGGAGAACCCGACGCACATAATCATACCATATTTGCTCGGTTTGCCAAATGGTATCCACGGCACAGAGGTCGCTCTCCGGCATCCCCTCACAGTTACATATTTTCATAGGTGTCCCGACGGCTCGGCCGCCCTCGCACAGTGCGAAGACAGGACATTCAGGTTCCTGCAGCTGTAAGTCGCATCAGCATCTTCCAGAACTGCTTAATAGCCTGTTCTGACCAGCCTCATGCAGGCCTCCTGAGCTGCTCGGAATAACCGCAGATGCCTCAAAACACGCCGCGCTGCCGGCATCGATCATGCAGCCTTCTCCCATACTCGACTTCGCGTGGTACCCGTCTGCTACCATCCACGACCCTGCATCCTTCTGTTTTGTGGCATCGGTCCGCGAGTGTCCTGTGAAGCTACTCGACGCCTCTGATGGAAGGGCAAGTCGCCTTTCGTCTCTTCGCGGGCTTTCGTGTACCATTAATACCCCGCCCATTATAGCTCCGCGCGTCCTATCGCATCGTTGATCACCGGGAACGCCAGATCGCTCCCCACAGTCTGGCATTCAACGTGGCCGCTAGCAGGTCCGTATATGTTCTCGCGACTCCCGTTTCCCGGCCGTACGTAACCTGACGGCACTGGCCAGGCTCTATTGCGGCTTCGAGGACGCGATAGAGGTCTTCGACGTCACCGTCCGGGCGAAGGCACACGTTTGCCACATCACGCCGTCGAAAAAGAGCCGCGACGGTCTGAAAGGTGCGCCTGCTCGGTCCCAGGCCGAGGCGTCCCTGCTCACCCGCGCATCTGCGCCAGGGATCGTGTCTGCGCTCGCGTTCGCCCCTGACGTGTCGTCGGACCTGTACGCTGCAGGGACGCTCAACCCATCCGCGCCGACCTCATCAAACATCGCACTTTTCCAAGAAGCGGCGGGAGAAGCACCGGTGATGCTCGTCGGCGCAGAGGACACACACCCGGCCCCCGGCACGGGATATGGGCGTCCGCGCGAGTGTCTCCCAGGTCCGTTTGGGCGACACGACGCATGCTCTGATGTCGCTGACGCGTGCGACAGCTCGCGTTCAATCCAGCACGACCGTACCTGCTGTACGCGTCCTTCCGGCGGACGGACACCATCTACGCCTGGGACCTGCGCGGCGACGTCACCCGCCCAGTGGCGCTCTACGACAAGTCCGCCGCGCCCAAAGGCTCCGCGCCCGCAGCGAAGACGAAGGCGAAGACGCAGACGAACCAGCGTCTGCGCTTCGACATCGACCTCGGCGGCACGCGGCTCGCCGTTGGGGACGAGGTCAGTCCCCATCCCCCGCTCCTCGCGGCCTTCGTCCCCCTTCACGGTCACACTGACCGACGCGCACTCCACGCCCCCTCTTCGACGCGACCACGCGCCCACGGCCATTTCCCCCGTGTCCGCCACGCGTGCAACACGCCCTCGCTGCGTGGTCGCGCCCCGCGCCCACCCCACCCCACCCGGCGGACATGAACGCGCCTCGCGCCGTGCGCCTCGACTCCCGCCGGCAACTCATTTCCACGCGCACCGTCCCTGCACGCACTCACACACGCACGCACGCAGCGTGGCTGCATTTCCGTCTTCGACCTCACTGAACCCGAAACCGCCGCGGACGCAGGCGCGCGCACCCCGGCGCTCCAGTTCCACGCGCACGGCGGTGCGTGCTCCCCGCTCCCTTCCCTTCCGCTTCCCTGCGTCTCCCTGAGAGGCGGCGGGTTCGCGAACGGGATCCGACCCCGCTGACGATAGCGTGCCGTTCTTCACAGACGCGGTGGGCTCGGTGGCTTTCCACCCGCTCCACCCGCTCGCGCTCTCGGTGGCCGGCTCCCGTCAC